TAAATATGATAAAATAATAATAAATTATAAATATAAAACAATTTGTTTATATATAATTATAACTTATCAAAACTTTTCGAAAAATTGAAAATATAACAATTTTCTACACAAATTTTTTACAAAAAATTTCCGGAATATTGCGAATTTTTTTGTAAAATTTCCGGAATATTTGCAAATTTTTATTACAAAAAATTCTGGAAAACTGCGAAAATTTTCAGAATATTGTGAATTTTTTTTCCGGAAAATTTCGGGAGTGCAGAACTTCCGGAAAATAATCAAACTGAAAAATTTCCGGAGATTTTTGCCTTTTAAAATTTCCTGATGTATTATCCTTAATACATTATTTAAACATTTTATATTTATAGTATACTAAAAACTCTTTATAAAATTTTTGATGATTAAATTAAATATATAAATAATCTTATCTGGTCTCTTTTAAAAATATAAATAAAACTTTTCAAAGTATTGTATTTTAGTTCTTGTTCTAATTTTCTACCATATATTGACATATTATTTAGTAAAAATTTCGTTATAAAAATTATTATTAGTAGGTAAAAAATTATTTAGTTGTATTATAAAAATACTTACAATGAAATTTTTCTTTCTTCAATATCCTATATAATTAGTATAAAATCTTTCATTGATTGTATTTACAATATTATTTCAAAAATTTATTTTATAACTTCTGGAAATAACATGATATTCAGTATTTCTGTTTTTTTTTTATTAATCTAATATTTATTAATATATTTTGAAATCTTAAAAATAAAATATGTATTATCTTGTAACCAACATTAGAAATTAAATAAAAACATTCTTCAATACTATATAAATACTGTTCTATAATATTATTCGAATAACATTAATATATTAGAATACAATGTTCTAGTGTATTATTTAAATATTTCATATTAATAGTGTACTAAATACATCTTTTTAATGCATTATTTAAATGTTTTGTATTTATAGTGTATTAGAACACAATATTCTAGTGTATTATTTAAACATTTTGTATTTATAGTATACTAAAATCAACATTTTTAGTATTATAGCATACTAGAATGTCTCTGTAAAATTCCTGATGAAGAATCAAGACTTTTTATCTGTTATCACTAGTCAAATACAAAAGAATTACTGTACTAAATGGTGATTCCTATATTATGATTAACTAAAAATTAGAAAAATCAATTATTTTATTATATCCTATATTATAAATTAGTTAAAATCAGAATTTTTTTTCAGTATGTCAATTTTTTTTGCATTTGTCCTGTACAAAAAAATACCTTAGTATAAAATTATTTTCTGTTATATAAATTATAGTTAAAGCCAAAAAAGTAAAATTTTTGTATGTAATTTTCCATAAATCACATAATTTTATATAATATGATTAGTTTATCTATTTATTTAATTTAATTACTTTAATTATAAGTCATAATTTAATTTGCATATTTTTTTACTAAACTTAAAATCTCATGTTATTTTGCTTAGAGTTATTATATTTATTTTTTAATCAAAGTTTTTTAAATCTTTTATAACTTTTATTAATATTGTTCAAAGTTCTCTTAGAAAAAATATTTGAATTTAATTAATTAAATTTTTGATTCAATAATTTTGTATTTATTTTTATTAAAAAAATCTATAAAATTTATGTAAAGTTATATTTAAGTTTATATAATATTTTATAAAATTTTCTAATAATATAAATTTTATTCTTTTATTTATTAACTAAACTAAAATCAAAATTATAAACCTTTTTACTTCAAATTCAAGTTTATTAATTTTTATTTTATATATATATATATATACAATCTAACTTCTCTATAATTATATTCTCTATAAGCATATTATATAAAATTCTCTTTATAAGTACATTAGTTATTATGAATATATAAAAAAAACTTCTATATAAGTACAACTTCTATATAAGTATATTTTAAAAAAAGACATATGATCCTAATGGTATAATTATAGAAAGATCAAACTGTATATATATTAAAACAATATTCATGAAACTTTATTATAAAAGTTTTTTTGTTTTAAAGAAATAGCAGTATGATATGGTGCATTTATAGGAGGTTGTAAAGGATCTAAGCTTTTTTTCTATTTTTTTTTAATTAGAAAATTTTTAAATTAAATTAAACAAAATCATAATTAATAATAACTTGTTATAATAAATAATTACCTCTAGTGAATAAGTCATATCAGAATCAAATCCACTAAGTTAAAAATAGAATATAAAAATGTCAAAATATAAAAAAAGTTGTTATAAAATAATATTTTTTTTTAAAATACCTTAAATCACCACAAGCAACAAATGGAACAATAATATGATTAGAACCTGAGAATTTATTTTCAGGACCTGTTTATTTGAAAGCAATTCATTATATAATTATTATTCAATTATCAAAAAAATAGATATATACATTATAAAGAAATTATATACAAACTATAAGATAGATCCAATAAAGGATTTATCATTGTTGGAATATAATCTTTTGGTGGTGTATAATTTTGACAGACAACAAATGCTTCTATATGTAATTTAAATTCAAAAAAAAAGAATTTTGATATTATTATAAATTCATAAATATTTTATAATATACAACCATAATAAAAAATTAATTTACCTATACTAGAATTTCTTGAACTTCGAGGTTTACAGCAAGTAACATTAGGAAAAAAAATTTTTAGTTGAGCATATAATAAAGTAACATCTTTACCACGGAAAATTTTGGCAACAAATGTTCCTCCCTGACATAAAATATTTGTTGTAATATTTAATGCTGATAATAATAATTGTGCCTGAATATATTCATCCATATCATGAAGCCCAGTTACTTTAAAAAAAAAAAATTGTATAAATATTATTATTTATTTATTATTATGAAAAAAGTGACATCTTTACCATCTGGAGCACCATCACAAACAACAAGATCAGCCAATTCTCCATCAAAACAAGAAATAATTTGTTCAGCAGTTGACACTTTTGTTATATCACCTTGAATTTGAATGACATTCTCAAGAGGTGCCTAAAAATTAAAAAAAAAAATAGATATTTATTATTTCAAAAAAAAAAAATAGGAAAAAAAAGAAAAATAAATTATATAACTTTTATACCATTGCTTGTAAATCCACGGCTACAATTTTTGAAGATGGTACATTATCAGAATTTTTACTGTTATAAAAAATGACAGTTTATAAATAAAATAAAATAAAATGAAAATCCATAATAGTATAAAAAATATTTATACTTTAAATTCTTTGATAAAACTTGAGACCAACTTCCTGGTGCTGCACATAAGTCCACTGCGCGTTGAACACCTTTACATTGTAAATTATTATAAATTATTATTATTATAGAATTATTAATAATGTCATATAATTATTTTGATTTTTATTATTACCTTCAAAAATATCAAATTCTTCATTAATTTGTAATAATTTGAATGCACTTCTAGCTCTCCACCCTTGTTCCTTAGCTAATCTATAATATATGTCTCTTTTATCTTTTGATGATTTTCCCATTTTTTCAAGAAATTACAAATTATTTGTCATTTTAAAAAAGTTGTGTCCGAGCCAATCACGTTCAATTTACATAATAAATGTATATTGTGTAATTTATAAATTTATATTTAAAATATAAAATTAATTTAATTAATTTTCAATTACAATTTTTATTTCAAAATTTTATAAAATTTTATTTTTGACCAGTAAAATATAAGTTTGTTTGCGAAATACAATATACATTTAAAAATTTTTAACACGTTTCACACAACTTCTGGTCTTTGAACCCAAGCATTTTTTATTTCATCCTTAGCGGATCTCAACTAAAAAAAAAGTAAATTAATTAATTTCTTTAATTATTCAAATTTACTTGAAATCATTCGTGAGTAATGTCTCAGGAAGAATAAATAAATAAATACCTCTTCTTCAGTTAAATTATCATCAATACTTTGTAAAATACTATCTACGACTGTATAATAATTTCCGTCCCTCTTATCATCACGAAATCTCATAAATTCCCATTTTTTTGATCCATCGGGATATTCTTTACGGCATACTTCAACAATACGACCATCAAGATTTAAATTTCTTTCTGATGTTTCTTGGTTGGTTATCATTTCTTGTTTTAACCATCTATATATACATATATAATAATAATAGAAACAATTAGAAAAAAATTAAAATAATTAGAAATATAATTAAAAAATAATACTCACTTTTCCCATAAATTGTCAGGAACTTGTAATTCATCATAATATTCATAATATTTTTTACCTTTATTTACATGTAACTCGAATTTATCTGGTCTCTGTTCTGGAAATAGTCTAATAGATGAATAATAACATTTTAATTTAAAATCAATGGAATTTTCATCCGGTGACTTCCATTTTAACCTTTTTATCAACAAAGAGAGAGAAAAATTTAGTAAAATTTAAAGAAATTTTTGGGTAAATAAATGAAATAAATAAAAAATTACATTGTTTTACATGTCCCAATTACATAAGGAGCGGGTAAGGAAGTGAAAATCAATCCATCACTCTTATGTTTAAATCGATTATTATTTTTACGCGAAAAATCTAATTCTTTATCTAATTCATAAGAAAATTTCATTCTTTTTAATATTAATCTAATTTAAAAATAACATAAAATTGTTCATTAATTCATTAAATAAATAATAAGATAAAAATAAAATAAAATAAAATAAATAAAATAAAATAAATAAATAAAATAAAATAAAATAAAATAAATAATATTACTTACTCGAATGACAATTTCTGGGTGTTATAATTATTATTATTATTATTATCTTTCAAATATTTTATTCGCCATTTTCGATGTGGTTCGATAATATATTCATTAAGACGACCCAATCTTTTATTAAGTGGTTTTTGCATTAAATTTTCTTCTCTATCTAAAAGACAGTCAAAAGCATATAATCGAACTACTACCTAATATAAATGAATAATAATAATATAAATAATAATAAAATTTATTGCCAATTAATAAATGAAAAAAAAACTCACTGATCCATCATCATACACGTCATTAACAATTTCACCATCGAATAATGTGCCTTTATGAGGTTTCGATTGATCTTTAGGATCCGGAAACACCAAACCTTCAATATAACGGTATTTATTCTTTCGATCAATCTAAACATAAAATATGTTGTTTATTAATTAATTTTATTCATAAAATAAAGTGAATTCAATAAATAAAATAAATTCAATAAAAATAAATACCAAATAAACCTCTTGTCGCCCATCATTTTCTGTCAAATAAACTAGTACACGTATTCCATCGGATTTTTCACATACATAATAACTATGTCAAAGGAAAATATCAAAATTAGAATATCGTAAGTTTTGACAATATACAAATATTCACTAAATAAATATATATATACACACACACATATATATATTTGAAAAGTAATATTCTCTTTTCTTACCTTTCTTGTAACAATTCTTTTATATGACATTTAGTAAAACTAATAGGTTGAGCTCCTGTAATAATAATAATAATAATAATAATAATAATAATAATAAAAGAAATCAATTATTATAAATCCTTTTCACTCAAACCATATGATGATGATGATGATTATTATTATTATTTCAATTTCCATACCAGGAAAATTTAAATTTTTTTTAGAGGGTTTAGCACTTTTGATCAACGGAATTTTTGTACACAAATGATAATAAATAATAATAATAATAATAAATAAATAAATAAATAATATAAATAATAATAAAAATAATAATAATAATAAATAATAATAATTAAATACTCGGAATCTTTTCCAAATAATAATTCTGATATTTTTTCTTTAAGTAATTTAGTTTGTTCTTTGTCCACTATTTTTCCAGGAATAGCTGGAAGTGCAACTGAAAAAAACAATTTTTTTTTAATATCTGTTTGACTGATATCGTTGATTAACCAACATTAACCAACACAGTTAACCTTATTAACAATAAATATAGCATTAACTAATCAACTAACTAACCATAAACTAATATTAGCTAACATTAGATAACATTGACTAACCTTGGGGAGATTCTTCACTCTCTAATTTTATTTGTTTTCTTGGAGTATTCATATAAACTATATAAACTGTTCTGTACGATCAGGTGAACTGTACTGTATAAATGTGATTGGATTTTCGTGTTTATATATGTAATCATATCATGAGTGGTCTATCATTTTTTTATCAACAACTAATAGTGATTACATAATACATATAATACACATGATACTTCTAAAGTTTTATTTTATGCGTTTTTTATTTAAACTTTTTTTATTCTTCCGGATTTTTTTTTTTTTTGTGAAAAAAAACAACAGAGATATACAGAGAGTAAAAAGGAAAAAAAAGAAAAAAAGGAAACTATGCAAACAATAATTATATACAGAGATTATTTTGGAATTTGGGAAAGGGGGAAAATTTTTTTAATTTCTCTATATTATATCTATATATATATATTATTTATTTTGAAATGTGTTGTTTATAAGTCTATATAATAAAAAAATTTTTTTTTTTGAGTGGGAAGAAAATAAGAAAAAAAATAATTGCTAATTTTTATATATAAAATGAAAATATGTATATATACTGTATATATGATTTGTATAATTGTATGAAAAGTTGAGAATTTTTGTGTATGTGTATGTATATATATATATATATATATACATACATATGATTATTATGTATATATTAACAAAGTGAGAGAAACAAAGGTAAATAAAAGTATGGATTTTTTTTTTTTAACTTCCTGCTACAATAATTCTTTGTTCGGTAGGTGAAGAATCACCATTACCATATAAAGCAGTTATTTGTCGAATCATATTATGATCTAATGAGCTACTACGTCTTACACGACCACCTAATCTTAATTTATGATGATGATTATTCGTTGATTTTATGGATGAATTTGAAGAAGAAGAAGAGGAAGATGATGAACAATTATCTGTTGTTATTGATGATATTTTATTATCATTATTGCTGGTATTCGTTAATGATGATATGTTATCGTTATTGTTGTTGTTGATTGTAATAATAGGAGTCATTACTAAATTTTCTAAATTTCCACCACCGACACCACTTTTGCTTTTACGACCATTAATAGAAGAAGAAGAAGCAAAAGGAGAAGAAGTAATAGTAGAACTAGATTCATTAAATAATATTCCATTATTAATAACTCTATCGTCATCCTCATCATCTTCGTCATCATCATCCAATAAACCATTCCGAGTGGGTAATAATGAATGGTGACTATAAGATCGACCAGATAAACTTCGTTTCAATCTACGATATCGAGGGGATCGTTGAGAAGACATTGATCGTAATTTTTCTTGAATATCATCAGGAATTATTAAAAGACCAGCTGCCAAACTAACACGACGTTGTTGTCCTTGTTGCTCATGTAATAATCCATCTTGTAATAGTCCTTCTTGTTTGAATTCTAGTTGTCGTAATTGTTTACGCTTTCCTTTTATTAATGATGTTGTTGTTGTTGTTGGTTTTGTAGTATTAATATTAATAGTAGTTTTTGTTGTTGTTTTTGTTGTTATTGTTGTTGTTGTTTTTGTTGTTGTTGTTTTTGTTGTTTGTGTAGTTGATGTATCATTTTTCATTTGATCCCAAAGAACTCTATTATCCGCCAAAATATCCAGAAATATAGAAGCTTGATGTAAAAATGATGCAAAAGCTTCGAAGTAAGGTTTTACTACAAAATCACCAAAACCCAAACTAATTTGACATTGATGTGATTGTTCTCTATCCATATTTGGTGATACTGGAAGATTATTTGATTTTTCTAAATCACCTTGATTAAAGAATTCTTCTACAATTAAATCTGACCAACGTTTTGAAGTATCCCAAGGACGAACGGTGTTACTAAGATCAGCAGCGTGAATTAATACTTTTAATAAAAGTTCACGTTGTTCTAAATCTAACGAAATTATTATGGATGATGGTCTTGGTAATATTATTTTAATATTACAATTACCATTATTATTGTCATTTCCAATGTTATTTCCGTTATTATTATTGTTCATTTTAATGGGAAATCTTTTGGATGGAGTTAAAGATATTGGGGAATTTTCGGGTGAAGATCTAGGTGAAGAAACAGATGAAGAATTATCCATTTCTTCACCTGACTCTTCAGCAGAGGAAGAAGAAGAAGAAGAAGAATATGGAGAAGGGGAAGAAGATAATGAAGAAGTAGTAGTAACTTCAATCATGTTATGTAATGATTCTAATAAATCGAAATGAAACGTCATATCTGTAGCCAAGATAATTTTAACGATCAAGTTTCGTAATGAATTTTCGATTTCTTTAGGATCACAACCTAAATATTCATCATCAATATGTATGTAACGGAATAATTTATGTTTAGTTATAAGATCCAAAGTAAGTGTGCAAGAATAATTTTCTAATACTGATTGATCATCGTATTTTTTGGCAAGTTCAGTTCGGGCGTTTACTTGATAAACATTATTTAAACCAGGCTAATAATAATAAATAATAATAATAATAAATGGTAAATATTAATATCAAATGTTATCAATAAAGAAGAATCAAGAAGAATCAAGAAGAATCAAGAAGAATTTAGAAGAATTTGGAAGAATTTGGAAGAACTTAGAATACTTACGTGACCAATATCATGACATAATCCAGCAATAAGTAAACATATGGAATCTAAAGCAGTCAAATATTTGCTAGCATCTAAATTGGTGAGCATATAAAATAATACCTCTACAACATCGACGGCATGATAGAAAGAGTGATAAGAAGTATCACAATAACCTTTCTCCACATCAATAATAAAATCTAACATCTCGGATTTACTGATATTGAGAGTACCGGCTAAATTTAGTTTAACCATCATCCCTAAAACTATACCATATAATTCTGGTATGGACCAATCCCACACTTTAAATTCCATGCCTATTCGTTCATCTAATTTTCCATCGAGAAATTTGAGCATCGTCTAAAAATAATGAAATAAATAAATAAATAAATAAATAAATGAATAAAAAAATTGAATTGAAGGGTTGAAGAATTGAAGGATTAAAAGATTGAATTATTAAATTATTTATTAACTTACTCGCTCACAAATAATGAGTTTGTCTGAAGAAAGTGTGTTATGCCTTAGGACGAGCATTATTATAATTTCTTTTAATTGTGTTTAATGTGTTTAAATTGTGTTTTTATTGTCTCTAATACGTCTAATTGTGTTGTTTTGTGTTGGTTGTGGTTAATTTTTCGTTTAATTACGTCAATTTCCGTTAATTTCTTCTAATTTTGTCTAATATTGAGGTTTTTTGAGTCAATTGTCGTCTTTAGCGTAAAGTTTTTATAAAAGGTTGTGCAAACTCCAAGTCCAAAGTGCTGGTTATTTTATCTATTCCTATATTTTTTTTTATTATGTGTATATATATATATATATACACACATATAAATACATATGTATTGATATATAGATATATATAGAGATATAGGTAGGATATTCTACTTGTATGCGTGCCCTTTCTTTGTTTTTAAAAAAATTTCTTTTTCTGTATTAAAGGAAAGGAGAAAAGGAAGAAAAAAGAAAAGAAACAAAGTTTTATTATTAATATTGGTTGTAACAGTAATAATAATAATGGTTATGAAGGTGGAAGTTGTGTTAGATATTCCTGAAACAATATATGATAATATTTTTTGTAATAATAATAATAGTAATAATAATAATGATGATGATGATGATAAATATAAGATATATAGATACAAAATATATAAAATATATTTAATATCTAAAAGATGATACTCACGAAAAAACTTTACGCGAAAAGAAAAGAATAAAGGTTTGACAAGAAGACAGGCAAACCGAAAATTATAATACCTGAGTCTATTTATATAAAAAACCGAAACCGAATTTTTTTTTTTTTTTAATTTATTATAGTTTAAATTAAATTTATTGTATAATATGTATGTATAAATATTTATCAAAGTAAATCAATTAACTACTTTATATCAATTAATTACTTTTATAACTTTTATATAAAAAAATTTATATAAAATGTTGTGTAATCTTGAATTTTCTATTTGGAAGAGCACAAAAAAAAGCACGCTACACACCAGGATTTTCTTTCTTAATAATTAAAATAAACAAAGATGTGATAGATGTTTCGAATGTGATAAGTACAGTATTATTAATTATCAATTTTAATATCAATTTTAATTATCAAAATTTTTTAACTTATTATCAATCAATTTTAATTATTATGATGATTCATATTATTATAATCTCCTATCGGAAATTATTATAAAAATTATAGAAATTTATAGATTATATAGATTATTATAGATTTTGTTGTAGATTTTTATAAATAATAATAAATAAATAAATAAATAAATAAATAAATACAAAATAAATCATAAATAGGTAGTAATAAATAATAATAATAAATAATAATAATACAAAAATGATACAAATAATACGCAGTTAGAGAGTTACCGTTAACGGTTAAAAATTACTTAATATAAAATGTAAAAAATAAAATACTTGTATTTAACATTATTGGTGAACAAGAACAATAACAAAAATAACATAATAATAATAAATATTAAATATTTTAAATATTATAAATAATAAATAATAATAAAATATTATTATTACTAATTTATTAAGTAGTATACAAATTGTCATATAAGCATATAAAGCATCATAATAAAGTCATCGTATAGTCAGTATGGTCACATATATAGTTCATATCTAATTCATATATATTCATAATAATTCAGGTATTTATTCGTTTTTTAAACAATTCATTAGTCATGATATTAAAAGTTAGTTCATTTAGTGATAACTAAATAATAATATTTATTACTATGAAATGATTTATATTATATATTATTATTATTACTATTATTATGATTGTTATTATTATGATTATGATTACACTACTTTTCACACAAGAAAACAACGAAGAACAAAGAAAAAAAAAACAGCTGCAAAAAACAACAACAACAAAAGAAAAAATATACTTTTTAAATGTTACTCTGTGTATTATTTTTTTGTATGCGTGATGTAATCATTAATGAACACCACATGGAAGGAGTACGAAGCAACACGAAGAATGTACGAAGGAGTAGAAAAAGGAGTACGAAGGAGTAGAAAAGGAGTACGAGGGAGTATGGTTAACTACTATTACTTCTTTTAACGTTTACATATATTTTTTTTTTTTGTATTTTGAATTGTATTTTGAATTATGTATTTTGAATTGTATTTCGAATTATATTAATTTTATATATATATACAGTCTATTAAGTATCGACAGTTTAATTATATTTGGTTAATCGATTCTTTAATTTTAACAAAAAAAAAAACAATGCTATAATTTGTATGAAGCTCATAATAATAATAATAATAATAATAATAATAATAATAGTAATAATAAATAATAATAAAGAATAATATTTATAATAATATTTATAATAATATTTATAATAATATTTATAATATGTATTATTATTTTTTTTTTGAGCCGGAGTTTGTCTTTTTCTAATAGTAGCAAACTTCCATTAACAAAATTCTAAATAGGGAATTGATTTCATAAATACATAACTCCCTACTCATTCATTCATTCATTCATTTTTCATATATTCTTTTAATAATTTTAACATTCTAGATTCACATCATACAAATCGTTCAACAAGTAAAAAAAGTGTATTTACGAAATTTTCATAAGGTTATTCTTTTTACAAAGAGATATAGTAATAATTAATAAACATTGATTGAAATGAATTTGCTTAAAATAGGCAAAAAGGTAAATAGTCTAAATAGGTAAAATGGGTAAAATAGGTAAATAGGACAAAAAAATAGGTGAAAATTCCTTATATAACTTATATAAGCCAATACTGGTTTTTTTGTAACTAATAATAATTTTCGCAAGTAGATTCTTATTATATCAATATTACATCACCTTTTTTTTTTTTCTTTTTTCTTTGTATTTTTTTTGTTTACCAATAAAAAACAAATATTTTTTTCATCAGCAAGAAACATTCATGCTATCATTCATGCTTATATTATTTATTCATTCATGCACTCTTTTTCTTACTTTTTTTTTTTTGATGTATTAGATAATTAGATAGTTAGATAATATGATAAAACACGATAATTTGATAATTGGTTAATATTTAATTAGTTAAATCGTTATGATAATTATTTATTTATTATTATTATTATGAGTTCCCAGAATTGATTTTATTTTTACTTGAAACCTGTCTGGTTTTTAACCAACAAACCCAACTAACTGATTAACGTTAACAACTATGATAAATAAATGAAAATAAATGAAATGATTTATTATTACAGTCAAAAAAATTTCCATGTGGCAAATAGATTTGGAAAGGTGATATTTTATTTCTTGGTGAATCTTCGCCCTTAATAGTATTTTAATAATACAAATAGCATTTGAGTTGACTTTAACCAAGTTTGGTAAGTTTTGTAGTAGTGAATAGTTAGTAAATAGTAAATAATAGTAAAATAGTAAATAATAAATAGTAATAAAATATAATACAGTGTATAGAGTACAAGAACAGAGAAAGTATACAGACAAAATTTGGAGTATAGAATATAAGAAAAGTATTGAGTATCACAGAGAGCAATGACCAACCTTAGATAATTGCCACACGATGTACACTTTATTTTTCTTACTACCCGATATACTATATACGTTATACATGCACTATATATTTATACTATATATACCTGTATACAGAATACAGTATAACATGTGTATAAACATTAAAAAAAAAATGACATGATATGGATTTCTACTTAATTCGAGTAAAATATTTAAATAATTCAAAAAAAAAAAAAAAAAAAAAAAAAAAAAATTTTTTTTTTTTTAAAAATTTTTAAAATTGTAATGATTCAAATGATAATTCAAAATGTGTCAAACTAAAAAAATATGAGTACAATTATTATGTCATTTTTTTATGAATAACTTTTTAATATTGTACTGTACTTTAAAGAATTCTATTAATAGGATTATTTGATTATCGGGAATATCTTTTTTTAATGTTATTATTTTTTTTTTTGAAATATTCTACTATAAATAATAATCATAGGTACGATATTTATTTATATTTTGGATTTTCGCAAACACAAACATCAACTTGGTAATTAAACTAATAACCAGATGTTTAGATATTAAAGATAATTCAGGTAATTGTGAAGATAAAATCAAGTTGAATGAAATCTTGAAATGAAATGTATATTATTTAAAAAAAATATATTATTATTATTAAAATAGAAAACTATTTGAAAATAGATAATTATTGAAAATATTAAAAATAGAAATTAAAAATAAATAATAAAGAAACAACAAATAAAAACAATGAATAAAGTTAAAATTTATTCCTGTAATCTATTGAATAATTTTTTTGTTGTGTTTGGCGGGAAAGATAGAATAATTTAAGTAAGATAGTAATATTAAGTAATATGAATATAGATAGTTAGAGTGATTAAAATGATATAGTAAAGATTAGAGTCAAAACTTTAAACCAACTCCTTTTATCAAAATTTCTTTATCAAAAAATTTCTTTATCATTTCCTAAAATTTTTTTAAAAAAAAACCAGTCACAAGAGTCACAAGATCACAAGAGTATTCCTATGACCCATTCTTTACAGTTTGTTTGATCATTTTTGGTTATTTTTGTTATTTTTGATTATGTGGGGTGGGAAGAGTTTACGATGACGGTAAATGATACAAATTTCCAATTATATAAAATTAAGAACAATTGAATGAGATATAATATTATCATAATGTATAATTATATAAAATAAAAATTTATAATATCGTATCGGTTCATAATATTGTCAACTTTAACCGGATGCAAAACGGATGTAACAAAAAACTGTTGGAAAAATGAACCAATCATCTTAAAAACAAATTTCATTAAAAACAAAAAAAGGGTATAATCTACCTATAAACAAATTTATATAACATCTGATAATACTTATTATACATATGATAATAATAATAAATAAACAAATCTTATTATTATTATTTATTCTTTATTATTTTTTTTATTTTATTATTATTACTATTATTATTATTATTATAGTATAGATAGTAATTCAAGTAATCGGGTGTCATGTAATTTACGGATCTTGTATTTTCTTGTGGCTACGTTTGTGTAAATGTTCTTTAATGTTCTCCAATATTCTCTTCTCCGATGTTGTTCTTTAATGTTATTCCTTTTTTCTCCTCTGATATAATTTATTCTGACTTACTAAATTTACTAAATACCAGAAAAAAACTTAAATTAAATTACGAATACATACACATTACATATATTATACATATTACACATATTACTCATATTACTCATATTACATTAATATTATCAATATACAATATTAATATAATATTATCAATATACAAATATTAATATAAATATTATCTATTATGTTATTTAGTATATTATTGTTATAGATGAAACATCCAAACACTCACGTGGTGATATATATATCACAATAATTTTATTAATCTTTGCATTGTTCTTGCTACCCCCTTTTTCCTTGACATCTCCTTTGCACCTCCTTTGCACCCTTTGCGACCATTGAACTCTTTGCGATCATCGAACCATTTGCATCCTTTATGTTCATTTTATTTTTTTTTTTTGCATCTATTGTAAATATATGTAAAACGTTAGTAGTTGTACATACGGTATCAGATTTATATATTTATAATGTTATGTTGTATCATATCAACATTTATGGAATTGCTAGCATTTATAATAACAATAAAAAAAATGTCATCATACTTTTTATTATTATTTACTTTTATTATAATTTTAAGGTTTTTTTTTTAAAATTTTTTTGTACTCTTGAACACAACATAAAAAATTACATAATGTACATACTGTACATACTGTATTGCATTGTGTACTATTGTGTACTCGACTTCAATTTTAACAAAAAAAAATATTTAAATATTTTCTTTTTTTTCTAAAAAAAACATCCTAACTTTAATTGCCATAATTGCCTTTAATTTTAACTTAATTATCACCCATTTTATTACCAACTTTGTTAGTCATTAAATTGTGTCATTAATTAGTGATTAATTGGTTAATTATCACCTTTGTTTTAATACTTATCAAGTTATTTGGTGAAAACATGGTTCGCGCGTGGGAATTTCCAAATATTTTTATCCAACATAATTAAATTATAGTAATAACAATACAATAATAATGATAAATTTACCCAATCAAAATATCACTAAAAATAATAATATCTTTCTTCTACTTAATTTTTTCAAAACGCAACGCGAGTGAAAAAAAAAATGTCAAAAAAAAAATGAATAAAAAAAAAACGTGAAGTTGATCATTTATTATTTAATATTTTTTGAATTTAACTGTTTAGAGTAGTTGTACAGACTATTTAAAAAAATTATTATCATCTGACCATAAACCATAACCAAAAAAAAAAAAAAAAATTCATTTTTTAATTAAACCTTGATTTGCTAATTCAACATTTTTTTTATTTGTACCGCCAAAAGGAGAAGAAAGCAGAGGGAAAGATGAACAGGGACCGAATAAAAATGAAAAAAAAGTTTAATCCCCCTGAACTTTGTTACATGATAGCGTCGTACTACGTACTAATGGACTAGTTCCTTTTTATTATTATTACCGTACAATTGTGCAATTATCATCGTCATTATTATCAATTATTTATCATCATTGTCAAAAAAGAAAAAAGAAAAATTGAATGATAACTTGTACATCAAAATTTTTACTTTTGGAAATTAGGATTATCACAAAGGAAACAATATAAAAGTATTTACTTTATAAAAAAAAAAAAAAATGAAATCTTTGTATCATTTTCCTAGATCGCGCGTGGTTATTATGCATGTATGCATGAGTGAGTGATAAATGTAATTTTATGCAAAAAAGAAAAAAAAAATCGGTGACGAATCAATTTGCATATATCAGACTAAATATTGCATAATTGCATTTCAATTTTACTTCACTATATTTTCATTTATATTCATCATAATAACGTATAATAATATCTATTGTTATTATTATTATTATTATTATCAATATTATATTATTAATTGGAATTTTTATTTAAATACCATGAAGTTTATTATAATATATAAATTTGGTAAATTTAAAAATTTTTAATACTTAATTTAGAATAAATTTTGATCGAAATAAAAAAGTAATCGCTGAATGGTTTATGTAATTGTTGGAATAAAGAAATGGATTTTTGGTAATGAATTATTTTACATACCGTAAATACTCTATTGTACTGTTTATACTGTAAAAACCAATTTAAAAAACCAAAAACGATACGGTGACTTTTTAATTATCTTTAAAATTAAATTTTTAAACACACAAAGACAAAAGATTAACTTTTCTTTTTTTTTTGTTCCCGATGTAATTACAGTTATTGCCCAAACTTGGGAATTAATCGATGGCTAAGCTTTTAGTGCAGATAGTAACGTGATAGGCGTAAAAATTTGGCGTTTATCAGACAGATTAAATTAGATTGTTTAAATATTTTAAATATCACAATAAATTAACATTATTAATTATATTATTATATGTGATAAAAGAAATTTTGTTTCTTGTGATCATTGGATACAAATCACATTAAAAAAAAATCCACATTAAAAAAACACATATTCTTATTCTACATTCGCATGACAACAATCGCATTACATTATAACGCATTATTATTGATTTCAAAAGAAATTTTGGCGGGAAATTTGGCGCATGGTCAATAATAACTTGAACAAAAATAGTCAATTTTCGATCTTTTTTTTTCAGAATAAAAACAAGATATTATCAAACTGTAAAAAAAATATATTTATTTTTTAAAATGAAAAATTTATCCTCTTTGTTAAAAAAAAGAATTCTTTCTTTTGTTCTTTTATAATGATCTTAATATTTGTTCTTTTTGTTCCTTGTATTCGTTGTTTCTTCTCCGTATTAATGAATGCTTTCTGTAAATGAGATAACTGAATTGGAATGTTCAAAGATAAAAAAAAATATTCATTAAGCTATTTTACATAGGATTCACGTGACTTTACAGAAAGTTTATTTCTTTTAACTTATTATGTAAGACTTAAAGCTAAAAATTTACACTTTACATTGAATGAACGTAAAAAAAGGACAACTAAAAAAGAACATCTTTAAACTTTCCGGGTATTGATGTACAAATTTTCTTTCAAATCAAATTTTAAAATTTTTTTATACAAAGAAAATTCAAAACAAGCAATAACAAATTAAAATAAATCATCTTGAATGCATGAAATGCAATTCAAATGTAATTACATCTAAAGTTAAATCATTGCCGATTGGTTAAATTCAAGTTAATCGCATGTACTTCAAAAAAAAGTTATCTTTATTTATAGGTATTCGTTCGAAGATGAAAATTCTATTCATATGCAAAAGTATTATTTTTTTATTTTGTTTCAGAAAAGTAATGAAACAGGTATGAATTTCAAAAATGTTATATCAAAAATATTTTTTATATACCTTAGTAAAATTAGAAAAAGAAGATTGCATATCTTTAAAAGGAATGAGAGTATCATTAAGAATGTTTATTAATGTAGTACTACCTTAATTATATAAAAATTACGGCGGTTCGAGGCGAATCAAAGTTTTTTTTCGTTTTAAAAAATCAAGATTGTTCATCGTTTAAACTTTTAAAACCAAAGTGCCAATCAGCACTTAAAATAATTTAGGAATTTGCCTTGAAAATATTTTATTGTTGATTTGTGATTGGAAATTTTACTTGAAAGATCCGAAGTTTTTTTTTTTTCTGTTTACACTTTCCGTAGATATGCGTGTACTGTAAATAAGATAATAATATTTTATTAATCAATAGAAAAGTGAACTTTAATTTTAACATGTAATTAGACGTTATTATTATTCCCAAATTTTTTTTAAAAAAAATTCTAGACTTTTGAAAGTTGATATTAAATATTGTAAATGTAGTAATATATGATTTTTATTATTGTTATTTTAATTATTTTAATAAAGAAATACATTATTGTAACAGTTTAACGAAAAATAAATAAAACTTTAATAGTTTTAATTTCTCTTTTTAGATTATACATAAGGTATTTGTAGAATAAAGCTAAAATCATGATCACTTTTCTGGTTTTTTTTTTTTACCTTCTTTCAATTGATAAGAAAAAAAAAGAAAATTAGGATAACAAAGAGACGAAATACTGATCTCTTTTGTGATAATAATCACTATTATTAAATATCTTTTTCCATGTTATATGTTGCTTTTTATTTCTAATGCATCTAAATTTTAGGTTTCAGCTTGTACACTTCGGCACTGGACCAGGGAGGACAAAATACAGTCTTCTAGACTTCTAGATTTCCTTTGGGACACAAAGCTTATAATGTCCAGTCCAAGCTTAGAATCTCAATGTTAATGCTACCCTTGTCTATGCCAAGATTCACGTGTTGAAACCCAAAAATTAGTTGAATTTTTGACATGTATAGCCAAAAATCAGACTGATATTTGCAAATATTTCTTATTATACTTTGTATGCTTTTTTATATATTTGACTTGTAACCTTTAGCTTAAAGAAAGTAGACAAAAGAAATATGGTTTTCCAGATCATTATCTCATTTGGATATTGACTCCAATATCAATTATATATCAAATATCAAAAATCAATCAAATTTTTTTTGTCTACCTATAGAATTGCTAGATAGTTAAAAATATTTAAATTAAAATATTTAATTAATATTGATCTGATTTGCATGAAACTATTACTATTGGATTTCTTTCAATTAGAAAATTCAATTAATTATAAATTAAATGGCTAAAAATATGTTAATTTAAATTTTTAAAATTTAATTAAAATAGATACAAATAGGATAATAGAATTTAATAAATTTAATAAGGTAGATATATAGTATAGCTAGGTAATGTAATTATAAATTGCAGATTATAATTTACAATTATTAATTTGCAAGTTTACAATGTTCACAATTTATATAATTATATTATTATTTTGAAAGTTAATAAAAATTAAAAATAATTTATGAATGTCAATATATATAGTAAACTTAATTTTGTTATTAAAAATACCAAAAATAATACTAAGTAAACTTAAAGATAGAAATAAAAATTTATTTATTTCTAAAATTTAAATATATTAATAGGAATGGGGAATAATAATTATTTTTTATTATTAAATTTTTAAATATTTAAATTTAAATATCTTAATTTTAAAAGTAAAATTTTGAAACTTTTAAATATAAATCATTCTTAACATTAAATATAATTATTAATGTTTTAGCATTAACTTATTAAAAGTTTTATATGTAGTAATTATTTTTGAATTTAATTTTCAATCAGTAAGCTATATTTTAAGGATGTTAGAATAACTTGATATAAAGATATTCAATTTTAACTAGATTTTAGCCACAGGGTGTGAAGATAGTTTTGTAATAAATCTAGAATATTGAGATTCTCAAGTAGATTTGATCTAATTCAATTTTTGAGTGGTCTATTTTTTATTTTGGTCTCAAGTCAAACCAACTGAACTGTTAACAATACTAATGATAGTGGGCTCAATTAATATTAGAGCTGGCTCCGGAGGTTTATGTATTAAAAAAATTTACTGAGCATTTTCTCACTCCGTGGTTGATCATGTGACAGTTACGGAATCACCATCAAGGAGTGTAGATTTTTTGGTTGATTCGAAATGTAAAAACAAAACTTTTGATTCGGTTTCTATCATCATAAATTCAATAATGTAATTGTTTCATTAATGGAGAAAATTTGATTATTCTCTATTTAATTTCTTCGAATGTAATATTCATTATGTCTTCTAAATTTAATTTCTTCAATCTATCAAATGCAATCTTCATCATGTCTTCTAAACCTCTATTTAATTCATCTTCCTTATTACCATTTTTTATTTTTTCCTCTAGAATAGGTATGATTTCTTCTCTTGTTCTGTCATTAACAAATATGACAAATTTGAATCCATATTTTTGTTCATACACTTCATTTAATTCTCGTAATTTTTTATTTACTACTTCATCTAAAACATTAGAAGTTTTTTCATTTACTTCTTTTAACTCATTAGATGATGTTTTAGAATATCCTTGTTCTTTTAAACTCATCGCTGATAATTTTTTTTTATTTTCACCTAAACGTGGGTGAGCATTAATAATTTCAAGTTTTTGTTTGTAAGTTAACGAACCATTTTCAAAAATTATTTTAGTTGCAGTTGAAATTAAAGAAGTGTACGATTCAAAAGGGCGAAAAGTATAGAGAATAATTGCGAGAGGTGGTGAAGGTTCAAATAAAATATTTATTGATGAATTAAACGTATTGTAATCTTGCAAATTTAATTCAGAGATGGGAGGAAGAGACGGTAATTCTGACATTTTGTAAAATTTTGATCTGCCTAAAAAAAAAAAAAAATTTACGTATACAGTGAAACAGTGCATAAATAATTTGAATAGAATTTCAAACTATCGCCCGAACAACGTTTTAGATCCGTCTACAGAGTGTCTCAACATCTACTTTGAGAAAATTTTTTTCCGGTTGATCAACGGAATACATTTTCTCATGTTTCGATTGAAGTGGAGAGTTAAAGTGGCAGTATCTTAGTCAGGCAAATATCGTAAATCTAATTTTTTTTATTATTTTAATGGGCGTCCGAGATTTAGAAGAGTGCGAAACACTCGAAATAAGGCTACCACGTAATGAAGTCGACTCAACACAATTAATAGATTCTAATCCTAGTGTTGATCGCTCAAACGGCCAACAACGAATCCCCTCTCCAACTTCAAATTCTTCCGAGAAATTGTCATTTTTAAATAAACCTAATCCTACAACTAGCTTAAATTGTCCAACATCAATATTCCCTCCTACAAAAAAACCAATATACATACCACGAAAAACTTCCACTGCGACCTCAATGCGAAATGCCTCGGCTTCATTTTCATTTTCATATCCCATAATAATAGTATTCTTAATAACAATTATCTTATTGGGTGTGACTTTGGACTCATTTCTTCATCATCAGAGGGACACGATAGGATGTGAAGTTCCACGCATGAATCCTTCATATATTAAACAAATAGGATTTGATAGTGAACAAACGCGATTTGCGGGAAAATATGGTCTCCATTTATATAGGGACTTGTCATATGATCATAGCGACCAAGTAAGCACAATTAATATTTTATGTTAAAAAAAAAAATTAAAAACTAAAATTTATTCATTTAGCCCACAGGAATTCCGGCCCTTTTTATTCCTGGAAATGCTGGTAGCTATAAACAAGTAAGATCTATTGCTGCGGAAACATCAAAGTTATATTATTATAAGAATCTATCAAACAAAGCAGGATTGATGAATAAAGGTTTAAGACCTATTGATTTCTTTACAGGTACTTTCTTTGACTCATCGATTTTAATGACTTTTTTTTTTTATAATATTATATATATATATTTTTAAAAAAAATTGTTCATACTTTTTTTAAATAAATAAACAGTTGATTTCAATGAAGAACTTTCCGCTTTTCATGGACATTCTTTACTCGAACAAGCGGAATATCTTAATGATGCTATTAGATACATTTTATCATTGTATCCAGCAGTTAGAAAGAATCAACAAACCAATTCATCAGTTCAACCACATCCAGACCCTACTGCTGTAATTATAATTGGTCATTCAATGGGTGGAGTGGTCGCAAGAACTTTATTTACAATGTCTAATTATCAATCAGGTTCTATTAATACAATTTTAACTATGTCTTCTCCACATTTAATGCCACCTGCACCATTTGACTGGCAAATAAGTAAAATTTACACAGATATTAATGATTTTTGGAGAAATGGATATTCTCAAAGTGCAACCTCTCAAAATTCTTTGGTGGATGTTACTTTAATTTCAATCGCTGGCGGAAATTTGGATACTGTAGTGTGTTCTGATTCTGCAAATATTAATTCACTCGTTCCAGCGTCACACGGATTTACTGTTTTTACAACATCTATTCCTAATGTATGGACTGCAATGGACCATCAATGTATTTTATGGTGCAATCAATTGGTCAAGGTTGTTGCAAATTCATTACTAAGTGTTGTTGACATTAGGCGTGCCAGTCAAACAAGACCAAGTTCAGAAAGGATGTCTGTATTTCGTAAAATCCTTTTATCTGGACTTGAAGAACCCGTAGTAGAGAATGAATCAGATAAACTTAGGAGAGGTGAACCAAATATTTTAAAGTATATAATAAGCATATCTACTTTGTTCTGAAAAATCTTTAACTTGAATATTGTGGTATTGGCAGAACCTTTTGGGATCATAAATCTGGAAAAGGTGTCTCATAAATTTTTGGATATGGGACAGAGACTTGTATTAAACAATTCCGAGTTAATTTCAAAAGTATATTTAATGCCGATCCCACCTCCAGCACCCCATTCAACATTAAATACATTCTCTTTTTTGATGGGTCAATCCTTTTCCAAAAATTCCGAACTTGATATACTTTTATGTTACGTGATGCCGACAGAAGTTCCCACGCATTATAGCAAAGATGATTTCTCGGTAAATGATTTATCATTACCAATAAACCCTAGATTGTCATGTCATGTGGCATCAAACGAAACATCATTGGTACCTGCTTCGACATTTGATGTAAAGCATCCCTTTTCTGGCGAGACCTTTAACTATTTAAAATTAAAGGTCAAGGAATTGGGAGATTATCAATATATTGCTGTTATGTTTCATAATGATTTTGTCATGAAGGGATTTTTGGTTGGTGAATTCTACGATGAAAGTTCTTCTTTGATGGACATTAATACGTCGATGAAAGGTTGTAAACTTTTTTAGTAAATTTTTAAAGTTCATATTTTATTAATGAATTCCTAATATTTATTATTTTATTATTTCTATTATTTCTTATGTATGCCATTAGATCTTTTGATAGATGGAATTCATATCGATTCATTTCCTGAACAGAACTCTTTAGTGTCCATTCTTCGAATTCCTGTTATTTACAGTAGTTTGTTGACCTATAAAATGGCTGTCCATCGTATTGGATGTACCGGTAAAGAAAAAATTATTCAAGTAATCTAAACTTAGGAATTAATTCGTTTTGTCTGTAAACTATCATTTAAAGTTATTTATAATTAATTGATATATAGGAAACCAACTTTTTGCACCATTTTTACGACAATCAATTTCCTCAATGTTTGAGTCTAAGTTTCTAATTAATATTGAAAAAGCTGATTTAAACATTCACGGACAAGCACCTTTTATCACACCTGTCAGTGCTCCAAATTTACAAAGGGGACTTGAACTGAAATTTTGGATCGATCCCACTTGTTCTGCACCATTATCAATCGATATTGAATTAGACCTGTATGGAAGTTTAGGCAAAATAGTAATGCGTTTCCAAACTGTTTTGGTCGCATTTCCTTATATAATAGTTATAATGACTTTGAGAGCTCAATTAAGAGAATATAATCGCGGTGGTAAGAATACGTCAATATCCATTATTTCCATCATTTATATTTGTCCAATTATATTTGTTCATCATTTGTCATTACGTTTGTCCATTATATTGAATTTCACATTTTCTTATTGTTATATATTTTTATGTTTTTAGAGCCATTCCTGAGTTTCAGTCAGGGATTAGCTCTTTTCGTTCGTCAAACTTTTCCAAAATTTCTCATTGCTGTGACTATTTTATCGGTTTATCAATCTGTTACTGGAGCATCAAAAACTTATTCATTAACAGATTTATTTCCGATGGACTATACATCTGGAGATATGCAGAAAGTCATTAAAGCTAAAGCTTCCTTTAACGTGAACGATACTCTTCTCGGGAATCAAGATCCGTTCTTTTGGTTCTTACCTCCTGTTTTTTTTGTTATGAGCATCGGAATAGTTACCTTCTGTTGGGTTCTTTTAGGATGTATTGTTAAAATTTTTGCAGGTGCTACGGTATTTATGAGTCGCCAAGGAAAATTTTCAACACATTTAGTGAATAGGTAAGAATTTTCTTTTTATATTATATTTTTATCGAAATTTATTTTGGTATTTATTTATATATATATATATATTGTTAGGCCTTCTGAATCAAATAATTATAGATTGCGTCGTCGCGGTATAGCAACAATTATTCTTTTCATTTCAGTAGCTACATTCGTGCCATATCAATTTGCATTTGTAGTTGCATTTTTTGTTCATATAGTATCATGCGTTCGATCCTTAATCATAGCTCGAATTGGGGTATTTGGCATGTTCTTTTTATAGTTTGGTTTTTACTTTTGCGTCTTTTCTTCTAATATTATATTATGCTTATACATTTAATATTAGTATAGATCATCAAATATTCAAGAAAATTGGGATCACTGTCATTATTTACAATCGATACTTTTAGTATTATTTATGCTTTTACCTTTTAATTTGCCTGTATTGATGGTTTGGATACGGAATATGTCCGTGCATTGGTTCGCACCGTTTTCATCGGATCACAATATACTGGCAATTGCTCCCATTGTATTTTACGTCGGAATTATTACCAGTGGAAAAATGTTACCTAGAGCCATAGGAAGGTAAGAAATCATTTTTCTTGCATATAACACATTTATCATCCATTTATCATCCATTTACCATCCATTTAATTTATCATATTGACAATAATTTTATAATATTGTCAGCAATTTCCGATTTGTGACCAATATTTTGTTACTTCTGATAACTATTTATGTGTTATTGTATGGAGTGCGGTATACATATTTAATTTATTTTTCCTCATTGATATTTATATCATGGCTAATATTTCTTCATATTGAAGAACCATTATTTGGCAAAGCAATAGACTTTTATTTACAAAATATATTTAAACGAAATAAGAAAAGGTCATAGCATTTTTTTTTAAAAAAGAACAATTCGAACATTAGACAAATTAAAATAATTTCATAATTGTAAAAACTTAAAATATTTTAGTTCATACAATATTCTTGAATTAATATATTAATTTTCCTTATTTACTTTTTAACAAATACTTTAGACATTTGAATCCTTATGTTATTAAGGTCTTTAATTAAATTTTAATGTTTATTTATCATTTTAGCACATTAATTCTATGTATTTATTACATAAATAAAATAGTTCTTTCAAGACACGTAATTTATTTTCTTGTACCCGTTATTAAATAATTAAATATTAAAAAAATCACGTATCATTATTATATATCTCATCCTCATCATGTAGCACTTTTATGTAATTTCGTCTTTTTATTTTCAACATTCTCTTCGTTGTTTCGTTTTAAACATTTCCTAATTTCCTGCACTTGCTCTTCTGATGCATTTAACGACAATTCTTCGTCTGATTCTATAACAGGATCTAAAAATTATATATGAATTTATATTAATTACATGTCATGTGATTTTATTCACATAAAATGTACATACCTCCAGCCGAACTTAAAGTAGATTCTGGAGAAGACAAAGTCTGATCATCATCAGAAGAGACGGAATCCTGATCTTTTTTTATTATTATTATTATAATTATTAAAAAATCATTTTATAATAAAGCTAAAGATTTTAAAAGCACCTTCACATATTAAACTTAATATTAGATACCGTCAATACTTTCGTTAACGTCGTACTCAGGATTGGTTATTTCCCATCCTAAATTTGGTTAAAACAATTTACTTCATACGCGATACATATATTATAATCGAAGGAAATACCAAAATCGGGAGTAAAACCTGGTATTTGATCAAGTATTTTTTGCTGGTCGTAAGGGATTTTTCGACATGACATCGAATGAATCCTTTTATCTACGTTCTGAATTGAAACCAAAGTAAAATATTTTTTCTAAAAAAAAAAAATTCAGTGTTACCGTAAAACTATAAATACCCTCCATCCAGGATGTTCAAAAGGGTTTCTATTTTTGTTCGCGCTACGTTTTATTCCAGCTTGATAGTCCATATCGTCGTAAATAGATTTTAAAGAATAATCAAATTCCGGTACAATATTTGCAGAATAATTAAATTTTTTAATTTCTAAAGTAATTAAATTTGAAGATTTGTTATGATAATGGATTATAGAGTATTCGTGAATGATTATAAATGCTCCCTTTATAGATTGCAGAGTAATTCTATTTTGGCTATATCGCGTAAAAATAGGACAATCCGCAGTAAAAAACAAAATTAGTATTTCGTGATATGATTAATTTCTGTAAAAAGTTATTTGATTGTAAAACAAAAAAAAGAAAACAAAAATAACAAGAAGTATAAAATATGATTGTGTGAAAAAAAAATTTTTATTCTTACCATTCAAACTCTTGCGAACAAATTGCATTAAAGGAACATCGAATGCTATACTCCGTGTCATGAATTTCTGCATAAATAATTTTATCAAGGTTCCGTTGTTCGGTATTAATTGTAAAAAACTAAAAAAAATTGACGCGTGTATCGAAATGTTTTATTTGATTGATATGTAAAAACTTTCCTTTCATTACTTTTATTAGCGTACCTCAATTATTTGCGCTCTGACGGGTTTTTGTTTGGGTCCAGGACCCAAGTATAAATAATTTAAAACTTTATTCTTTATCCATGGCTTATATAGAAAACGAGACATCTACTGTGAAAGTGAATAAAAACGAGACATCTACTGTGAAAGTGTATAGAAACGAGACATCGACTGCGATAGTGAAGAAAGTGAAAATAAAAAAATGAAATACGAAGATGCATTAACACAAATTATTTTATTTTTATAATTTACAGGTATTTAAACCCCCTTCTTTTTGTACTCAACTTTCATGAGAATGTTTTTTTTTTGAAGCTAAACTTTTTCGAGAAAATTACAAGATTACTTTATCCATTTATTAAAATTTCAAAAATTACATTTCAATGCACCACTTTATGTAACGAAATATATTTCAAGAATAACGCGCGAATTTGTCAAATCTTTTTTTATAAATTATCAATTAACCATTATAGGAATAGCTTCGTGTTAAGAACGCGTGATTTCAAATAATGATTGTTTGACACATGATAAAAAAAAAACCAGATTTATCCTGTCATTTTTGAAAAAGATAAATGGATAATTAATGCTTAGCCTCATCTCAGGAGGCAAAACAAAGGGAAAAAAATTGATTTGGTTCTTTATAAATAAAAAAAAACTTTCATCATCCAATTGATTTTTAATTCATATTTTATTTTTTTATTTTTCGAAATTCAATGAAAGATTTGAATGATTTTGAATTATGCTAATCTTACTTTCTTGTTCCTCGTGGTTGCGAATTTATTATTCAAAAAATCGAATTTTCTTTTGGCATTTAAATTTTTGGTATTTCCTGATAATTCCTTTTCTTTCTTAATCCTTTCCTTTTTAGATAAATTTTTCTTATTTTTGTTGCTATTACTAATGTATTTAGAATTATCAATATTGAATTTGATATTTGATGGTGCTTCTCTTAATCCAAAACTTTTAGCTATATGACCAAGGTGTAATTTTTTGATATGAAATATTTGTTTTTCCAAGGAAGAATGTGTGGCATATGCTCGAATACTTGATGAAAACGCTCTCTCTGCTAATTCTGTACACTTAATAATATATAAATTTATATGATGTTTGTATTAATTATAAATAATAATAATAATATAATAAATAATAATAATAATAATAATAATAATAATAATAAATAATAATAATAATAATAAAATTATTACCTTTGAGTTTGAAAGAATATATCTTTCAAATTTTAACTGTATGTTTGTTGCTTCAAATTCATATTCCTGGTTCTTAATTGGCATTAGACTTTCTAATAATGTTTCCACTTTAACAGATTTTGCATGTATTCCATGTGATTTTAAAGCATTAATATATTCAATTTCACTTGGTAACAAAAATAAGATTGCTTCTCCTTTTTTACCTAACCTAGCAGTTCTTCCCACACGATGAACATAATCTTTTATATCAATCGGTGGATCATATTGTATAATCTTTGAAATACCAGGAAGGTCAAGACCTCGAGCTGCGACATCTGTACAAAATAATATACCAGTTTCTGCTTTACTAAAATTATTAAATATTGTTGTGCGATCAGCTTGTGATAATTCTCCATGTAATTTATAAAGTGTTGTATTAGGAATTATTGTACTCTTAACATAACATGAACATTTAGATAAATCGTTGTTATTATCTTCAAAAGATTGTATTTTAACTTTATTTTTTGAATCATCAATTTGTTCTCTGGGAAATTTCCCAGAATTGGCAAACAAATCAAAATGAAAATCAACGGAATCACAACATGATAAGAATACAACAATCTTTGAATTTATTGTATTTTTTTCTCTAAATGTAGATTTCAATAATGAAGTCAAAGTAATCAAACGTAATTTGGCAGGTGTGGTCACATAAGTTTGTTGTAATTGATTAGGAGTTGAATAACTAGAATCTTCGGGATCATTTTTTTCCCCTATAAAAATTGGACTATCCAAAGCATATCCCGCTAAATTTTTAACATTATTTTTTAATGTAGCAGAACAAAGAATGGTTTGTCTTCTCCGTGGCAAAGATGATGAAGTGAAAGGTAATTGATTTTGAATATCATCATCATTACTTTTTTCATCAAGTATTTTTAGTATTGATTGAAGTTTTTCTTCAAATCCCAATTCCAAAAGACGATCCGCTTCATCAAGTACTAACCAACGTAAATGTTTCACTATAAATGATTTTGTGGTTTGTAAATGATCTAATAATCTTCCAGGAGTGCTGACCAAAATATTTATACCTTTACGAAGTCTGGCCTTTTCGGATTGTTTTTTTTCACCTCCTATAATTGATCCAGGAACTATCCAATGAGTTAAATGAAGAGTAGAAAGTTTCGAAGATGGTATATTAATTAAAGAATTTATAACTAAAAGGATTTGCTTTGCTAATTCTCGTGTTGGAGTTAAAATAATGACGAGAGTACCAATATTTCTAGAAAATGATGAATTCCTAGTAGTATCTTGTGTATTTTGTTGTTCAGCAAACATTAAACGTTGCACTATTGGGAATAAATAAGCTAAAGTCTTTCCTGAACCGGTTTCGGCTTGTATAAATACGTCAGCATCATCATTTATAGAGTTCAATAAAATTGGGATTGCTTTTTGTTGTATATTTGTTGGTTTTTCGATCCCAAGTTTTTTTTTCACGTTAGAAATTAATTCAGAATTTAAGCCTGTGCCAATGAAAGATGAATTATTATTAATAGAGTGATTACTTTGATTATTTTGATTTGAATTTTTTGAATTTTCTGATTTTATCTCATCATCAGGAATATTAATAATCTTTGGATTATTAGTGAATATTGATGAAATAATCTGTGGATTTCTTGTTAATCCATTACTGCTAATATTATTAATATTGTTAATATTGCTAATGTAATGTGAATTTTTTTCTTTTTTTTCATCATTATTTTCATGATTTTGTTGCTTTTTACTATTATTCAAATCCAAATGCCTGACCAATTTTGATTTCTTATATAACTTTTCTGATATTTTTATCTTTCCATCTTTTCCATCTTTTCCATCTTTTCCATCCTTTTCATACTTTCCATCTTTTCCATCCTTTGACTCTCCACCTAGAACTTGAGAATTTTTGATAGAATTCGTTGCATTTTTTTTCAAAGACTTGCGAACTTTGCTTTTTTCTCTCCAACCTCCACGAACTCCTTTCAATTTTGATCGTATACTTGATATTTCCGAATTGGAGTCATTAGAATTATGAGTCACAAAATTTAAAATTAAATTCATATTATCCATTATCGAAATAAGATAAATTATGCGTGTAAAGAAAAAACAGATCAGATTATATGGGGTACAAGTGAAATTTAAGGTTCAAAAATGGTGTCCCTATTTATTATGGGTCCTACGGAAAGGTCAATTCCTAATACATGACCCTAAAATTTTTAATTATCGGCAAAGATTTCGTTTTTGATAGATTTACGGTTAATACCATGTGTCCAGCATAATTAGTTACGCACGTTACTTAAAGTATCAAAAAAATAATGTATCAAAAAATAACCAAAAATGCGTCATACATATCTTGATAAGATCGAAATCCTCCGGGAGCTTTAATTAAGTTTTAGATTAGTATTGCTCTTATCTGGAAATAAGTATTGTTCTTGTTTGAACTGGTTTCTGTTGTGAAATGCAACTTCTATAACTTCTATTTATATTAATACGATTAAATACGATAATAAATAATGCAAGATTATCTATCTACTATAATTATAATAATAATTATAATTATAAATAATAATTAGGTAGATATTTTAGATATTTTAATTATTTTTTTTCGATTATTTTTTTTCTTATCCTCTATAATCATGAGTACTGGTACTGCTTTTGTTTTAAAAATATATAAACACGAAGCTTATTTTTATTATGGGATAATATATATTTATGATTATTTTATTATATTATTTATAATTATTTTATTATATTATTCATTCTTTAGCACTTAATGAGCTCGATGACAAACGAATTAAGCAGATAAGACCTCTGATACCACCGGCAATTTTAATGGAAGATTTGCCTCTGACCCCGAAGGCATTTGAAACTGTAAAAAATGGCCGTGAAAAAGCAGCGGCAATAATAAAAGGACAAGACGATCGATTACTCGTTGTTGTAGGTCCTTGCTCCGTCCATGATGTAAATGCTGCTATTGAATATGGTATGGTTCATTATTTTTTAATTTTTTTTAATTTTTTTTTTTTTTGTATTTTAAGCATTTCTACGATTAATTAAGATTCATTTCTATCCCATTTATAATAGCTATAAGATTGAAAGCTTATTCCGATGAAGCGAATAAAGATCTTTTCATTATTATGCGAGTATATTTTGAAAAGCCAAGGACCACTGTTGGATGGAAAGGTTTGATTAATGATCCATATTTAAACAATAGGTAATTTTAAATTATCTTTATCTATTTTTATAATATTATAATATTTCATTATTTATAATATTATAATATTTCATTTTACAGTTTCCAAATAAATAAAGGATTACGCATTGCACGTAACCTTCTAATGGACTTAGTAAGCGTTTCAAATATAATATTTATTATTTAATTTGTTGAAAAAACATAATATTATTTTATTATTAATATATTATACATCACTTAAATAGAATGAATTGGGTGTTCCATGTGGATGTGAATTCCTCGACACAATCACTCCACAATATATCGCCGATCTGGTTTCTTGGGGTAAATTTTAAGAAATATATATATATATATATTCTAATAATAATAATAATAATAATAATAATAAACAAGATATTGATATTTTATTCCAGGTGCAATTGGTGCTAGGACAACTGAGTCTCAGGTTCATCGTGAATTAGCATCGGGATTATCGGTACCCGTTGGCTTTAAAAATGGTGAGGAAACATTTTATCTTTAATTAATTAATTTATTAATCAACATTTTATCTTTAACAATTTGCTAATTAAAAAAAAAAATCATAATAATAATAAATATAGGAACTGATGGAAGTATAACAATTGCTGTAGATGCTATTAAAGCAGCCAGCAGTGGACATCATTTCCTTTCTGTTACTAAACAGGGATTGAGTGCTATTGTAGAGACAAATGTAATATAATCTATATATCTATATAATCTATATAATCTATCTATATAATCTATATAATCTATCTATATAATCTATATAATCTATCTATTTAATCTATATAATCTATATAATCTTTAGAATTTTAAACTATTTTTTTTATCTTTTTTCTTTTGAACAATAATAATTAAATCAATCTAATAGGGTAATGACAGTTGTCACGTCGTCCTAAGAGGTGGTAGCAAAGGTCCAAATTATTCAGCTGAACATGTTAAATATGTTTCTGAAAAATTAACAGCCGCTAATTTACCTGCGCGAATTATGACAGACTGTAGTCATGGTAACAGTCAAAAGAAATACAGTCGACAAGTTGATGTTGTCAATGACATTGTATGTTTATTATCCTATACTATTATTTATTATCTATTATTATTATTTATTATTACTTATTATTATTTACACCTTTTGTATGGTATTTTATTTTAAATATAATCTTTTCTTTTTTATATTATTTAAAAAAAAGGCTGAACAAATCAAATATCAGGAAACTGGGAACTTTATTATGGGAGTAATGATTGAGAGCCATTTAAAAGAAGGTATGAAATTATTTATTATCCTTATTCAAGTTGATTTCTTACTCATTTAATTTAATTTTTTCTCATTTAATTTTCACCTTAGGTCGACAAGATCTTACTTCAGATCCATCGATACTCACTTACGGTCAATCAATTACAGATGGATGTATTAATTGGGATACTACAGTAAAGGTTTTAGATGTTTTAAGGGAAAGTGTGCGAGCTAGGCGAACTTGTAACAACGGATAATAACATTCAACGAATAATGTTAGTCTTTTTATTAAAAAAAAATGCGTTAATAATCATTGTCATTCACATCATATTAAAATTAAAAAAAAAACCAGAAATGACACATTTCACATTTCATTATATCAAAACAATTTTATTTCTAGTGAATTCTAATTTTACTTTACATCTATATCTACAATGTGTATTATGAAGTTGTCCCAAATTTCTATACTTTATTCATAGTCATCGTCATCTTGATATTTAATTTTCATCACTTTAACTTTCATCCCTCTTTGTAATGAAGGAATCAAACTTTCATTGGCGTCAAAAACGTTCCCGAAAGAATCCGTAACACGATTCTAATCAAAATTAAAATAAATCATTTTATTTTAACATTTTTTTTTAAAAAAAATTATAATTTTAAAAAATAAATAAATTATTGTAAAGAGATACCGGTTGCTTTAAACAGGATTTTGGTATAGGTTTCTGTTTTGCCACGGAAGGTGAAGACATAATTCGTGGCGAAAAAAGTTGAAGTTTCTCTTCATCCCAATGTACACCTCTTCCGTCCTCTCCATTTTCTCCGTTTTCTTCACTATTATCATTTATTTCTTTCCGTCCGTGACGTGACTTAGGAATTGGAATAAATGAGGTGGTTTTACTCTTTTTTGATTTTATTGGTAGTTTTGTTGTAGGACTAGGTGGTCTAAAACCATCTTTATGTACAACAACAACATCAAGATCACATAAGTATTCTTTATTTCGATTAGTATTTTCTTTTGTCACAGTCTTCAGATCCTTCTCTAACATCATTTTCTTTTGACGCACTTTATTTAACAATTGCTTTTTTTCTTCGAGGCTCATATTACTAGTTACATCCTAAAATGCAATAATTATAAATTTAATAAAATTTAATTTGCGTTTTGTATCTTGTAAATAAATTTTACCTTTTGTAGCTTGCTTTTGCTGCGCGTAATTCTTAACCTTTTCTGAGGTAATCTAGATACTAAATTTTGTTTTTCACTATAAAGCGTAGTTGTTTCATAATGATTTTTTTCAAGAACAGATGTTAGAATATTATTCTCTTCGCTTGTAAAATGAGAATAGAATGGGGAATTTTCATTTTTTTCATTATTCGGTAAATTCTGTTCTGTTGAAATTAAGTCTCCATTCATATTCGGGATACAATTTTGCATATGATCCTTTTCATGAGATAAATAAATATTCTGATTGTTATTGTTTTCATTTTGATTTTCGTAATTCGGTGAATTTTGTTCTATTGATAATAATTCATCATCATCATCATTATTATTATTATTCGAAATATAACGAATCTTATTGTTATAATTCGAAATATAATCACGCAAATTATTATTGTCATGGATTTCATTCTCTGCATTTGCGAAATAAGAATTCTGTTCTATCGGTAGTAATTCCTTACTATTATTATTATTATTATTATTATTATTATTATTATTATTATTTGAAATATAATCACGAATCTTATTGTTATTATTCGAAACATAATCACACAATTCATTATTATTATTATTCAAAATATAACGAATCTTATTGTTATTGTTCGAAATATAACGAATCCTATTGTTATTATTCGAAATATAATCACGCAAATTATTATTATTGTTTTGGATTTCATTCTCTGAATTTGCGAAATAAGAATAATGTGAATAATTTTTATCATTTGATAAATTATGTTCTGTCGGAATTAAGTCGTCATTTCCATCAAAGATACAATCATGCATATTAACCTCTTCATCGATTGGCATCAAATCGCTATTCCTATCCAATATTTGATCAAGTATATTGTCCTCTTCATCAAAATCCTGATTGTCTTGAATTTCTATTTCTGAAATAATTTGCGGATAATCTTCTGGTTTACTTTTGTCAGATTTATCCATATCATTAGTCGAACATCCAACATTTATTTCTGAAGACAAACCATTTGTATCGTGTGTCGAAATCAAACAACTATTAAACTTTTCGATGGGTTTACTTCTCTCGTCTAAGTCATTATTTGAAGACAAAACATTTGTGTCATGTGTCGAGATCAAATAATTATTAGAATTTTCGATGGGTTTACTTCTATCGTCTAAGTCACCATTTGAAAACAAACCATTTTTATCATGTGTCGAGATCAAATAACTATTAGAATTTTCGATGGATTTACTTCTCTCGCCTAAGTCATCAATTGAAGGCAAACCATTTGTATCGTGTGTCGAGATCAAATAACTATTAGACTTTTCGATGGATTTACTTCTCTCGCCTAGGTTATCAATTGAAGACAAAACATTTGTATCGTGTGTCGAGATCAAACAACTATTAGACTTTTCAATGGGTTTACTTCTCTCATCTAAGTCATTATTTGAAGACAAAACATTTGTGTCATGTGTCGAGATCAAACAACTATTAGAATTTTCGATGAATTTACTTCTCTCGCCTAGGTCATCAATTGAAGACAAACCATTTGTTTCATGTGTCGAGATCAAACTATTAGAATTTTCGATAGGTTTACTTCTCTCGTCTAAGTCATCAATTGAAGACAAACTATTTGTGTCATGTGTTGAGATCAAATAATTATTAAACTTTTCGATGAGTTTACTTCTATCGTCTAAGTCATAATTTGAAAACAAAATATTTGTGTCATGTGTCGAGATCAAATAATTATTAGAATTTTCGATGGATTTACTTCTATTGTCTAAGTCATCACTTGAAGAAAAAGCATTTGTTTCATGTGTCGAGATAAAATAAATATTTGGCTTTTCGATGGGTTGACTTATCTCGTCTAAGTCATCATTTGAAGACAAACCATTTTTATCATGTGTCGAGATCAAATAACTTTTAGACTTTTCGATGGGTTTACTTCTATCGTCTAAATCATCATTTACATTATTCTCAATTTTTTGCGCTTTGATGTTTTTCTCTAAAAAGAAGAAATCAAAAATTGGCGAATAGATTTTTGCCACCTCCTTAATAAATATCCATAAAATAATACCACTGATTAGGAAAGTGATACAAGATTGAACTGTATGAAACAGATTTGTTGCAACTTGAGGCAGAAAATCACTTGAAGAATCTTCAATAACTACCGTTTCTTTTTCCATGTTTTCATCAAAGTCATTATAGGCTTGCAAGGATTTTTGATTCTGATACTTAGTATTTATAGCGTTATCTTCGTCGTCCTCTTCTTCTCCACATTTTAAAATATCATATTCATCAGTATATTCCGAAATTTCATATTCATCAGCACATTTCAAAGAAATTTCGGAAAGTTCGTCCAGTTTTTGTTCCGATACACTTCTCTCAGTTTCACTTACTACTTGTTCGATAACATTATCCAATGTAGTATGTACTATGGTGTCAATAGTTTCATCTATTGGACTTTGTACATTATCGTTATCGTTATTGAATTCTTTGTTTCGGTTTATTGTGAAAGACCATGCCCTTTCTTCAGTAGCTTCAAAATTACCTCTTTGCTCGCTATAATTTTGCCGATCCCTCAAAAATAAAACTTGGTTTACAGACGCGTTTTTCGCGCCCGAAAATATTTCAGAAATTTCATTTGACATAATGTTTTAAGCAAGTTTTATTCTTATTTTAATAACAGCGCGTTTTTAACTGAGTTAACTAGATTTTGAAAAAAAAAACAAAAAAAAAACGCGAATCTAATGAAATTTATGTTGAACATGATTGGCTGATTTACTCAATAATAATAATAATAATGTAACGCGACTGATCTTCGAAAACATCAGTCAATGATATTAGAAAATACATAGACCACAAAAAGTTATTACTATATTACTTTTTTTTAATCTAAGAATGATTTATTTCTTATTAATGGTGACATTCAGATAATTGATAATATTAGGGTTTTCCTTCTATTATCTGTGAGACATGTTTTTTCTGCCAAATTTCTTTTATTTTTGAGTTTAGAAAGTAAAAAATAATACAGAATATACATCCCGGTAGGCCAGCAATAAGGATCAGAGAGTTGACCAAAATGAAAAGTTATGATTATCTTTCATTTGTAACTATTTAATGGTTCACGGACTTGGTGAAAGTGTTAAAAAATATCAATGACTAGTACATAGGAAAATTTGCCGGCTTATCAAGGTGTCGACTTATCTAGCGGCCCGACTCATCGAGTCTCCCTTTGTATTATAAAGGTAATTTCAACTCTCTTTTTCATTTAACTCTTAATGCTATTACTTTTTGTTATTACAATTGTTGTGAATATTTCTTGTTATTGTTCTTGTTTATTACATAATTAAAGGAAAATAAAGTTATATGTATTCTTGAGTATGTAATAGTTCAGTTTTAAGGAATTGATAAGAGTTGATATAAAAAAAAGTTAATCTATACACTATTGTCCCAATATTTTAATCTTATTTAATTGTCTTATATTACCAGACAAGTAATTCCTCGCAAATACTTATTTCATTAAATTCTGACTTAAGAAATTCAATCACCATTAAACTGTACTATTATGATATTCTTAATACCGCTTGAAATGAGAGCTTTACAATAGTAGTTGAGTTACTGCCATTCCCACTTCAGGCTTGCAAGCCCACCTCACGTTTGTGAGTCATTCATCTCAGGCACCCCAGGCTTGTGAGTCCACATCGTGACTGCGAGCCACCTCAGCCATCACAGGCTTGTGAGTCTACCTCAGCCACCTCAGAAGGCATACGTGTCAACGTTTATCGAAACAACTCTTTGATAGATTTCTTTAAGATCCGCTGAAACTATAATAATAAATTTAAAAAGAACTACAATCCAACATAGACATTCGTGATCGTTTGCTTCGATAATATTCGTTTCAATGTATCATCCACCCAGAGGCGGAGTTCGAGGTGGTAGGGTAAGTTTTATTTGTTCAATAAAAAGATTGTTTTTCACTTATAAATTTTTTATATTTTTTATTTTTTAATTTTTTTTTTAAATAACAGGATCAATTCAAATGTAAGTTTCTTTTTCGTTTCATACAATTTAAACCGTGTAATAATTTTAATTTTAACATTTTTTTCATTTATTATACATTAGGGGAGTAAGTTGTTGTTATATTATTTTGTTGATTCTGTTGAATTTATCGAAGATTACTAGATTAATTAATAATTCTTATAGAGATGTAAAAACAGACAAGTATAGAGAAAATTATCTTGGCCATTCAGTTTTTGCACCAGTGGGAAGGTAGGTTCTTGAATTTTATATTATTTTTTCTTTTGATTAATTAATTTAATTAGTTGCTTACATCAAATATATATATATATATATATATATATATATATAAGATGGCAACAAGGTAAGAAACTTTTTCAATACAATTAACATGTTTTTTCATAAATTCGCCAAAATTTAAATCTCAAAAAAATTTTATTTTGTGAAATAGGAAAAGATCTTAACTGGTATTCTAAAGAAGGAGAACAAACCCAGGCTCAAAAAGATGAACTTAGAGCAATAAAAGAAGCCGAGGCAGATGTGATGGCTGAATTCTTGTAATTAATTGTGCACATAATTAGTATTTATTGTTTTCTATATTCTTTTATTTGGATCATATTTTTAATAATAAATATTTATTATTCATTATTTATTTATTAGAGGGGCTGGTAAAAAGAAGGTTGCTACAGGAAATGTCACTCAGCAGGAGCTTAGTAATGTGTTAAAAAGAGAACAAGATGATGATGAGGAAGATAATGAAAATATCAAGGAAGCCACTATGGATGCAGCTAAGGGTTTAGGATTTAAAAGGTATACAATATATTATTGTCATAATACTTGAACATTATATATATTGATTTCTATTAATTAATTATTATATTAATTGTAACTTTTTTTAATTTTTTTATAATTTAAGTTCTGGCCGAATTTTGATAAATGAAATGATTCCAGGTGAATCTGAGGCAATAGTAGAAGAATTTTTAATAAAAAAGGATGATTCAAGACAACATACAAATGAACATAATTCAGTAATAATGTCCGAAAATTTATCAGAAGATCATTCAAAGTCCAAAAAACGGAAAAAGGAAAAAGAAAAAAAAGAAAAAAAAGAAAAAAAAGAAAAAAAACACAAGAAACACAAGCATCATAGTAATAAAGATAAGCATCGGAAACATAAGGAGCATAAAGAATATAAAAAAAACAAAGTTTCTCAGCAAGAAGTTGAATTAAGTGATTTATCAAATAGAGATCATAAACGGCATTCATCAAGACATCATTTTTCTGATAAAGATATTAAAAACGTATAAAAAATAAGTAGCAGAGAGAGTAAACAGACTTTTTGGTTAAAGAGGTCCTAGTGATATTTCTTGGATCTGTGATCAAGATGAGTTATTATTTTCTTGAACTTTTTTCAACTTTTTATTGTTTTCTTTAATAATACAGAGTTTATAAATTACACGTACTTTTTTTTTATACTTGATTTTTTTTGATATTAAGATTTGATTTAAAAAATAGTTTAATGTACAAGCACGAAGTGTTCTTTCTGTGAAGTGGGGATGTAAACAAATTCAAGATTACTATTATCTTTACTATATATATAAGTCTCTATTTATATTTAGGAACTCAAATTCAATAACGAATGAAATAAAAAAAAATAGTGTATAAGATAAGATATTAAAATTCGACTTAAAAAATAGTTTAATGTATAAGTATAATTTGTACAATCTTACTTATGGAACAGTAATCAAATTTGAAAACAAATATATTACTTATAACTCGTTCAAAATAAAAATAATATTAAAAACTTTAACCTCTACAATGAATATATATTTGGTCTTAAAAGAATTACTAAAGATTTAAATTCAATATCATATTTTTTATACTATATTTTCCTTATGCATTATATCTATTATATATTATAAAAATTATTACATTAAAGAAATGTTCTTGGAACTAATCAATAGGAACACGCTTTTTTTTAAGATGCTTCTGAAAATGTTTAGAAACATAATAAACTCTAATATATACAGGGCAACATCCTGATTCAGAGCAAGTAAGAACAAGGAATTTTGTTTGAACTTTTTTAATGAAAACAACAATCTTCAGGACAAATACAACTTCATAAACAAGTTTTCCAGAAAAAAAAAACAAAATAACATGTATATTTCATTTTATATAAGATATAGAAATAATTATTTAAAGAAAAAATTTATATAAGTAATATATACAAAAACTATAAACATACAAAAACACATATTCAAAATGATAAATCATAAAGTAATTAGTACAAAAAATATGATAAATTAGGAGCATCATATGTAAATTATCTTAAAACATTACAGTGCAAAAGAAATCCAAAAGATTATATTAGATATGTTATAAAATAACACATTTCAAATAAAGAAATTTACAACAGAAGAATGGCAGACTTCAAAAATTAATATAATGAAGAAGTATATATTAGTTTAGAAAAATTATATAAATTATATTTTGAATTATCTAATCAAGAAGAAAAAGTAGAAAAATGATCTAAATCAGAATATACATGTTTTCAAAATTAATTCTAATTTTTGAGGTATTTCATCTTTTTAAGATTTTTGAGATATCTATTCTATATATAGAAATAAAAAATATCTAGCTTAATGTATTTTTGATCAAAGAATATCTAAGTGATCAAAAAATTTTGAATTTTAAGTAAAATTAAATTGTCTTCTATAAAAAACTATTTTGACTTTTGGGTTTCAAAAATATTTTAACTTATTATAATAACTTATTTTATATACAAGTATAAATCAGAGATAGATGAAAAAATATATGATTTAGAAATTTAGAAATTAATATCAATTTTGTAATACCTATTTAGGTGAATATTCAATATCTTTAACAATCATTAATTGTTTATAAACAAAAAGATCTTCAAATCCATTACTATTTTTATTTATAAGTCAATATAATACTAGTTAATTTTTTTACATTAAAGTTTTCTTAATATGAAAAACTTTTGGAAACAAATTTATATTAGTTATATATCTTCTACCAAATTCTAATTTTTCAAGTTCAAACAAATATAAAACAGAATTTTTATAAGTTAATTGAAGTTTATTATATCCAACAGGTCTTCAATATTTTATAACAAGATCAGTAATATAAAGATGGTCAGCTTAATTAATTTTAACCTGACTCAATTAATTACACCCTGGCTAATTGATTTTGTTCTGGCTAAATTCTGATTCAATTAATTGTGCCAGCTAAATTCCAGTTCAATTCAATTGTGTTAACTAAATTTTAACTCAATTCAACTATACTAAACTTCACCACAATTTTTAAAATTCTCATTCTCTATTTCTCTCTCTCTCACAAAATAAAAACAAATACCTTTCTCTAAAAAAACACTTTCTTTCTAAAAAAACAACTAGAATTTTTAATCTATTATAAAAATATCATAGTAAAAAATCATTCTATATTATACAAAATCAATTTAAAATTAAATATAAAACCAATTACCTTTAAATATCAAAAAATAATATTCAATAAATTTTATAATTACACCAGTCAATCAGAATTGTGCCAGAGTTAATTCCTGAACTCAATTGGCTAACTGACTTAATTCATATTGCACCTCCCATTCCTAAAGATATGATCACTCTTCTCAGTGAGATACCATTATATTGAAAGAGTAATAATGACTATGAACTGTCACCACTGTCACAGTGGCCATGAAACTTTGCCTGTTCAGAATTTGACATTATACAGGTCAAATACAAAAGATATGTCATACCAAAAAGGAATTCTAATTTTAGCTGATTTATAATACTGTATAGGACAGTCAATTGTTATCAATTTTTAGCTGATCTATAGTATAGGAATTACCATTCAGTACAGTGATTCTTTTGTATTTGACTAGTGCTAATTTTCTTTTTCTTTCTATTTTATTCTTCTTATCATGTAATAAATTGATTAATTAATTTATATTTGTAAAATAGTCTTCAAATATATATATAAAGAGTTTTAATTTTCTCATGTAAAAAAATCAGAATTTAGTCACCTTAATAAATAATAAATAATTAAATAGTTTAGAGTGAAATCATCAATAATTTAGGATAAAATTCTTTATTTTCTTTAATTCTTTCTTGTAATTTCTTTATTTCTTTAATAAAAACTTTATTTCTTTTATAATAAATACATTTTTTTTTTTTAATTTCTTTGTTTTGTTTATTGAATTAGTAATAAACATCTAAATTGCATAATCTTGAGTTTTAGACCTTAAAATAAATTATTACAGCAATTCTTTTGTATTTAACTAGTGTCATACTTATATATTAAACTATTTTTTAAGTCAAATTTTAATATCTTATCTTATACTATTTTTTTACTTCATTCGTTATTGAATTTGAGTTACTAAATATAAATAGAAACTTATATATATAGTAAAGATAATAGTAATCTTGAGTTTGTTTACATCCCCACTTGCAGGACAGCACACTTCATGCTTGTACATTAAACTATTTTTTAGATCAAATTTTAATATCAAAAAAATCAAGTATAAAAAAAGTATGTGTAATTCATAAACTCTGTATTATAAAAGAAAACAATAGGACTTTTCTAATCAAAAAGTCTGTTCACTCTCTATACTGTTAAATATAATAATTTTATAAATAAAAAAAATAATCATATTTATTTTCTTCTGATCATTATGATGCGGATCATAAATATTATTGATAATTCATTAGGGAGATTAAAAAACCAATCAAATTGATGTATTTTTTATTATTGTATATTATATTTATTTTTAATAATATTTGTATTTCAAATGTTTAATTAAATATAAAATATATATATACTATTGTTATTTTAGAGTAACATTAAAATATTTGTATCCCATGTTTAACTTGTAGTTGCTAAAAGATAAAAATCTATATTTGCTAAAATATTTACTTTCCACAATCAACTCTTCTTCCAACAACTTCTTTAGCTTCTTTTTGTGACAAGTGATAAATCCCTATACTCTCTAACACTCTAGATATTGCTGTAGGTTCCAATTCCTCATCAAATAAAACAGAAACTATTTGTTCTAAAGTTTTTTGTCGTGAATCAACTTTACTTTGTTCATCAACTAATGTAGTTTGACGTGTTGAAGGAAGAGTAAGTAGTATGCAAGCATCTTTTAACCTAACAATAAAAATAATAAAAATTATATCATCAAATTCAAATTATAAAGGACCTCTTGCTTCTATACAAAAATATTTTCATACCTTCTGGAATAACTTTCAGGCTTTTGGATCCAACGCCTTCCAACAGTGAATAATCCTTTCTCGCAATCTACTTTAAATTGCCAGCCACCCATTTCAGAAAATTGATTTCTCATTAATACTCGATCCCATAAATTTTCTTCCAATTCTTTTGATATCTCTTTATAAATCAGTTTGAAAATTCGAATAGGTAAATTGTTCGATAAAAATGTAAGAGAGTGCGCTAGATCTGATAATGGAGCATAAAGTTCTGGTGATAACTCGATTATTGTATTTTTAGTAAAATCCTTTGACATTGGAGGTACAGCCACTTCCTTTACAAATAGAGATTTATTTATTTGTTCTTGAGAAGGAATTTGGTCTGTATCAAGACCATATATTTCAGAACGTGACCAATTATTTCTTAATTAATAAATTAATTCATAGTTAGTTGAATTTTTTTTTTAAAAAAAAGTCCGAAACAAATCAGGAAAATATTATTAAATACTTTTTGGTATACGATTTTAAGCCATTAATAAATTCTTTAGAGACATTCTTTATTATTAATGTGTGAATCCTCTCACATGAGCTATCAAATAATCCTGCTGGTTCATCGAATACTGTTCCTTCATCAACTGTGATTGGTTCTTCTGAAGGAGAATCATGAGTTTGATTGCTAGAATTTTCAGAAAAAGTCGGGGATGACGTGCCTGTAATACGAGACGCACGTACCGTGACCTCATGCCATAATTCTAGAAAAAACTATTATTCAATAAACATTAAATTTGAATATTTTAATAGGATAATAAAAAATCAGATTATCAAGAAAATAATATATACTGCATCTTCGCCCCACTCTTTGATCGTCCGACTCACAAAACCGGCACTGTTAAGCCATCTACATAACCTTTTTAAACCTTCTACACCCAATAGTGATTTACCATCTACATTTACGGAATTTGGGACAGCTCTCACAAAAGAATAACTCAAATTTTCGAAAGCATCAACGGAAGATTCTATTCTTTTGGCATAAGATTCTAACAATGCAGCTTGAATATCAGCCAAAAAACGAATTCTATTGTGGAACTTTGGTAATAGTCTATAACGACCTATGAATTGAAAATGAAAATTAAACATTCTCACTTTCTTATTTAATTTTAAATAAGTATAGCATGTAATATTTGACATACTTGTTATTAATTCTAGTAAATTAATTAGTTTTAAAGATGATTTAGTTGGTTTGTATTCATCTTCCGAAATATCCTCCTCCTCCATCTCCCAAGCATTTTCAGAATGCATTATTTCATTATAACGAGCTTCTACAACTTTTAATTTTAGAAAAAATTATTTTAGAAGAAAATTTTATAATACTTAAAGTTCAAAAAATATATCAATAAATTATTGCTTACATTCTTTCTCAACCTTTAGCCAAGCCTTAAACCATTCCTTTTTTCCAGTAAAAACGTCTACACAACCCTTCCATTCTTTTTCTCCAGGGCAAATGTACATATGCAGCTCACGAAGTGTTTGATCAAATTGCAATGTTTCAAACACCGTATGTGAAAAAACTTGAGATGAATTTAATAATGTTGGAGCATCATTACTTAACTTTCTAATGACTGCGTCAAGCAAACATCTTATGAAGTCATTCTGATAAATAAATGCAATTATTTAAATATTCATAAAAAAAAAAAGATGATAAATAAAATGTATATAATTTACTTTTGCGTGATACATTTGAAATCCTGCCTCATCAACTATCGCTTGTACTGCGCCTTGTAAGAATGGAGAATGCTCACGAATTGTATTAAGAACGTGTGTAAAATACCATTCAGGCTATAAGGTGATTAAATATAATAAATATTTCAAAACTCGTATAATTCAAATTCAAATTCAAATTCAAATTCAAATTCAAATTCAAATAAATGACAAATCCAAAAATTTTTTATACTTTGTCAATTCTGTCAGTTGGTCTCTTTGATTCAAAGTGATAACGGAAACGTATAATCAAAGGTTCAACCATTATTTGTATTGGTAGAAGAGGTGGAAGACCATTATTATCGGTATTTTCGGAAGAAGATTGTGAATCTTCCGAAACGTTGATAGGTCTTTGTAATAAAAGTAACTCTATGAATGCTTTTTTAAATGCTGATAATTTTTCTGTCGTCAAGGTAGAATAAGGAAGTTTGATTGGGGTTGGCCAATTAAGCGAATCAAGTGTTTGTTCAAATTTCCTATTTTTGAAAATCAAATAAATTCTCGATTCTAAAGATGATTATAATGAATGAATGAATAAATAAAAGTGAATACTTCGTCAATCTACATTTCATGTCTTCCCATAGAGCATCCTTGCTTTGTTGTAAAAATACGTCTAAATAAGTAACAACATGCCCTGCTTCTTGACTCTTAGATTTAATATCATATGACAAATGTGCGAGTTGAATATATGGTATGAGAGCTTTTTGTGGTGATTTTTCAATCAATTGTTTTGCTTGTGAACTTTTAAAATTAATTTAAGTCAAAGAATTGTAGTAACGAAACAATTAATTCGTTCCAAGAAATTATTATAATTTTCACCTTAATTCTTCTGAAACTACTAAGACTTTGAGGTATTGTTTAGACCTTATTAAACTATCTACTTGTTGTTGTAGAATTGTTAATTGTTCCATAAGCGTCATATCTTTTGTTGTTGTTTCTTGAGAGTGTCTCGAATTTGTCGAAATTAATGTGTCGCAATAATCCGCAAATTCATCTTCCAATTCTAAACGCGATGCTTGAAGTCCCTCAAGCTCTATCGATATGGAATTAAACGATTCAAGAGACTCTTTTAGCGATTTCGAAGATTGTGTCTGTAACTGAATACACTGTAAAGTGATCCATAGTGTTTAATCAAATAATTGCCAATGCTTTACATTTTTTTTTTTCGGTATGGAATTTTCATTAAATGGGAGATTTACTTTTTTGTTCAAATTTTGTTCATTTTTCCTCAAATCGTCTAAGACAGAGTCTAACTTTTCCAAATCTTCCAATTCACTGAAGTGTTTATTTAAAAAATCAACGACGAATAGATCGGATGCAACTATATCTGGTTCTTTGAAAAGTGAATCCAAGTCACCAGAAGTTGTAGAAGTATTCATTCGAAATAAAAAGATAAAAATCGTTTATATCGTACTACAGCTTAACTAATTGAAGTTCCATCTTGTAACACATTATGAACGCATTTGGCATTAAACACGATTTCAATCAACTTTTTAAAAAGTTTATTGAGCAGCTAATGTGCGTCTAAATTAAGGCTAACGCCTCAATGTCCCACCGACGCGAACCATCTGCATCTGTTAAGGAAACTTTAGATGCCTCTATCACAGAAACAAATGATGGGGAACGTTGTTTAAACAATTACATTTTAAAAGACGAAATTGGTCATGGAGCTTATGGGACCGTGATCCTAGCAATTGATAAAGAAACTGGCACTAAATATGTAAGTAATATCTAAAGTTATCTTTTTATTTTAAATCTCGAAGCATATGCAAAAAAAGATTATTGACTCTCTGATTTGTTTAAAAAATGGAGTTTCTTGGCAGTTTTTGAAGATTTGGCGCTTGCATTTCATTACAACAGAAAACTTTTCATTTATTAAATTATTAAATTTTTTTTTTTGCAAATTTCAATTGTCGAAATTATCGATTATATTTTATTAAGACTTTATAACGAAATATATTTTAGTTAATATCCACGTCATTATTAACATTTATTTAAATAGGCAATCAAAGAATTTAGTAAATCACGACTTCGTAAAAAAGATAAAGCAAACTATTTTCGCCGTCCACCACGCGGAGGTTTGAGGGGAGCGCGGGGACGTGGAGGCGGAATTCTCTCAAATCAAAGTTTAAATGATCCATTGTATTTAATTCGGAGTGAAGTCGCGGTTTTGAAAAAATTACATCATAAAAATGTTGTCACATTATTCGAAGTTTTGGACGACCCTGAGAACGATTCCCTTTATATGGGTAATTATGCATCATTGTTTATTGAATAAAATAAATATTATTTATGATTTAATTAGTGTTTATAATTCATTTTCAAAGTTTTTGAAATGTGCGAAAAGGGAGTTCTCATGGATGTCAGTATCAACAAAATTACCAACCCGTTTTCCGATGAAAATTGTCGACGGTATTTCAGAGAAATGGTACTCGGCTTTGAATATTGTAAGTGAACATAATTTACATAAATTTGTGTTTATGTTATTTGTTATTATTCATTCTAATCTATTTAAAAAATAAAAAAAAAATAAAAAATAGTGCACGAAAATGATATTGTACATCGAGGTGTGTATATTCACATAAACAATATATAATATGATATAATATAAAATAATAAATAATATAATATATATGTATATATATACACATAATGTATTAAATGTTGATATAAATTTTAAATTCTTAAAGATATTAAACCAGATAATCTTTTATTGTCGAATGATGATGTTCTGAAAATTGTGGATTTCGGTGTTTCTGAAATATTCACAAGAGGAAATGATCTGATGAAAAAATCTGCAGGAAGTCCCGCTTTTATGCCTCCGGTATATTTATTTAATATATTACTTGTCTAAGAATTACTTGATGACTTTAAATTATGAAAATATTTTACTGATCTTTTTTATTTTATTTTATTTTTTCTTTCAGGAATTATGTGCAGGTAATGAACATAATGGTTTTAAATTTTGTTTGGATAGTAATTTTTCGTGAATTTTGAAATCTTTTCTAAAATCTTTTTTTTTTTAGCTGATCACGGTCATATTTCTGGCAAAGCTGCTGACATCTGGTCGATGGGTGTAACTTTGTATTGTCTTGCTTTTGGTTGTTTGCCTTTTGTGAAAGACAACATTATTGATTTATATGATTCAATAAACAATGATGAGTGAGTTTAACTTTTCTACTATATTACGATATCTCATTATATTAGACTTTATTTATTCAATTGATTTATTTATTTAATTTATTTAGCCTTGTGATTCCAAATAAAGATGTGGATCCCAAACTGATTGATCTTCTTTATAAGATTCTGGAAAAAAAACCAGAAAACAGAATTACAATGCCTGAAATTAGAGTTCGTAAACAATTATTTATATATATATATATTTTATTATTAAATTTCGAATTTTAAAAATAACAGCTTTTTTTTTCTTTATAGGTAAATCCATGGTTGACTAATGATGGAAAGGAACCACTAATATCTACTGAAGAGAATTGTAGTGAAATGGTTACAGAAATTACTGATGATGATTTAAGTTCGGCCATTAAACCCATCAGTATTAAAGGGGTATTTGCTGTGGTAGGAAGAAAAGTTTAAAATATTTAATGATTTTTGTCATCATTCAATTAATATTAATTTTAATCAACTTTAATTAATAAATTTAGATTGGTGCTGTAAATAAATTCAAAAGATTATCAAGATCTAGTCATTCAGCGAGTGAAAGTGATCTGGCAAAATTGAAAGCCATTGGAGATTCAGAAATTTCAGAAATTTTAGAAAATTCCGTATAATGAATGGGAAATATTTAATTTTGTATATTTATTAAAATTTTCATTAAATTTTTGGTCTTTATTATCTGGTTGTATACTTGTATTCAATAATTTTTTGAGTGATCTCTTTCACCTTTCTTTGTGATTTTTATCTTTTAACAAATTCCAAATTTTTAGGAATATATTTGCTTATAATTTTGTAATCATGGGTCAATATTGAAATTTATATTTGTATAGTAAATTATTCAATATATATCACTTTATCTTTCTCAAAAAATTTTTTTTGAAAAATTTAAATATGGAAATATTAAAGGTATTAAATTATACACTCTTTGTACGAGGTACTAAAAGTAAAACGAATGGTCTCTTATTAACCAAATATCAATATTATCTATAACTATATAATACATTAAATTTCCTATATAAATATTAAATATTAAATCTTTTTATACAATGTGATATTCTTCAACCTTCAAAATCTTCTCTTTGGAAAAGGTAACTGGTGCTTCCGTTTCAACATGCGTCACATCCAACACCTAAAGATGATAACATAATTAATATTTTTCCAGTCTAAACAAATCGAAATAGAATAAAATTTATAAAGCATGCTACTTACATCTATATCACAGATTAATTTTTCGCTTAAGAATGATACACTAACGGGGAAAAATGCATTTACGTCATCTCCCACAATATTAAACTCGAGAGATCCTTGTTTGTTGGACAAATCAATGATTGGTAATTGCCATTCTAAAGTTCTAGTTTGTCTATTTACTTCATAATGTCCATCTACATCTCCAACAACTGGATTTCCCGTAGAACTAAATTATATGAATATAATATAAACATCAAAATCAGAAATTTTTTAAGTTTAAAGAGACTAAATAAAGTTCAAATAATGTATAAACTTACGGCAATGGAATCGAAATCGACACATCCTTAAATTCATAATTTTCATTTTCTAAAATGTATTCAATGTTGACGTCGATTGTTCCATCTCCGGCGGGGGAAGGCCAACAGTTTACTAATTTTAAACAAGAATTGTCATGAATTAATATATTTATAATATATTTATGACATGTATTATTGATCAATGAACATACTTGATAACGGAATTGCGGTTTCATCTTTAGTAATAAATCTCCATCTAAGAACTCCCAACGGTTGATTTAAAGGAAATCCTCTTGCCGAATTTTTCAAAGCAATGATATTGTCAGTAGAAAACAATTTCTTATCGACATTTGGGTGCGTCTGAAACATTTTTTTTTTTCAATAAAAGGAAAATCCTTTAAAACATGAATATTTCTTCATTTTAATCATTAAATGTAGTTTTCTAACCTTTAATTGTAAAGTACCATCATCAACTGCTTGAACTGCAATTTTAATTCGAGTCACATTTGCATCAGAAATACTGAGTTCCAAATCACCTTTCACCTCTAAATTTTCCAATCCACCATCTCTATTAGCTTGAAGAGATATCTTTTCGGAAATTGCCAAATGAACACTAAAACCACATTGGTCATGAGTTTTTAATATTCAAAACAAAATTTAAAAAGATTTGAATAGATAATTAAAAAGATGGATATCTTTTACCTTTCCATGGGAACTTTTGAAATTCCTGTTCTAATATTTTTTTCGGTGACTTCTTCGAATCCGACTTCATTTTTAACTGCTTCAAACAAATCTGCACTTTTTTGTTTTCTACCCAATTGCATTCCTTTAGCTTTAGAAGTGGATGGTGTCGGGGAGCTAAAAAAATTTAAAAATTTGGACAAAAATTGAATATAGATTAAAATTACATTAAAATGAATGAATAATATTTGATCGCATACCTACTAAACGATGAACGCATGCTTTCTTCAAAATTTTGTTGAACTTGAGGTTCCGCATATGAAGATGGCCTATTTATTGATTGTCCAAAGCCAACTCCAAATGATGATCCTCCCAAAGTACCTCCTCTCTTGAGCATTTCTTTTTTTTGCATTTCTAACTGTTTCGCTCTTCTTTTAAGTTCCTCTTTAGCTTCTTGTTCCTTATTCTATGATAAAATATAATAATAATAACTCATATAAATTTACTGAATATACAGATCAAAGACAATTATATATATTTACCTTTGCTATTATCTCTTGGATCTTCTCTTCATGACTTTCCATCTCTATGATGCTCTTCACTTGAGCTAAATTAACATTTTCGCGATAACCTAATGATACAATTTCATCAAAAGCGCTCAACAATTCAAAGCTATTTCCCAATATTCCTCTTTCGTCTAATGATCGACATATATCGGATACTACTCGTGCAAACAAGTGTAATGTATCAATATCTTGCAAGATATTGGATTGTCGATTTGTGATAAGGACCATATAGAGTTCATCTAGAGGCTGATAAACATAACGAACATGTTCAGTTTCTATAGTAGTATGTTGTTGTCCAGAACTGGTCAATTTTGGAAAAGATGCAAGAAGACCTTCAATTCTAGAGCGTGGCATTTCTCTAAACTGCCGAGAGATTACAGCTAAAAAAAAAATAGAAATGTTTAAAAAACAATAATTGTTTTAAAAGATAAATAATTCAATGATATACCTTTTCCCCCTTTAGTGCATATCGCTGATGCAAGTACAACCTAATATTTTCAGGCAAGTGTGTGTTTTAAGTCAAAAATTATTCTTTAATTCTCTGCTAGTAAGTTGCAGAATAAAATTCAAACAAACCATGATCGTTCGTTATAATTTTTCAAAGTTAAAAGTTATCTACTGAAGCAAAAATAGTGAATTCGAGTGAATAAAGAATTACAAACGTTCCCGAAAATTTATTTTTTTTTGAGATGCCATCAAAATGTACCAAAATAGCAAAAATCTGTGGTACAAATTCTTAATACATAGAAAATAAAACAATGTATCAAAAAAAAAAAAAAATAACCGATCTTAAAAATTCGCTTGAGTAACATAGATGTTCGTAAAATCTTTGCTATTTAATTATTTAATTTTTTACTTGACAACGAATGGCTGAATACAATACATCCCTGAGGGATTTTATGCGTCTAGAAACTAAAGCTCCTCCTATTATGGCTGGATACATGAACCAGCGATTCAAAAGTCTCAGTTTATTAACAACTGTGAACATTCTTCTTAATTCTTGACAAATGCTCCTCTCTTTTATCTTGTTATTTCGGTGTTCTGAAGGATGAAGGAATTGATATTAAAAGAGTTGTCACAGGAAATTAGTCCATTATTCAGTAAGGAGAGCCTTGAGAGAAATAAAATGCAGATTTCCACAAGTAGATAGTTTAGATAGTGGAGATTTTTATTTTATAATAACATTTTATATAATATATTTGTAATTAAAAGAGGAATTGTATAGTAGGAAATATTTGTAAATTGGCATGAAGATTTGTAGATCATTTGCAAATAGCCAAAAACAGGCAAGAATATATTCAGTTTTTGAGACAAGCGCAAACTGTAATATATCTTATATTACAGATATCCGGGGATCTATAAAATGGTCATATTTGCTTAAGTACAGAGCTTGGTAAGTAAGGCATGTAGAAACAATAATATAAGTAAAAAAAAATAGGTAAAAATCTGATATGGAAAATTGCTACTTTTTCATCACAAGCTTTTTCAAACCAGACTAGTAAGATGAATTCTTATTTTACAAGAATATTCTTTTACTTTTTACACAAAATTGGAAAGAGATTCCTTTAAATCTCTTGCATTAAAAACAAAAACAAATAACTCTTACCTAATATCTAGAAAGTTTATATATCATCTGCAGTAAAATAAAATTATGGAGAAATTGTTAAATGGGATTAGTTATATAAATTCTGTTGATAATAAGAGGGTTAGAGATAAGCATCTTTTATATTATATTAAAAACATTTAAGATTGGTACTAATTTGATTTATTTACTAGAAGATAATAATGATACTATTTGATATAGTTGAAATTCAGGTGGCTCAGTTTAATGCTAAACAATCTTAATTGATAATAAATAAACTATTGCCTTATTTATACCATATAACAATGTATTAAACTTTTATGAATAAAAACAAGGAGTAAACAAATAAATATTCAAATTAAAAATGATTTAATATTTACAGTTATTTTATATTTTGTATAATCAAAAAATAACAAGATATTTCAGAGAATAATAAAATAAATAAAAATATTTATGAATCAAGTTCTTGTTGTACAAATACTGGATATTTTGTCATAACTTCATCCCATGTAATTTCTTCTTCTGTCAAATTTTTGAGAACTTGAAGAATAGTGTCAACCTAAATTCAAATTAATTAATAATTAATTAGATTGTAAATGTAGAGATGAATGAGAGTCAAACTTTAATAATACCTTTTCTCTGATTTGTTTTGTGGTATCTCTCTCCCGTAACGTTACAGTATTATCATTTACTGATTGGAAATCGATGGTAATCGCAAATGGTGTTCCAAGTTCATCATTACGTGAATATCGACGACCAATTGAATTAGAAGAATCATCAACTTTAATTGCAATACTAAGTTTACGAAGTCTGGCAGCTTTATATTCAAATATGTAAAATCGTAAGTAACATCATAGTGAAAGTATTGGAAAAAAATAAAAATAAAAATTTATTACATACAGAGGTCACGGACAAGGTCAGAAAATGCGGGATTATTACTTAAAGGAACCAGCAAGCATTTAAATGGCGAAACACGTGGTGGGAATGATAAAACCTATCATAAATCGTTGAATATTTTCATAAATAATTATAAATCTTAACGGACAATTTAATAAATGTTAAATTTGATGTATGAATACTTACCGCTCTCTGTTCATCATCTTCACGAACCCAAAATACATGTTCAATTAATGAATACAAGATACGACCAATACCGAATGATGGTTCTATTACATTAGGAGTATATTCCCTAACTAAAAAATCAAATAAAATTAATGAAATTAATATATTAAATAATTTATTGAACGTAAAATATAATCTAATTTAATTTAGAAGAGAAATAATTTAAATACCATATTCTGTAATAGTTTGCCTCTCAATATTGAAAAATTCACTAAAGACCTCATATTCTTTACCATCAGTACCGGGAACTGTGGTTTTACTAATGAAATTTTATTTTTATTTTATTGTTATTTTTATAAAAATTTCCACATGAAGGTTGAAATTAATCAATTGATCTTACCCATTCCCAACTTCTAATGCTTTTTTCAAAGCCTTTAATTGCTCTTCATCCAATCTAAACAAATAATCTTCTACAGCTTTTGCATTTTGTCTCAATTTAGGACCAAAGACTTTTTTGTTAATTTCTAGAACTGTTTTTTCATAAACTAATGGCTCCGATAAATTTTCTCGCACAACGAGTTTCTCTTTTGTACGATTTGAATGAACTGTTAAATCATATGCAGAACGATCTGCACAACCAACGCATTCAATCCAACCCTAATTATTAATAAATCGGAGGTTATTAAAATACGAATTAATTAAAATAATCTCATTAAATAAAATTTAGAATGATCACAAACATAGCTACTTTGGATTTCTGCATCCCAACAATCACAAGCATAATGAGCCATTTCATTTGGCATGTGTTGACGGAAACGTAATCTCTCATTCTTAATTCCAAGTCTAATTAAAAATAAGTGTATCCTAGCAAGGAAATAACCCAAAGTCTGGTTATCTACAATTTTCTATTAAAAAAAAAGGAAGCCTGTTTATTTGAAATTCAAATGTACGCAAAAGATCGCGAAAATTAATAAAATTAATAACTTTTTCTACGGCTTCACCAATGGATATTTCAATGGGATTCGTTTTTCCTTCCACCTGTATATTTTGAGGCAAAAGATGAAGCTTAATATCTTTTACCTCATCAAAACGTGGATGATCCTTGTTATTTGGATCCACATAATGTTCAATTTCAGCCATCGTAAATTCTCTTTTATATATAAAAGATATAATGTTTAATTAAAGAATGTAGGTAATAATAACAATATTCGGAACAATTTTCTTACCTAACTCTTAGAAGACCAGATCTTGGGCTGATCTCATTCCTAAAAGAACGACCGATTGATGCAGAAGCGAATGGCATCTTATCATTATTAAATTCAAGAAATCTTTTGAAATTGAGAAATTGACCTTGTGCAGTTTCGGGTCGAAGGTAACTATCATTAAAAATATAAAGAAATAATTAAAATAAATAATTCAAAATGTATAATTCAAAACATTATACGATAGGTTACCCTTTTAGCTGTCCCGTGGGACCAATGTTGCTTTCAAACATTAAATTAAATTCAACAGGTTTAGACAAATCATTTCCCGTCTCAGGATTTTTAATTGTGCATTTATCTATTATTTCTCCAAGTTCTGTACCGGTAAAGTTATCGATCTAATTTCAGTTGCTAATTAATTAATTTAAGTTATTTTAAAAAAAAATCATGATCTCTATAAAAACAAAACGTTACCTTTGCTAATATATTTTCATATTCTGCTTTCATATTCTCATCCAACTTTACTGGCTTAATCTTATTTTTCTTCTTTTTATCTTTACTCGCCACCACATTCGTTCCTTCAAGCTCCGCTAACCTGGCTTGTTTATCTTCGTTTAATCTTTTTTCTAAAACTGTTTCTACTAGATGGTCGGCACGAAAAATTTCACCATTTATGGTATCAGTCACCATCCAGTCTGTAAATTTGTCCACGTGACCGGAAGTTTTTAGAACGGTTGCTGGCGTCATAATGGAACCGTCCATTTCAAGCATATCTTCTTCTAAAACAAAATGTCTACGCCATAAATCAAGGATATTAGCTTGTAGAGCACAACCTGCTGGTCCATAGTCATAAAGACCCGCAACACCTTACAAAGAAAATTCGATAATTAATTTCCTTGAACAATTAACCCGTAAAATTTTCTGGGGGGGTAATATTTAGTAATATTCTTATATTCTCCGAAAATTCTTACCTCCGTAAATCTGAAAGGAAGGAGCAAAAAAAAAACGTTTTTTTATCACTTCTTCCAAAGTAGTACGATTAAACGCGACCATATTGGTACAAAAGTTACGTTTAAAAGTAGGTTGGAATACAAATATTGGATAATTTGAACTGAATTTTTTCTGGATATGAAACTTGCAATGACTTGTTTGCAAGGCAATTGAACGAATAAAGTTGACCATCGATCTTTAAATATAAATTAAATATATCACCTCTTACATCACATCGATGATTAAGAGAATCACACTATCACATTGATTATTTTTTAATTTTCCGAATATTGATGAGATTATCTCGAATAATGTTATCTATAGTTTCTCGTCTTTTCGCTTTTCCGATACAACAAGTCATTACCGCTCCTTCAAATCTGATCAAACCATACTTGCAACAATTTCAAGTTCAACGAGTTGGTTATGTTACTAGGCTTTGGACGCGTGGAAACGAAAAACCTCCACCAAAAAAACCAAGGAACAAAACTGCAAGATATCGAGCAATGTTAAAAGTAATTTCATTAGAATGCACTTGCATTTGATAACTTATTTATATTAATTTAGTTTATACATAGATATATTTTATTAATAATTTAGGCAAAACGCAAAAGATTACGAAAGTTCAAAACTCCTTAATAATATTAATTAATGCTTTTGTGTGGTGTAATCAGTTAATTTCAAATAAAATTGAATTTTATTATGTTTTGTTATGTTAAAGGGTGGCATGTAATCAGGTGACTAACAATAGATTGATTTAATTTTAAAACAGGATTTATTAATGCTTTATGTGAGATGCTCGTTTGACCATCTAAATATACCATGGTAAATATAAATAATGTTAGTTATTCCAAATAATGGTTAGAAATTTATTCAGTGAAACATACCTCTCGAGCCCATCGGGAAACTTCTCTCGTTCCATTTGGCAAAGACCGGTTATTTCGTCCTTCTTTCAGCACTTGTGAAACAAACTCCGATTGGAACCATTGTTGTAATTGACCGCTTTGAAAAGCTTCTGCCAAATCACTAAAATTAAATAAAATTTATAAAATTTAGATTTCCGTTTCTTGTAAAATAAAAATAAAAATAATGAAAATATTATTTGACCCAATAAGTCCAATCATGCTACGAATGATCATCTCAGTCTTTTCGTGATCATTCCAGGTCATGTTAAGGAAATTGAAGATTTGTTCAATATATCGCAGAAGTAATTCGGCTGAAACATAATATAAACATATATTAGTCATTATCCTATAATTTTTAAAAAAAATTAAAGAAATAAATGATAATATATTTTACAAACCTTTTTCACCAGTTTTCAGGCCCTGTACAATACCAACATATGCTTCTAGTATGCCTTCTCTTAATGCGATAACGTAATCTATCATATCATAACTTGTCTGAAACCCAAATAAATCAACTAATTATTATAAAGAATAATAATTCATGCAAATGGAGATCAATATAAAATAATACTTACGCCTTCCGAAGCACGCATGGTGCTAGCTTGTGCAAGAACCATCATAACTACTTCCAAATATACTTCGAATCTTCCGCTTATAGCAAGCGCGATATCTCCAAAGCAAGAAAGAATTGCCGGTTTGACATTACGATTTAATACGGGACTCTGGGATATATTCAAAATAAATTATAAATTACCAAATGTAATTAAAAAATTCAATTCAATTAAAAATTTAATTAATGTTAAGATTTAAATTCGAACCTGAAGATTTTGTAATAAGACATTCATAAATGTATCACAGTATGGCAAAGATTGTTCTTGAAGTGCCCGACATATATCACCGATTAATCCAACAGCAATTGAACAAAGTTGATATTCCTCGTGATTTGACAATGCAGCATAAAGGAATGGGGCAAATGCTTCAAGATATCTAACGAAATCTCCTTCAACAGCTGAGGATGAAAATAAAAATAAATAGCAAATGTTAAACAAAACATTAAAATCGTTTCATGAATGAATGATTAAACATAAACAGGAAAATAGAATTACCAGTAGTGATCGCCCCAACAGCCAAAAATCCATCTTCAAGAGTTGTCGAATGTTTTGTCGCTGTAGAAAACAAGGACAATAAAGTTGTCATTATGCGATCGGCGAAAGGAACAACCTCCGATCTTAGTTTACGTATAATACTCTATAATATTTAATTTAAAATTGGTGAAAATCTCAGAAAAAATATACATACATATACATATATATACATACATATATATATATATATAGTCATTACCGTTAAAACACTACAAAGGTTCGATTGAAGTTCAGAGTGAGCCATTCGCTCGTCGGTTCCAATTATTTGATTCTAGTTGCAAGAGATTATTAGAATATCTTCTTTTTTTTTTGAGAAATAGGCATTGTTTGTATTAATACCTGAGCCTGAATTGTGGAATCAAGCCTATCAATAATAGTAATAGTCAATTTTTGAATAGTTGGATAGGAATCCTAGTGAACAAAAATATATTTTATGAATGCGAGACGATAATAATAATAAAAAAAAAAAAACTGTTTAACAACTAGAACTATACAAATAAAGATAAATACTAAAATTTGAATATATAAAAATACATAGAAATCATAATAGTTTTATTATTGATATTTACCAATGCAGCGCCTTGTACTAAAATGGAAATGCACTCGTAAGAAGAAGTTCGTGCATTAGATTCATTGGTTGGCCTATAACAAAACAACAAGCAAATACCAAATAATGACAATAATTACAATAATAATTATAAAGGAACATATATTGTAAAAAAATTTAATAAATAAATTTGGAAAACATTATAAACATAATGATTAAATAATTAATACCTTTCAGTGGTTTCTAAAAGCGCAGTGACAATGCCCTCAAAGTAAGGAGATAGAGGGTAAGTTGATGCGGGTGTTTCTTTACCACCATATTGGTCAGACAAACTCATCAAAGCCTATGTAAAGTCATTTAATCAATTATTGAAATCGATGACACTGAAATTATTACAAAAAATTATAAATACAATGGTCAATTACCCAGCAACAATTGGAAACAATACGCGGAGAATCTTTCAATCCGAATACCAATGCAGTTATAAGTGGATTAAGATGAACATCGGGTTTGATACATTCAATCAGCAATTCCGAAACACGTCCAAGAGTCCAAGCCGTAGTATCTTTTACTTGAGGCGATGGATCTCGCATCATTTCTATCAACACGGGCAGAGCTTGATTTACCAAATTTGCAAGCAATTTATGTTCAGGTCCTTCTAAAATAGATCCAAAAGCCATAACAGCTGCCTCTCTGAATCTCCAATCGTTGTGACGGATGTGATTTTCTACAAATGGAATTACTGGTGCGACGACGGCATCTTCAACACATTGCGCTAATAAAGAAAGACAGGTACCAGCGGCCATTGAAACATTCCAATCATCTTCATCTGCATCCTCATCCTAATAAACAATAATTTTTGAGTTTTGTTGGATTGAATTAACCTAATCGTTATGTTAATTTTAATAAAACATCTACATACTTGTTTTGTGAGAAGCCATAGTAAAACAGGTAATATTTCCGGTAAAGCTGCTTTGGCAAAATTATGGCTCAACCTGTCGGGTTGTTCCCCTGATTCTTGTGCCTTATTTATAAAAATCAATACATGATTTTTCTTTCTCAAATTAAAGATGATCTAATTCAGAAAAATGCATCTTTAATTCTTACTTCCACGGCTTCTGTCATTAATTCAAGTTCCTCATCACAAACTGTCGACCAAAATTCGACGGCTTGTAATGCCACTCTTTCATCTTCATGTTTCATACCGAGAACAGTTAACTTTAATTATAGAATAGCGAATTTATTAAATTTAAACAATTAGATCTTAATCGATATATATGTTGTACCTAAGATCGATACTTGTCACAGATTGACCAGAATTATAACTACAGCCTATGTAGATCTTTTTAAATTCAGCTAACCCTAACCTTAACTTTGGCCAATTTTAATCTGAGGCACAACATATATATTAAAAAAAAAAAAGATACACAAAAAATTAAAGTTGACTTACACCGAATAAGGCTTTTTCCATATAAAATCGCATCTTGTCATAATAGATTTGCATGATTCTGACTAGACACTCAAAAGCGGAAACCTGAACATTGACATCGGAACTTTGTGTAGCTTCACAAACAACTTGCATAATGTAATTTCGCTCGCCCTAATAAAACAAAATTAAAATTTAATATATTTTTAATATTCATAATATTCATAATATTCGATAAAATGTTACCTCTCGTTCAAAATTTTCACGAATAAATTCGAGTGCATTATATAAAGCATTAATTGCAGCTTTCCTAACTTCTTGACTTTAAATTCATAAATTATTTTTTTTTTTAAAAAAAAAAAAATGAAAAAAGATTTTCATAAATAGTAAAAAAATACATATAAGAGCAAATTTTAATTCATAAAATTTACTTAGGTTCCTCTTTCCGTGCTCCTGATACAACCGCAGTAAGGATTGCTCCTGATTGTGCAGCCAAAATATCAGAAGGCTTAAAAAAACCAAATACTTAATTATTAAAATAGTGAATTGAATAATTTATTACGAAAAATGATTAAAAAGAAAAAATTAATATCTTACAATTGCTTCACATACGAAACCAATAGTTATTAAAGTTGATATCTTAAGTGAATCTTTATCAGTTGTGGTAATATTCTCTAAAAGATGTTTCATTAGATCTGTCCATTGTCCTACAGGAAGTTCAATCGCTGAAATCGCACAAATAACCTAAAATAGTTATGAATATTGAGAAAAAAAAAAGAAACGATTACGATGAACTTAAATAATTAATCTAGATTAGTTACTTGAGCGGCGGTAGTAGTAACTCTTTGATCGGCAGCGTCCAAGGTCATCAAAACCTTTATTTGTTAAATTAAAAATAAAACATAAGTTCATAACTTAAAGTAAAGATGACGGATCAACAATAAAAATGAAATAATAATTTATCACCTCTTGTTTAACTTGTTGCCTAGTTGCTTCGTCCATAGTTATCCATCGTTGTGCAATTTCATTCCTTCTTGCAGCCTCCTGTAAAATAATAATAATAATAAATGAAAATAATTATAAATAAATAATAAATAAATAAATAAATAATAATAAATAAATAAATTAATTAATAATGATTATTTGAAATTTTAGAAATAACGATAAAATTTTAAATAAACTTTACCGAAGAGATTAACGAATTTTTTATAGCCAATCCAGCGGCATTTCTAGTATATGGTGAAGCATGTTCATTTCTTAGTTCCCTAGTGAGCATGGTCACATACGCCGGCTATTATTTTAAATAATAAAGGATAAGTGAGTCGACGCGTTATTACTTTTCTTTTTGATAAGAAAACATTTTAAAATTCAAATAAAATCAACAATTTACATAATTTGTTTGTTGCGCTTGTTCGAGTTGGTTGGCAGCATCTTCACGAAGGTTTTGATCTATGAAAGAAAAAGAGTAATTGTACAAAAGTATAAAAGTGATTTATTAGATGCAAAGCCGCAGTTTATAAAGACATTGAGAAGTGACGTGATTACAAGACTTCAACGCAGAAAATTTAACATACCACCAGAAAGTGTGTTGGCAAGAAGTTCACCAATGCTAAGCATCGTGAAGAATGCGACTATTTAATTGAAGGTTTTAAAGTAGGGCAAAAAAGAAAATTGATAATAGTGACATTCAGAGTAGGATCTTGCAATCAAAAAAATCGGATCAACAAGTCTAATTATCACATAACGTGATTCCTTTTCAATTCAATTAGGTAATTATAAAAAATTATTTTTTCAACCAATCAATCACGATTTAGTATTTCAAAATTACATAAATTAAATTTTTTTTTTTTTTTAAGATTTATCGAATTTTTCATCGAATTCATCGAATTCATCGAATTCTTATAGGTAAGGTTCTATCTCGTCAACTGTCACCCAACTATCAGGTCATTTATATTTAATTAATTTTATTATTATCTGTAAAAAAAAAAATAATATGATGAAACATTATATAGAAAACGATGAGAGCTAAGTGGAAAAAAAAGAGAACTCGACGTCTTAAACGCAAAAGAAGAAAGATGAGAGCTCGTTCCAAGGTAAATAAATAAATAAATATATATATATAAAATAATTTGTTTATTAAAGAAGAATATTTATTTATTAACTTGTAAATTTTAATAAATTTAAATATTTTGTTTTTTATTCATTAGTGAACAATGATCTTAACGTTAAACAGAGTCAACAGTTTCGTTGTTAACTTATATCAACTTGTATTATTTGGTCATTCAAATAAAAACTTCTCAAATTCAATATCAAATGTTTTAGACTCTTGATTTATTTTTATTAATAAAAAATTTTATTCTTTAAATTAAATTAATTTAATTCATTGTAACAAGTAAATATTTACAGTTTATATAAAATGAAAATATGCAATAAAAGATATTTACAAAATTAATAATTATTTTTTGACTTTAAGTATAAAAATTAAAGATTAAAAAATCCAAAATTAAAGATAAACATTAAGTATCAAGTTTTAAGAGTTTTCGCTATCGTTTCATAAAATAGCTTTTTGTCAGATAACTTATAAGAAGAATTTTGTCCAATAATATTTTTAATACCTTCTAATTGATTCATGATAGGTTCTTCTTCGTCTATGGAATTGGGTATAGAAATATATCTATTATAATCACCACCTGTCGATTCTAGTTTCAATGTTTCTTCGTCGTCATCTTGATTATTTAATGAATGATTCTTCATTTGAGAAATTGTAAAGTCATACCAATCAATGTCTTCTGAAATAAAATCTTTTATTTGTGGTTTATTTTCAGTAATATTTCTTATTCTATTTTTTCCTCGACCAACTCCAGAATTGTCAAACCTTCCTCCTCCTCCTCCTATTCCTCTCCCAACTCCCCCTCCCCTTCCTACTCCCCCTCCCCTTCCTACTCCTCCTCCCCTTCCTACTCCCCCTCCCCTTCCTACTCCCCCTCCCCTTCCTACTCCCCCTCCCCTTCCCCTTCCCCTTCCTCTTTGTTGTTGAAATCGATAATGTTGTCTTTCCAATTCCTGTGGATCCCTCATTGGGTCAGATAAGGTTTCAAAATATTGTCTTTCTTCAACTTCATCAACTTTATCGTCAAATTGTCCGGGTTCCTTTGGGGGTAGGTTCTCGGGTTCCTTTGGAGGTGGGTTTACTTTTGTTATTGGCACTGTTAAGGTAAAGGTTTTACCACCCAGTTCAATTGTGCCACTACCGCCGCGTCCACGTCCAGCTCCTAATGACGTATAAAATTTTAAATTCTGACCGAAAGTAGTAAAGTTATTATTTGTAGGTTGTCGGAAAGAACGAATCATTTTTCTCTATTAAAAAAAAATCGGTTATAATATTATAATAGTATAAATTTTTGGATATAATGGATCACATGCATATATTGACCAGTTATTCAAAAATTTAGATTTCAAATATTCAAAAGAATATTTAACAATGGTAGAAAATGATGACAAAGATTGTGTTTTGCTAGATAATTTTGCAATATTTGTGCAAATACTTCTGGCTTCAATTGCATTCTCAACTCTTATATATAAAAGACATAGAGAACGACCACAAAGACCATTACGTATTTGGTATATTATTAATTAATTTATATATTATTTTCATAAACTTTTATTTTAAATCATATATATATATATATATATTTTTTTTTTTTTAAAAAAAAAAAGGTTATACGATGTTAGTAAACAAGTTATTGGAGCATGCATGATGCATAGCTTAAACATTATTTTCTCTTATTTCTCAGGTTCTACTGCCAACACCAACCCTTGCGTGTGGTAACTTCTCTCTATATATCTTTATATTCGTAAATCTATATAACATATTATTGAAGATTAAAAATTAAATTATTTTTTTTTTTAGGTATTTTCTTAACATATTTGTAGATTGTACATTAGGTGTTTTCATATTATATATCCTCCTTAATATTGTACAAATTTCATTAATGTCTGTGGGAATCAAAGGTAATTTATTCATATAATTGATTTCTGATCTAATTGTTATGATAATAATTGTTATTATTATTTTTTTTTATAATTTGAATTGGTTAATATTTAATTTTTATAGGTGTGAAAAGTGGAGAATATAATCAACCACCTAGAGTGAGATGGTGGTTAATGCAAACAATAATATTTGTTCTTTGTTTATTTATGATGAAATTAACTGTAATTTTAATCTTTCGAGCTATGCCATTTTTATTTAATGTTGGTAAATGGCTTATGGGATGGACTTTACATGATAAAAAACTTCAAGTAGTTTTTGTAATGTTGATTTTCCCTTTGATTATGAACATTGTACAATTTTGGCTTGTTGACCAAGTAATAAAAAAGAAATTGGAGAAGGTGAAGCTCGAAGGAACTGATAGTTCTAGAGAAGATGAAATGTTTCTACGGGTAGATATAAGTGATGATGAATTAAGTTATAATGAGAGTCTATCTTCCTACCATCCCAAAGGTAGTAACGTAAGTCTCTCCTCCACTTACAATAGTGCACCTCTTCTTAAAGGAACATTCTCGAATAATGAAAACAATTTCAATTATAATGGATCAAGAGAAGAAGTTTACATTGAGCTGCACCCTTACGATTAGTTGGTATGTTTTTAAAACAAAATTATTTCTTCGTATTTCATTCCATCATAATTTTCATTACAATTTTTAGATAAAAGGTTACATTTACTAGATTTGTCATTTATTATGTTATTGATATTTTAATGATATTTTAATGTTATAAAAGTGGTTCTTTCTTTCCAAGTTTCTTAGTTGATGTAATTTTACCATCTTAAAACGTATAAAATGGTTTTCAGTGTTTCTCGACTTCGCAGCAGGGAAATTTGTATTGTTATCAAAAATGGAAGTAAAGAAATTAAAAGTATGATAGAATCGGTAATAATCTGCACCAGTTAATTGATGGTCATATAAATTTCCAGAAAAATTCTAACCAAAAGCTACATATGGATGGCGTTTTGTTTATTTATTTATTGAACAAAATAATTTTGAAAAAAAAAAAATAATAATTAATTATCTATAAAAATATATCTGTAGCCATTTTAATATAAAATTCTCACTTGGCAATAGCAACATTTTGGGAAGATTTATTTGAAGAACCTGAAGCTTGACTTCATTTTTCTCAAATTAATCACATCATCACAGTATTGAAAAAATATCTTGCATTATGTTGGTGTAATTGACACGGGTCAAAAATTTTACCTATTTGGCATAAATAGGAGTAGTATTTATGCAGAAGATCAGGTACTCGATATATTATATAAAATGATTTTTACGCATATCGTCGCATGTGGAAAATCATTTTTGAAAGCATTGTGGTCAAAGTTGATTATTGCTCCAACATCGTAGCCGCCAACATGAATTATAGTCCCCGAAACATGGAGGTTTTTTTTTTCATCTCAATCGGATAGATATCGACCAAGTTATTATGAATTAAAATTTTACATAATTTTTTACAATTATAGCTTAAAAAATCAACTGTCCAATTCATGTATAAACTAAAAATCGGCCTAAAATCGACTAAAATCGACAAGGCCAATTTTTTTACTTTATGCGTCAAAAATTTGACCATTTTTAATCATTCGAAATGTCCATAGATCTATTTTCGAAATGTATTCTTTGACATCCAGTGAAGGCATAAAGAAGATATAATAAAATTATTATAAGACTTTTGATTTTAATTATATTAGTACAGTTACAAATTTAAAATATTATGGCAAATTAATATTTAGTTCAACTTGGAATGAGAAAGAATCCATTGTATCAAACCGATATTGGAAAGAATTCCGTACAACCCTAAAAATGTACAAAATTATTAATTGATCTTATGAATTGAATAAAAGAATCAATTAGTTAAACGTACCATATAGAAAACACACCAGCTTCCCATTCGCTTTGTAAAGTAAATATTATCAAAATTTGCAAGAAATAAAACTTTTTTTTTTTTTTTTTTTTGAACATAAAAGTACCTACCCTAGTATGTGAACGTAAAACCTCACAGACTCTGGGTTTCCCCCAGATTTGATTTCCTTGTTGATTAATGTAAAAACGTTGTTTTGATCCAACATATTCACCTAATATAAGAAATAATGTAGTATCGGGCATGTATGTCCATGTCATCTTTAATGCTGGTTTAGTAATAGTTGAAGAAAAGGCAGACATTGGATTGGTGGGACGAACAGTTTCTACTGAATTAGTTATCTATGAAAAAAAAAAATTAAATAAAACAATAAAATGAATATATTTCTAAGAAGAATGAAAATTTAAAAGCATCAGATGAATACCAATATAACTATCTGATGTTCTCTGGCCAAATTTCGAAGCATTCGTATTAAATTTGTCATCAGAGAGTTTGCTTGCATTCAAAAAAAAAAAAAAAGGATGCGAGCGTAAGTAACAATTAATGACAAAAGTAATCAAAGGAAATAATTATTACATCATTTTAAACCTTTTTCATCCGCATAACCCCCTAAAATCGGTAAGAATAATGGAGCGATGGAGTCCAATACTATTAACTTCAAATTGAAATAAAAAGCATCTTCTGACTAATAATAAATCAAAAACAAATGGTTAAAGGTTTCTTTTACATCCCTGTAATATTTAGAATTCGTATATTTACCTTTCTTTGAAGTTCTTGTCTCAAACCTTCAATGACAGAAAATACATCAAAGATATCTGAACCATTTTTAGGAAGTCTTATTCTTTGAAAAACGTCTTCAGCATTCTATACAAAACAAATTATATCATTATTCATTGTTCTGTGGATAGAATATTTATAATTTTTTAGTGACTTTCCATTCCTCGATCTCTTGCATCTATAAATCGATCACTTTCTTGAAAGAGATCAAACATTGCTTCAGGTGAAAATGAATTCAATGTATCAATATAAAATACAGTATTGTTTGAGACTGAACAAGTGGTCATAAGAGTTGCGGCGTAACACAGCTAGCAAGTCGAGATTAAATGAAAAATTTTAATAATTTTTAATAATTTTAATAAATTTTAGATAATAAATTTTAAAATTATTCTATAATTAATTTTTAAATCAATTTCGAACCCGTGTTTTTCCTGCAGTAGACTCTCCACTGATTTCTGTGATCTCACCAGGATGCAAACCTCCGGATAGTAAATCATCAATTCTATTAGGTATAGAATAATAATTGTTTAACAATTTGAACAGTTATCTTTATCAAATAAAAAGAATTTATATTTTTATTTACCCTGAACATCCAATAGAAATCAAATCTTCCTGACGCGTATTTAACTCATCTAACAATTGAATACCACGTTTCGATTTGACCTTATTTGACTCAATAACTTGACGTCGTAATTTTTCAAAAATCTACACTTTATGATGGGGGGATGATTTTTTAATAACAATATTTTAACAAAATGAAAGAAAAAAAGTTTTACTAGTTTTACTATACTTACTTCCATCGAAATTTCATGTTTTTTACAATATTCTTCAACATTTACTTCACCAAATAGAATCTTTGCCTCTTTTTCCATTCAAATTTATCAATTATATGTATCAAGTTACTTCAAATTATTTCTTATATATTAAGAACATAAATTAGAGTTACCGTCAGCAATTCTTTCCATCTTTTTATTGTACTAAACTAAAGCTAGGTCAACAAATTTATGTACTAAACTAAACTAGTCAACAATTTAAAACTTTTACTGTATAAGGGTGATTTACGTGAATCACGTGTTTTTGCGCGGATTCACGCGTTTATATTGTATAATGAGTTTCCAAATATACACACACCCACATTTTTGCCACTCGCTCAAACTATAATCATCAAGAATGGGAACGTCTAAATTCGAGAAAGCTTTATTTTGTATTTGTAGACCTAAAAGATGTTGTTGCTGTATACCGTTTCGAATAGGATTATATATTATATCAAGCATGTTACTTGTAAGTTTCTTTACTGTATTATTACATTATTGTTACAATATTATATTACGGTATTTTAATAATGAATTATTTTTATTAAAAGTTTCTTGGAATATGGAGTTCTTTAGTATCATTTTCGGAAGTTACAGGTTTATTATTATTATTATTATTATTATTATCATCTTTCTAAATATAATTATATAAATTTCTAAATTGTTAAATTTCTCTATCACAAAAATATAGCATATAATCATATACCGAAAGGAGTAAGGATAATAATGGGATTGTTTTACCTTTTATTAATACCCGTAGCAATATTTGGATATTATACTTTAAGAGGATCAAATGAAGTATTTTTTTTTTTTAAATAAGAAAAATCTATAATTAACTATTAAAAAAATAAAATAAAATAATAATAATCAAATTTTTTTTTAATTATTTTTTATTTTTATTTTTGATATAAAGAAATATCATGTGGCATTCCAAAGATTTTCAAAAGTATTTTGGGTGGCCATATTAATTATTGTACTTTTAACATTGATACAATTAATTAATTCTTTTCTCCGACGTCAAGATTTAATTCATGAATGTGAAGATGATTATCATAATGGGGTTGATAATATTTTTTATATTATGACTAATAGTACTGATGGATTATTGGTTACTGAAACTTGTCAACATGCAGTGAATTTTTCTTTAATTTTGGTTTTATTGGATTTTATATTTTTAAAACTTTGTTTATGGGTAAATATTATTATTATTATTATTATTATTATTTTTATTATTATTATTATTATTATTATTATTATTATTATTATTATTATTAATTTATTTTTAATTTATTTTAAATATTTATTTAACTCAAAAATATAATTAATTTTTTGTAGGTTTATTTTGGAATAATAGTAGAATTGCATCATAAACAAGAAGATAGCATTGATAGTGACTCTGTAAAATTTGATTAATAAATCATATAAATATTATCATATATATTAAATATATTTAAATTAATTAATTTATTTATTTTTATTTATTCAATTTTTAACATTACAATTTTAAAAATTTAATATTTAATATTTCTATATAGCTAACTTTTCTAAGATCAATATTGTATCACAAGATTATCCAAAGTAAAATACAAATAAAATAAATAAAATCCAAGTATATATTATATTGTAACTCCATAAATCATGTGCATTATCAAATAACACATATCTCGAAAGCCTTGCATTCAATTTAATCCAATTCAATTCAATTTAATTTATTCTTAACAGTAATTTCACACATTCCTAAGAAAAAATGTCAGAATATTTATCCAAAGCAGCAGCTTTTGCACAAAATGCGGCGAAACTTTCTAAGAAAGTGTCTGAAGGTATTGTCGAAAATGCACGTGAATTCGGGTTAGAAGCTACTTCTTCGGGTCATTATTTCGATACTTCGGAAGAAAAAATGCGTGATATCAAAAGGCAACTAGACTCGAGACATGATCGAGAGAAAATGGATGGTTTAAAAAGACTGATCGCGGTAAGTTAAAAAAAAAAGCACTTTTTTTTTATGAAACATTAATTATTTCATAAATTATTTCATATATTAATTCATTCAATAATTATTATAATTCATTAATAATTTATTAATATGTCACTAAATAATTCAATTAATAATACATAAATAATTCAATTAATAATTCACTAAATAACTCAATTAATAATTTAATTAATAATTCAATAAATAATTCAATTAATCAATTAATTTAGATGATATCAAAAGGTCGCGATGTTTCGGAATTTTTTCCCGATGTTGTTAAAAATGTGGCTTCTCAAAACCTTGAAATTCGAAAACTTGTTTACATATATTTATTGCGATATGCTGAACAAGAACCTGATCTTGCATTACTGTCAATTAACACGTTTCAGAGAGACTTGGCAGATCAAAATCAATTAATAAGAGCAATGGCTTTACGAGTGATGTCTGGTATTCGAAACCATGTTATTAGTCCAATAGTATTATTAGCTATAAAGAAATGTGTTACTGATTTGTCAGCGTACGTAAGAAAGACTGCAGCACATGCCATTCCAAAATGTTATAGGTAAAGTAAAGCGTTAATTCTCTAATTCTCTATATGTATTTCAACAATTTAATTATTATTATTATTTAATTATTTAATTATTTACTTATTATTTTTTTTTAGTCTTGACCCGTCACAAAAAGATGCTTTGGTTGATATCATAACAACTCTTCTCAATGATAAATCATCTTTCACAATCGGTAGCGTTATAATGGCATTTAATGAAGTATGTCCTGATAGATTTGATTTAATACATCCACAATATCGAAAACTTTGTAAGATGTTAATTGATGCAGATGAATGGGGACAGATAGCTATTATAGGCCTTCTTCTACGATACTCAAGGTATTATCGATTTCTAAACTTTATATGTATATTATTTATTTATTTATTAATATTTATTTATTTATTTATTTATTTATTATTTATTTATTTATTTATTTATTTATTTATTATTATTTATTTATTTATTTAATAATTAATTACTTATTTATTCATTTATAGGACACAATTTTTAAATCCAATTCGGAATTCAAATGTGAGCTAGGAAAAAAAAAAGCATTAAACTCAAATTTTATTATATGATACATTCTGATGATAATAATAATAATAATAATAATAATAATAATAAAGCATTAAAACGTGCACCTTTTTTTATTATCATTTAGAGTCAAAATTTTGGAAAGAAAAAATCCGAAGCATTTTATTCTGATGATGAAAATTCAGAAAAATCGGATGATACTTTTGACGATTCATTTATACTTGATCCCGATCATGAACTTTTATTACATTCAGCTTTACCTTTATTACAAAGTAGGAATAGTGCAGTAAGTTGATTAAATATATTCTTTTAATATTAATAACTTTAAATTAAGTATTCTGAATAAAAAAATACAATACATTTTTTTATAGGTAGTACTTGCAGTTGCTAAACTTTATTATCATTTGGCACCTTTAGAAGAAGCGTATAAATTAGGCAAACCGTTAGTGAGATTATTACATAGTCATAGAGAAAATCAATACGTTGTTCTAGCGAATATTGCTACAATGGCTATACAACGGCCGGTGTGTTAGTATGAAAAAATGGTCTTTTTGGTTTTAATTATAATGTAATTTTTAACGAGTCTAAAATTTTTGAATCAAATAGTCTCTTTTCGAACCCCATTTACAACAATTTTTCGTTAGATCAACGGATCCTGCGTTTATACGAAATTTGAAATTGGAAATTATGATATTAATCGCGACCGAAAATAATATAACAGGATTGCTTAGAGAACTTCAGGTTTTTTTTTATACACTTTTCTATTCGTCTACTTATAAGTACACTTCAATGGTTTTGGTTTTAATCGTTTTATTTTATTTTATTTTAAAATTTAAAAAAATTTACAAAGGAATATGTAAAAAGTCCTAACAAAGAATTTGCAGCTGCTGCAATACAAGCCATTGGTCATTGTGCAATAGGAATGCCAGAGATGGCTGAAAGTTGTTTAAATGGGTTAATGAGATTGCTTTGGAGCAAAAACGGTAAATTATTTATCAAAATTATATATATATATATCTCTCTTTTTGTTAAATTAACAAAGATTTTTTTTTTTTTTTTTTTTTTTTTTTTTTTGATATAAAATTATTTTTACAATTTCAGATGCGGTCGTTGCAGAATCCGTTGTGGTAATTAAAAGATTATTACAATTAAGACCTCAAGATAATGCGGATATGATAATACAATTAGCCAAAGCTTTAGATCAAATAACCGTTCCTATGGCACGTGCAAGTATATTTTGGCTGGTAGGCCAATATTCACAAAATCTTGAAAAAGTTGCACCCGATGTACTTAGAAAAGCTGTAAAGACTTTTACGACAGAAGCTGATGTAACAAAATTACAGATTATCAATCTTGGTGCAAAACTTATATCACTTCATCCCACAGATAATACACTTAATCTTCTTTTTCAATATATGCTTGATCTCGCGAGATATGATCTAAATTATGATATTAGAGATCGAGCAAGATTTTTCAGAGGTCTTATATTAATAGATATTAAAAAAGAAAATGTGGATGAAAGTACAGTTGTTTCACAATTTAATAATAATAATAATGATGATGATGATGAAAATAATAATAGTAATAATAGTAATAATAGTAGTAATAATAATAATAATAATAATAATAATAATAATAATAATAATAGTAATAATAGTAATAGTAGTAATAGTAATAATCATAGTAATAATAATAATAATAATAATAATAATAATAATAATAATACAGTTTTGGTGAATAATTTGAAGAAAATACTTTTATGCGAAAAAGAAGCCCCTTCTGAAGAAAGTCCTTCTGCAGGTGAATTAAAAAGTTATTACAATAAATTACAAATTATTATTATAGTTAATTTATTTGAGTTAATAATAGCAATCCATTTTGTATTGATTGTGGATTGTTTATAGGTCGAGACAGATTTACTATAGGGTCAATAGCTCTCGTCCTAAATCATTCCATTCCAGGATATGAGCCATTACCTGATTGGACAACTGAAAAACCAGATGGGTCTCTAAGAGATAATTTGGTAATAATATTTTCGATTTTAATAAATAATAAATGAAAAAAAAAAAAAATTAATTAATTATTTTTGAAATTAGGATGAAACATGGGGTCATAATCGATCTATTAAAGGATTTGGGAGTGATACGATTGGAAATTATGCGCCATCACCAACTTTTGATAAATCATTTTCTAAAAAAAGAAATGATAATTATTATGATGACCTTAATCGATTTTATGAATCAGAAGAGATCTCTGAAGATGAAGAAAATACAGGTAAAATATATTTATATGTACATTTCATTAATTAGACTGAATGTATATAATTTTCCTTTTTTTTTTAACGAAATATTAATATTAGCTCTTCGTTATGACTCAATTGGAGATGAAACATCAGAGAGTGAAGAGGGAGAAACGAGTGATGAAGATGAGGAAGAAGAAGATGATGATGATGATGAGGAGGAGGAGGAGGAAGAAGAAGAAAGTTCGGAAGAAGAGGAGGATGAAACTGATGAAGAAGAAGATGAAGATGAGGAAGAACAATTACTGAAAATTGATAATTTACATGGAAAAGGAAATTATCGCAATGATGTTAAATGCTAACATTCTACCTATTTATTCGTATTTAATATTATCTTTGCATTTTTATAAATTAGATAATTATATTTATTGCATATTATTACATTATTATTACTATTATAAAATCATTTAGATAAATTTTTTTTCATTAGAGTTTATGAAACGTTGTGTTGTAAATTTATATATTAAATTTGTAATATACATATACCTAATATATCTATCAAGTATAAAAAATTCTATTGATCTTTTTTTTAACAAAATAAAAATAAATAATTTGATTAAATTATTGTATTAGTAATTACCTATAGATATATAAACTATTTAAAAGAAAAGAAAAATGAAATAAAGAAGATCTTTGTAAAAGAATAAATAACTATTCATAATTTTCCTCCTCTTCGATATCAGGTAAAGGAAAATTAAGAATAGCTGCTACACCAGTTAATTGATTGAGTTCTATAATTATAGAGAATTTAATTAATAAATAAATTTTATAAATTTAATTAATAAATAATCTTTTATCATTATAATTATTTAAAAATGCTCGCTGATATTTACGTTCTCCAGAAACATGTAAACTAGAAAATAATAACACTTTTCCTCCCATTGAACGCACAGATTCAACAAGATGAATATATTTTTTACGAGTAGAAATATCTGCAGCTCTTTAAAAAAAATTATAAATTATAACTAAATAAATATAAATATATATATACCCATATATAAATAACAATATTGACTAATCACTCTTTGAATTTTTTATATACCTGAAAAGTTCATCTGAAACGAGTAAAGTTCCAATCGCACCTCTCTCTTCTGCTTTTTTGACATGATCCCAACCATAAAAAGCTTTATCCGGATTATCATTTAACATTTTATAGAATTTATCTAAGGCCACACTTTCCTGGGCGTATTTGGTATCAGTTAATTGACTCTGTATAGTTGTATCTTGTAATACTTCTTGCAATGAATGCTTGTGACCAGATGAACAATGTATAAGAACAAATTTTGATTTGTTCTCTATTAATTGCCTAATATCTTGTTTCTAACAGATGACCAATTAAAAATATATACATATATATATATATATATATATTTTAGGTTTTTATAATTAGATAACGATGAAGGGCATAAATTATAAATACCACTGCCTCCGCGAAAATATACTCATGAAGTTGATCCTTATCAATTTATAAATTTGAAATTTGAAAGATTAAATGATGATAATAATAAATTAAAAATTAATAATAATTAATAATAATTAATAATTAATAATTAATAATTAATAATAATAAAAATAAAATTAAAATTAAAATAATCATTAAAAATACCTTCACAAAACCAGGACTAGCCAAAATGACAACTTTAACAACTTCAAAGTTTACGTGACGCATAATTGCTTTCATGACTTGATCATAAAATTTTTGGAGACCCTTTATAATTATTATAATTAATTACAATTAATAATCAAAAAAAAAAAAAATTAATTCCATTTCTTTTTAATTTATATTACTTTAATTATTCATTAAAATTTCACCAACCTTTTCATAATTCGTCACATTACCTTTGCGCTTCCTAGGAATCGATTGTTCAACTCTTTGTCTTACAATTGTCATGCTATGCGTAACCAAACATAAATTAGCTAGACCTAAGAAATGAATTCAAAAAAATTAAATTTTAAATAATAAAAAAAAAAAAGGAAATTTTAACATGGCAAAGAATTACCTTCTTGAAGAACAACAGCAGCCACATCTGCTTGTTTTGTAATATCACAAGCTTCTTGAACTCTTTCAAGTGCAATAATATCCCATTCCTGTTTTAATAACGTGAAATTTCTATTCAATTCAAGATCAATTGTATGATACATGCCCAACTAAAATTTGATAAAAATGTTAAATAGTTTAAATAATTTTTGTTAAATCAAAATATTCCAGAAAAAAAAAAAAATGTTAAAAATAGTATCAATCATACTTTAACATATTTATTTTCAACAACATTTCTCCCTCGAATTCTTAATATCCCTCCCTGTGGATCAAAATCTACTTTATCCACTGATATGGTTAAAGTAAGCCTTATTCGTTCTGAATCCACTGATCCAGTAGCACTTTCATTTTGAATGCGTCTAAAATAACATTAAAAATTTAGATAAAATATATTTTTAATAATATTTTTATTTATAATAATAATTTTTAATTCTTCCTTACCGTATTGTTGAAGCTTTGAGTTGATCTCCTATAGAAATTAGATTATAAACGTGCCACATGTCTTCTAATTCTTCGGGACAAAGGACCACAAAACCCTAATCAAACATAAACATTAATTAAATTATATAAATTATATTATTTTAAATTATTTTCATACCGAATGATCTCTTTCAATTTTTCTTTTGATTAACTTCATTTAAATTTTTTTGAAAGTTTTTTTATTAATAAAAAATGTTTTTTTATTTTAAAATGTCAAAATTTCTTGGTATCAGAAAATGATAAAAAATTTTGCCTTTTTAATATTTTGAAATTACATTAATATTATTTAAAATATTTTAATACATAAAGGACAAAAAAAGTATATATTATACATTGTAGAGATTGATACTATAATAATTATTCAATATTAATCTTTGTACCCTGACGATCAACTTTAGGTACAACAATTGATAAAATACCATCTTTATAATTTGCTTTGACATTTTCTGGATCAATTCTGCCGGGAAATTGAAAAGATCTTTGAAAATTACCCAAAACTCTTTCACTGGACCAATAAACAGGAGATCTTTCTGAAACTTCACCACTTGTTTGTTGTTGAACTGCTGTTGTGCTACTTCCTTCGGTGGAACTTCCTTCTGTGGTAACTCCTTCAGTGGCTTTATCAGCAGGAATAGCACCACCCGCAGTTTCAGGAGTAGCCTCAATTGTTCTTATATTGTCACCTCGTGTAAATTTTTCAATTTTTCCTTTTAAGACCAAAGTATTATCATTAGTAAATTCTACTGATAAATCATCTTTTTTCATGCCGGGTACTTCAGCTTCAACCACATAAGATTTATCGGTCTCACAAATATCTACCGAAGGACGAAAATATTCTGTAGATGTAAAGGAGGAAGGAAACCTGGTACCACTACGTAGAGCGGTATTAAATAATGGATCTTCTAATAATGAAAATGCTCTACCAAATTCTTGAGCAATAGAAGGGAAAACGCGATTGATGAGAGACATTTTTGATTTGATTTTTGATTTTTTGATTTGATTTTTGATTTTTTGATTTGATTTTTGATTTTTTGATTTGATTTTTATTTTGATTTTTTTGTAAAATTTATTCTACATCATATTTATACATTTTTTCAAACGTTTAAGGAATTTGCTAGAACTTTCGTCCATAAAATTCTTCTAAATTACTCATCGTGATGTAAAAGAAAATTAGAATTTACTAGATAATTCGATTTATTTTTTATAATTTTATTTTTTTTGATTTTATTTTTTTTATGGGCTGATTTGGATTTTGTCACATAAAATTTGATTTTTCTTTTAATTATTGTGAATTGTAATAGTAGCAATGCTGATCAAAATTGATCATAAAATCTGATGATCTAGTTTTTTTTTTTTTGTTTCTTCGCACGGTTTTTTGAAATCGCGTATATAATAAAAAATAAAATATTATCTATTTTTTAGGATATTTAAGTGAAATATGAGTTCTTTTGAACTTGTAGAATATAGGTCTCAAAAGGCTTGAAGGTTTTAACATATGTATTTATTATTTAATAGATTTTGAAATGCATTATCAATAAGAGTTATAGAGTACAATTATGATAGTAAAATAATAATTATAAAAATTATAAATACAAGTTAATAAATGTTTGGAACTCTTGGAAATTATTTTCAATAAATAATGACTATTTGTTATTTTCGTTATTTTTTTTATCATATAATATTATGTGGAATACTTATGTGATATAATAAAATTAGTGGAGTCAAATCAGCCCATATGCATGTCAACCCATTACCGAATTACTGGTATTTTCTGGTTGATAGTTGTAGCACATATTTTATACATTTTTCTTCCAAGAATGCAGAAAATATCTAATTCTCTAGATCAAGAACAACAACAACAACAAACACAAAGGTTTAATAAAAATGCATTATCAAGTTCTACTATTGTACCAACAATCAAAATTTTATTTCGTAACGACGAATTTTTGGTAGTTGATAAACTGTAGGTTCTTTATTCTCTTTTTTTTTTAAAAAAAAAAATGATAAATAAATAAATGATAAAAAATGTATAAATATAAAATTTTTTGCAAGTAAAGTTACGATGTAAGAATTGATGGAGATAGTTCAAAAGGACATACTGGTAATTTATATTAATTAATTGATACATTTTTTATGTTTTAATTAAATAATTTTAAATAATAATAATTTAATAATAATTTTAAATAATAATAATTTTATAATTTTAATAATTTTATAATTTTAATAATTTAATAGTATTATCAATTCTTTATAACCAAGATCCAAATTTACCAAAACCATTACGAAATGTTCATCAACTTGATCATTCAACTTCAGGATGTTATTGTTTAGCATTAACAAAAAAAGCAGCAGGATTAGCTAGTGTTGCATTTGCTAAAAGAAAAGTTGAAAAATATTATTTGGCAATTGTAAGGGGATGGATGAAAGATGATAGGTAAATTTTGATGGTAATTAAATGAAAAAATAAATGTGTAAAAATAGATGAGAGAAATGTTAATATAAATATATGAACACAATTTAACACGATTTAAAGTTATATAGTTGAACAGCCAATTGCTGAAGTTCCAAATAATCGATATCGAATGTGTATTGGATCAAAGAATAATCCTGGAAAGGTAAATTTATTTATAATATATTAAAATTTTAAAATAAATATAATTTAAAGATTTTTAATAATTTTTTTTTCCCATAAAGTCCGCAAAAACAGAAATTAAAATAATTCGGAGGGGATATTTTTATCCCAATCATCTTCCCTCTTCTCCTTCTCCTTCTCCTCCTTCTCATCTATCTCCTCCTCTATCATCTACTCAATTGACTCAATTATATTCAAACAACAATAATAATAATAATAAACCTTTAGAAGTTACATTAATTGGCCTTCATCCAATTACCGGTAGAAGACATCAATTACGTTTACATTGTCACTATTTAGGTTATCCAATCGTTGGTGATTGGCATTATGAAAAGTTAACAATGGATTATACTGATACTTTTCGGATGATGTTACATGCTAAAAAATTGATTATTCCTTTAGACAGAAAAGATAATAATAAGAAGAAAGTGATGAAGAAAAATGATAATAATAGTGATGACAATAATAAGAAGAATGATAATAATAGTGAAGATAATAATAATAACAATAATAGTAATAATAATAACAATAATAGTGATAATGATAATGAAGAAAAAAGTAAATTAAAAATATTACATATAGAATCTAATGATCCATTCTCTGAATTAGTATTTGATAATATTTTAGATCAATAAAATCAATAAAAATAAAACTGATAATAATTAATTAAATATGTATATATATCACAATTTATATATATACAATTTTTATTTACCATTTTCAATTATTGGGATCAATATTATAATTATTTCTTTTTATCTTTATTTTTATTACCTCTATTATTACCTATTATTATCTATTACTACTATGTACCTAATTTTTATGCATTTTTGTAAATTATGAAAGTAAATCAATTGGTAGTGATATATAGAGTATGTGATATTCAAATCAATTAGTTATGAGCATAATGTGATGTTCATAATCATTTTTCTTGTGATATTTAGAGTGAGTGGTAGTGGTATTCATCCAAAAAATAAAATAAAATAAATAATGTTTGTGTTTATATTATTAATGTTTTTTAGATTTTCCTCCTCGACCACCACTACCGCCACCGCCACCACTTGCACTACCACTAATACCACCACCACCACGTCCCCTGGTATTTCCTCCCCCACCTAAAATAATAAAATAAAATAATAAAAAAGTAATGAAATAATAAAAAAAAAATAAAAAAAATTAATTAATAATTGTAATAAGATAATAAAAAAAGAAATTAATAATTGTTAGAAATATTAAAAATAACATCAAATACTTTACCTCGCCCAGAATTCCCACCACCACTACGAGATCCTCCACCTAAATAATAAATTAATGATAAATTAATAAATAAATTAATAAATTAATAAATAAATAAAATAGATATATAATATTCTTACGTCCACGACCGCCACCACCAGTAGCTTGTCGTTGCCTAACTGCATCTTCTTTTACCATTTCAATAATCTACATAATTAAATAATATAATAATATAAAATTAATAATAATAATAATAATAATAATAATAATAATAATAATAATAATAATTAATAATGATGATGATTAATAAATCTTTCAATGATTGCATTAAATTTAATAGATCATAAATTTTACCTCATCTGGTACTCGAAGATATTTAATCTTAAAGAAAATATATATAAATATATTTTATAAAAATTTATTATATACATAAAGAGTAAGTGTGAACGTGTCTATATAAAATTTTTGATGACTCACCGTGTTCCCTCTAATATAACATTCTGGTAATCGCCAGAACCTATTACCTTCCTGAATATAAAAATAAAATAAATATAATACAAATATAAATATAAAAAAAAAAAATTTTAGTCAAGAAAAATATTCAATTTACCGGCGATGTTTGTATAACTTCTCGTAAAGTTAAATTCATCCAATTATCACAATTTACTAAATGTCCGTTAAATGTTTCTCCATTCTTTAATTCAACTAACTATCAAATATAAAAATCAAATATCAAATATAAAATATTAAATATAAAACATAAAATCGCGCATTTTAAATAGATAGTTATTATTAATATTTATTTTATTATTGTAAAGAATATATTTATTTCTTTTTTAATTATTAACAAAGTAACAAAGAATTATTTGAAAAGTTACCATTGGATGTCCTTGAGCTGTGTTTAACAACGAAAGCGGTAACTACATACATAAAAACATAAAATATACATTTCATTAATATTTTTTATAATCATGTTCTTGAGTTCTTGAAAACTTTTAATTTAGTATAATACCATTAGTTATTATGGTTATTTAATATGATTATTTATTATGGTTATTGTATGATATACATAAAGACGCGTTTTTTATTCTTTATTTTTTTTTTGTGGGTTGAAAGTTGAAGTTATAAAATTGATCGACAAAGTACACATGACCTTCAAAATTTGAAGTGAGCTACCAAGCTTGAAATAGAAAAAAAAAATTTTTCTCTTAAGGTGAACACGTTTTAAAGTTAGGTTTTGCATAGACTTCGTACGGCAATAACTCGGCGAATATCGATGTTAAAATTAAACATCGTAAATCCTGAAATGAGAAATATCGTAGTAGAAAATCGCGTAAAATCGATGTGAATTATAAAATTAATATATTATCTTTAGACGATAATAATAACTCAACGAATATCAATGTTAGAAACTTGATTTAAAAAACCACAACGAAACTTAAGAATTTTCAAATGGTATTAAAAATATCTTAATAGAATTGATCCGAAGTAATGCAAATCTACAAGTTTTGCAGGTTTGCAGGCAGACCTGAACTGGCCGGTCGGGCGGGTGGTAGATAGACATCTGATACTATTTATGATGCAACATTTAAACATTTTATTAAAAAATTAATAAAAAATAGTTAGACATGGGCTATAAATTAACCTTTCTGGTAGTTAATAATGTTTTATCTAAATTTTTAGGTTAAATTTAATTAATAAAATAAAATTCTTCAAAAATTTTTCTTACCTAAATTAGAAAAATAATATCTTTTTGGACAACAAACGAATTTCTCAAAGGTTTTAATTGTTACATTTTTATATTATAAATATTCTTGTCAAGTATAAAGTTTAAATAATAGACAAGAGACAAAGAAAATAATTTATAAGTATAAATAATTACTTTTGATTTGTACAATTTGTAAATACAAGGTCAACAATAATTTGATGCAAATGTGAAACGTTTACACATTTACTTGCATGTTTTGCATTATCTAATTTTTTTTTCTCAATTCGTTCGAAAAATCAATAGAAAGTCGACTCATTTTTTTGATAATTTATATTTAATGTGCTAATTTAGGTTCACTAAACGATTTTTCTTTTTCTTTTTCATGTATATCACGTATATTGTAATTTTACTATTTTTATTGAATAAATCAAAAATAAAATCAAAATAAAACCCAATAAAGAATAAAATTTCCCTTAATTTAGAATAATATTTAATTATCTTAATTATCTTATTAAACATGGTTGGCATTAATGTTTCAAACTTCGCCGAAAATAATGGTAAGGTGATTTTTGGTTTAATGCAACCTCCTGAATTAATGATTAAAGTTTCACAAATACTTTTATAGTGATTAATTAAATTGCGTTTCCTAATAAAAATAATATATATATATTAACATGTTGCTCCATAAAGTCTCCCTTAAACTTTCTTTGGGTTGCTTTTTTTCACTATTTTTTTTTTTTTCGATAGGCGCTGGGCCGCCATTTCACGTTTCTTTTTAAATTATCCTTATCTCATTCCTATTTTATTTTTTATTTTCATTTTCTATATATTTTCTACTTAAAACCATTATAGCGCGAACTTACAGTGTTTGTTTTGTGCTGGTTTATCGTAATAACAAAGAGAACAAGTTAACGCATAGCAAAATTCTTTCTTTTTTCTTTCATTTATTTTTTCTGTGTTAATTTTTACGATATTGTACTTGTTTTTATCCATCAAACTTTGGTCAAATTTCCTACAACTATTTCAAAAAGTTTAGATATAAATTATTTAAGTAATTTCGTTTCCTGGCTAGTACAGTAACGAAAAAAAAAAAAAAAATTATTTATTGATATACAACACAAATACATACATTTTCTACACACTATAGCATTTAGAATTTATTTAAAAAACCAAGCACTTCAATGGCAAATAAAAGAAATAAATACCGAGCAATAAGTAAACCAATAATATTTTCCTTTGCTTTCTTTGAATTACTTTATTTTGCCACTGGTATATTAATCATCGTACTTGGAGTTATATGGCTTGCGACTTTGGAGGTCGATTTACGTGGTATAGTAATAACGAAAAATTTGATTATAGGTAAATATTCACCTTAATATTCTTTGTAATAGAATATTTCAAATATTTTTTACTATATTTTGAAGGTATAATAATAATAATAATTTTTTTTTATCTTGTTGATTATAGGTGGTTTCATAAATGGTGGAATGATTGTGACATCATTTTTGGTAGCTTTAGTGGGAATCAGTAGTCCATTGAAACGAAAGAAATGGTTGATATCACATGGATTTATGATTGTTTTAACTTCAATTGCTTTATTGGTTATGGGAGCAATCATTTGGTTTGAAACGTTACATGAATTAAAGCATTTTAATGAAGAATGGATTAGATGGAGTTCTCCCGTGAGATCAAATTTTCAAGATCTGGTAAGATAATAAAAAAAAGAGAATATTGAAAAATATTGAAAATATTAAACTTTTAATTAAAAATTATTATTATTATTTTTATTAGTTGGATTGCTGCGGCTGGAGGAATTCAACCGATTTTGGTGAAATATCAAAAGCATGTCCGGTAGATATCGATTTAACCGATAAACGAGGATGTCAAACACCTTTAATAGCTGCAGCTGACAAAACATCTAGAAAATTATTTACATCATTATTCGGATTCATTGCTATCAACGTATGTTCTTTACTGGCTACAATTGTATTAATACAAGCAAGAAATGTCGAAGAACGATATCGAAAGATTGATGGAAAACATCGCAGTCTTACTGATAATGCTCTTAAGAGACAATACGTTTAAATAAATAAATGATGTATAGAAATAAATCCGAATAATAAATATAGTAAATAATACACTTAATAATAATAATAATAATACATCCAAAAAATTTATTAAAATTTATCACAAAATATAAAATACTCCAAATTGTCATTTCTTTTAATATTTGTACAAAAATTTTTTTACTAAATAAATTTAAAAATCTTAAAATTTTATTATTGATCTTTTTCTAAATAAAAAATCTCCTCAGTACAAAAAAAAAAAAGTTGGGAGTTAAAAATACCAAGAAACCATTTAATTAACCTGTAATACCACAAAATGGATAATAAAAAATAGATGATTTCCAAAAATGGAAAATAATTTATCGAACGTTATTGTGTAACTGTATCTAGGAAATACCTGAGGGAATACCAGGGTGAAATTGTTTCTTTTGAATGTTGTGAAATTTTCCTTTCCCCTTGTGTCTGTCAATCTATTGCTCTTTCTCCATTCTTTTCACCATGAGAACTTAGTGATTTAAGAAATATTTTGAATGGGGTCCTTATTTTATTTCACTGTTGATCTCTATATCCTCTATATATATAAATCTTGAAGAAACCTTATTGTTATTGAATTTTTGGAGAGAGAGAGAAGCAATCAATTAATAAAAAAAAAAAAACGAAATAACTGATATTTTTGATATTTAAATAAAGTGACTTATGATGAAATAATAAATACTTCGTCAGTTACCATACGTTGATCAATGCGTGCATTTTCTCTATCTGCTACGATATTGGGTTCTAAAACCATAAATGTGGTAAAATTATAAACCAATGAATTACAGTAGTTAATAATAAAATTTTGGTCTCACTGTTGTCGAGTCCTGTGTTACCTTTATCCATTTGCTTGTAATACTTTTTAGAACATATTACTCTGACTTTAACGTTGTTATATCCAAACGTCCTTGTTTCTTAATTCCTAACCCAAACACTACGTACTCTTTAAGTGAGGAGAAACCAATATCTCTCTCTTTAACATCTTCCCAACAATCGTTGAAATCTTACTATTTAACCCTCACTTATATTTTCACAAATAAAACAAAATGTCTGACATTACTGACAGAATAGCTGCTGCACGTAAAGAGGCAGAAACGTTAAAAGAAAAAATTAAGATGAGAAAAGATACACTGGCTGACACTTCTCGTAAGTTTCTAGTGTATTATTACTCAAAAAATCTTGTTGAACAATACGTGTTCTTGGAGTGTCAAAATCTAGAAGGATAAAAATCTAAGAGAAGAGGAAGAAATCTATGAAGGGATGATAGTAAACTTTGTGATTAATTTTTAAAAAAGAAATCGATTGGAATAAATAATATAAATAATGTTATAATAATAATAATGTAATAATGATATAGAGAAAATCATTATATAACATTAAATTGTTTAAGAGTCAATTCATGGTTAATTATGGTTAAATTATCGAATTCATCCTTTATATTCATATTTATTTATATTATTTCATATTATAATTATTATTATTTCTAGTAAGGGTAATGGCAGCTGAAATTGAATCTCTACCAAGAGTCGTTATGAAAGTTCGTCGAACTCTTAAAGGACATCTTGCCAAAATCTATGCTATGCATTGGGCTTCAGATAAACGTCATCTTGTCTCAGCTTCACAGGATGGTAAACTTATTGTTTGGGATGCACCTACTACAAATAAGGTTCATGCTATTCCCCTTAGATCTTCATGGGTTATGACATGTGCCTACGCACCATCAGGAACATTTGTTGCTTGCGGTGGTTTGGATAATATTTGCTCAATTTATAACTTGAAAACCAAAGAAGGTTCAGTTAAGGTCGCTCGAGAATTGGGAGCTCATACAGGATATCTTTCCTGTTGTAGATTTCTCAATGATCGACAAATCTTAACATCTTCAGGGGATATGACTTGTTTACTTTGGGATATCGATGCAGGCATGAAACTTATGGAATTTACTGACCACACTGGTGATGTAATGAGGTAACAACATTTATAATATCTTTATAATATCTTTATAACATCTTTATAATATCTTTATAATATCTTTATAATTTATTTTTGGCATAATATCATTTAAGAATAAAAATATTTTAATACATATTAAATAATTAATTTTGTAGTTTATCTCTTGCTCCCAATCAACAAATCTTTGTTTCCGGTGCTTGCGATGCTACTGCTAAAGTTTGGGATATTCGAAATGGTCGTTGTGTACAAACCTTTACAGGTCACGAATCAGATATTAATGCTGTACAGTAAGTTATCTCATTACATTCATATATATATAACTTTTTTTTTTCATCTTGTCCCTCTCCCTTGTTCACTCTTATTCAAAGTTATTTAATTAAAGTAATACATAATTCATAGGTTTTTCCCAAATGGAGATGCATTTGGAACTGGTTCAGATGATGCATCTTGTAGATTATTTGATCTCCGGGCAGATCGAGAACTAAATCAATATACACATGATCACATTCTTTGTGGCATTACTTCAGTTGCATTTTCCATTTCAGGACGTCTTCTTTTTGCTGGTTATGATGACTTTAATTGTAATGTGTGGGATACTTTGAAAGGAGAACGGGTAGGAGTGTTGGCATCACATGATAATCGTGTTAGTTGTTTAGGAGTATCGAGTGATGGTATGGCTTTGTGCACGGGAAGTTGGGATTCATTATTAAAGGTAAATTGGTGAATTTATTATATGCATAATTTTATTGTTTATATCTATATATTTATTTATTTATATTTAATTTATTTAATGAAAATATATTTTATTTTTTTGACACAGGTTTGGGCTTAAATAGTTAACCATCTCTCCTTTTTTAATTTCTTTAATGGTGAAGTTCGCCTTAAGTCATCATTCCATATTTTTTTTTTTTTTTAAAAAAAAAAAAAAAACAAACTTTATGTGAAATTTACGCGCTTTATTTTAATCTTAATTCATTAGCATCTTTACCATATACATAATGTAGTTTATGGTTTTCATTTATTTAATTCCTTTCCTTTTTGTTTGTTTGTTTTTCGTACGTTTAAATGTACAGATTTTTGTTTTACATTTGTAACAATTAATATTACAATATTTATTTATAGTACGATTTTTTATTATATTTATTCTTTTCTTTTCAAAAAAAAAAAAGGAAACTCTTAAAGGGTTAATAGTGTATTGTATTTTTATGTATCGAGTGACGTCTCTTTTTATCATTAGGGTTTAAAAAATTGTCAGAAGTCTCATTTTTTTTTTATTTTCTTTATTTCCTTTATTTCTTCAACACATTTAACATATTTATTTTTATTTAATATTAAATGTTTAATTATATAATATATTGCATATCTTATATGTTTTTTTTTGGGCGAAGGAAAGTTAAATTTTATTTCATTCTTAATAATATAAACCTCTGAATGCTTTGAACAGTTCCTTTTTATTATATATAATTATTTAATAACATTTCCCTAAAAATTTTTTTTAATAAATTAACAAAATATAATTATAATCATTAATAATAATTATAATACTGTAATTACAGTATATTGTTTTTTTTTTTGTAATATATTTTTTTAATTTTTTATTATGAAAATAAATTATAGACAAAAGCTCGTTCTACTTAGCAAATAAATCTATTATCAATGAATTATAAATTGGTAATTTACAAAATAAAATCCAAAAAAGGAAATAAAAAATAAATAATGATGAAATGATGCCAAATAGAAAAGAAAATCCAAAATCTATTTATTCTATAATATTGACAAGAAAGTGATAGAAAACGATGAATTTTAATCAATAATTTTTTTTTAACTCCCAATTAGAAACAGGATCGGTTTGAGTAGAAACTTCATATCTACGAACGAATAAATGTGGATGAACTAATTTCATATTATATTCATTATAAACTTCACCAAAAATTGCCTGTTTATCTTTAATTAATGATTGAAATGATCTAACTAAAATTGAGAGCTATTTCAGGTGAAAGAAATAATATATAATTAATAAAAATAATTAATTAATTAAAAAATAAATAATTAATTAATTTGTTTCAACAATAACAATATAATTAAATTAACCATTACTTACTTGAAATCCAATAAATCCTGCTATAGGAAGAAGATATATCCAATTGTCAACATTAAGATAATGGATCACTAAAACTTGTGCTGGAGAGTAATAACTAAGAAAAGGAATATTAAATTATATAAATATAAAAAAATTACATAAATTACATAAATATGAAAATATATATATATATATATATATATATATATTTAACTTACCAAAAAACATCTAGAAAAAAAACTGGAGGTTTCCACATTGTTAATACCCAAACATATTGACGTTCATCTTGCGGGTATGAAATTGAGAAAAATTTACGATAAAATGAATATCTATAATTTTATTAGTACAATTATTTATTATATATATAAATGTATATATGAAATAGATTATTATTAAATTTATATTTATTTCTTACATCATATTTCCTAAGAATCCAGTCGCCCAGGGAGGAGGAATTCCGCCTAATTCTTGTAAATGTACATTAGAACTGTTTGGTCGGTTCTTTTAATAATAATAATAATAATAATAATAATTAAAGAAGTTAAAATAATTAATTAGAAATGTTTGTATTTCATAATTTTCTCACACTAATAAACTTACTTTAATATCGTGTTCAAACATATGATATTTTTTTGCGCTCATATATACATACATCGCATTTATAATACTTATTAAGAGTAAAGAGTATTCGAAATATTGTAACTGTAAAAATATTAAAAACATAATTTTGTATAATTTGTGTGTCATAATTTTATGTTTGTTCTGTTTAATGGTTGAATATTAAAAATAAAGGAATAACTTTATAACACTTACTTTAAAGAACAATGAAGAACGTGTAGGTTGAAAACTGGGATCATATTTGGTAGTATCATCAAACCCTGAACCAAGTCTAAGAAATACTGACATTCCATTTAAGCATATCGAAACTGGCCAACTAAGAAAGGTATCAAAATTTGCTTATTTAAGAGTTTAATAAAAACATTTTATATTTGAAATAATCTAACTTTTATATAAATCGCGATGCATGAAATATACACCTAAGGGAATGTTCAATGGCATCCCAATCTTTTAGTGCCCAATTTTCTTGAATTTCAGTAAGTTTGTCACCTGGCCAACTTTTAATACGTTCCCATAATGGTACAGTTCTTCGATACCTAGATCTTGGAATATTGGAAGTTGGCATTTGGTTTAATAAATATTATCAATATGGTTAATATGACGTAGATAAATTAGAGGGAAAAACGCGTCTATTTACATGATCAACTTATCACGTGAATTAACAAAGATGAAAAAAAAAAAGTTAGGATGCTCATTGTCTTTTGTTGTGTCCGCATTTTTATATTTTAAATTAAATGATTGGTGATATTTATTAATAATTACTTGTAGCAGTAACAATTAATGAATCTCTATCTGTACTTGTCTAATTGTTCAAAAGCTACTATGTACACTTTAAGTGAAGACAATCTCTGTGATACCAAATACATGTCCCAAATCTACATTCATGGATCTTCTGAGATTGGTTTAAAAGATGTTCACATGTTTTCGTATTTCTCTTCTTAATGAACTACTGCGGTTATTGTTAATGAAATTGATGCGTTGTACAAATTTTAACCCCACACAAAGAATATCTTTATTGAAAATCTTATATTTACTGAAATGATAATCAAAGCTTCCAAAAGTAAGGAACTGTGTAACTTAATCCCATAACAAACAATATAAAGATTTTATTTACTTAATTTATTTGATTTGTTATAATACAATAAATTAATAAATAATTAAATTGAAATAAATAAATAAATAAATTATTATTATTATTATTATTATTAATTCACAGATTTATCGATAGCTTCATACAGATCTTCTGTTTCTATTTCTTTTTCGGAGTATCCTTAAAGATAAAATAAATAAATAATATAATTAATAAAATATTATTCTATTAAATAAAAAGAATCAAAAACATCGAGATTTTTCCTGAAGAAAAAAAATTAAAATATATTTACCCCACTTTGACAATAATTCTACAAGATCTTTTAAATGAATCCACCAGGCTTTTTTACTCTTTCGATTTTTAAAATCTGTATCCTTTAACAAATCATCCACGGGCTGGATAAAAATAAAAAAAATAAAAAAAATAAGAATAAAAAAAAAATGAAATTATAGATATATACTTTTTGCATAAATTAATTATATAAATAAATAATTATATAAATAAATAATTATATAAATATATCTATCTATCTATCTATCTTACTTTGCAAATAACTTTTTCTCCCTCAACACCAATCACTGAGGCTGATTCCTTGGTATTTGTATATACTTTTGGTTGCATTGTTTGTTCAGTAGACATAGATGGAAATGCATATTGTTCTATGAAATATAAACATTTAACAGCTAATCGAGTAGCACGTATACGATCTACTGGGGAAGGGGCACCTCCTTGTTGGATGTGTCCTAAAATACAAGTACGAGAATCATATAACCCTTTTCCTTCAGTTTTAAATATATTGGCTATAACTTCTGTCGTATAAGTATCAGAAACGCATTCATTCCTAATTAAAATAAAATAACAATAAAAACGAAATGAAAACAAAATTCTAATATATATATATATATATATATAAAATAATTAATGCTTACCTTAGAATTAAACGTCCAGAACTATTTCCTTTTTTATCTTCTTTATATCTACGTCTCAAATGATTAACATCATTTTGGAGAGTTTTAAGAGAAATTCCTTCTTCCGGAATATATGAACTAGTAGCTCCAGTCTAATGTGATATTATTGTTTTTTTTCTATTAATAAACTCATCTTAAACAATTTGAAACAATTTAATTTAAAAAATTTTATTATTACCGCAAGACCAGATAACGCAGTTAAATAACCACATTGCCCACCATGAAGTTCAACAACAAAAACACGTCTTCTAGATGCGGATGCAGATTGTTTTAATGCATCACAATTATCTACTATAGCATTTAAACTTGTATCAGTTCCCAATGAAAAATCTGTACCCGGTACATTATTCGAAATGGTAGCTGGAATACAGATCATCGGTATACAAAAAGCAGGATACTTCTCCCTTGCTTTATATAATTTGATTAATGAATGATATGCTTCAAATCCACCAATAAAAAGTAAGGCATCAAATCTTTGTTTTTGCATTTGATATGCAACCATTCCCATATCAAAATCTGGTTCAGACCTATTTGTACCTAATTCTGAACCACCTTTAGATGACCACCCATCAACATCAATCCATGAAAGTTCATTAACATTTTCCTCTAAAAGACCACTAAACCCATTATAAATAGCAACAGGTGTATGACCACGATTAAGTGCAAAACGAACTGCTGTACGTGTTGCTGGATTCATTCCACCAGCTGGTGCTCCAATGTGTAAAATACCAATTCGAAGGCGCTATCATAAATAATATTATACATAATAAAATGTCAAACATTGATTCGAATAGAATTGTTAATAATAATAATTGTTATAACCTGATGTTCTGGTACTAGCATATCTTTATTATCCACAAAAGTTGTAGCTACATATGCAGCATAATCTTCAGCAAATTCTGGGTCACGTAAATCTGTAGCACGTCTAAAGTCCTTCTTTGAAATTGCTACTTCTACTTGATGAGTCTATGGTAAAAAAATAAACAATTAAACAATTATAGGATTTATTAAACTTTCAAAGAATAATTTGAATTAATTATACCAATTCAACTGCTTTCATTAATGGTTGACAAGTAATTTTATTTCCACGTAGACCAATCATTGGAGATGGCGTTTCTGGAGTTGCTTGAAGAATAGCATTAACAGCTTCAACACCTTGAATGGTTGCCTTTTGATATAATAAAAAAAAATAATGAGTCAAAGGCGCTAAATAAATATTACAAAAAAAATTTTTTTTTTAATTCTTACAAGATTTCTATCATATGCGCAAGGTCTACCCCCTCGTTGAATATGCCCTAAAGTTGTAACCCTAGTATCGAGCCCTATACCAGTTAATATATCTTTGATATAACTAGATTTTATAGGTTCGAGTTTTCGGTCGATAGCACCTTCGGCTACAATTATAATGGTTTTACGTTTCCCAAGTAAACGATGTTTCTTAATTATTTTACACATTTCTGATTCCCAATTTTCAGATGGTGGGCGTTCAGGAATAAAAACAAAATCGGCATCATTACTATCAATCAATCAATCAAAACAAATTAATAAAATGATCAAAAGAAATTAATAATAATTATTATTAAGAATTTATATATCTAAATTTGTCATATGAAAAAAAAAAATACCTGATAGCAGCCATCAATGCCAACCAACCGCAGTGCCGACCCATTACTTCAATTACAAAAGCACGAGAATGACTTGCCGCTGTGGAAGAAATGCAATCAACTGCTTCACAAATCCTATGTAATGATGTTACGGCACCTATAGTAATGTCTGTCGAGGTCATGTCATTATCAATTGAACCAACAAGTCCTACAATGTTCAAAGTTTCATAGGGAGCAGCTTCTTCCGTTGTCAATTTCCCTAAAGTTTTTTTTTTTTTTTAAAAAAAAAAAGAATTCAATATATTACCTTTTAAAGATAATATTACTCAGAAACATTACCATTATCAATCAATTCTTTTACAAGACCGGGCCATTCTTGTCGTAAGATATCAGCACCTGTTAAAGTACCATCACCACCACATACAATTAAAGCATCTATTCCATTCTTTACCAAATTTAATGCTGCACTTAATCTTCCACTACGCTGACGAAAAGAACTACAACGAGCAGTTCCAATAAGAGTGCCACCCTAATAATAATATTTATTATTATTTTTTTATTACGTAAGTTGTAAATCTTTTAATAATACATCTTTTTTTTCCCTTTCACTTACGATAGCAAGATATCCTCTAACGTCAGCCCATCCAAATTTCTTAATCATATCTCCACCAGTGACTAATCCTATATATACGTGTATGTGGGGGGGGGAGGAGGAGAAAATATTAAAAGTATCTATTTAGAAACTTTTTTTTTCATCTTTGTGTAAATTCTTAAGAAAGATAAGAAAGATAAATTACCTTCATAACCTTCGAAAATAGCATAAGCTTCACAACCTCGTGAAGTTGCTACTCTTACGATCGATCTAACTGCTGCATTCATACCAGGTGCATCACCTCCACTTGTTAAAAAACCAATTCTTTTCTTATTGGATTTTAATGAGGGAAGAGTTGGATCATCACTTTTTTGAATAAAAGAGTCAGAAGAATTTGTAACTTTTGGAGATGTAGTATAAATAGTTTTACTAAAAGGAACTGGTTTATTGGTAAATACGATAAGATTATTTAATGGATCATGTGTATAGATTTCAGTATGAATTAATTCATCTTGTGATGAATTCGATAAATCAGAACCAGGATATGTATATTTTTGAAAAGAAAAATTTAGTGATTTTAAGTTTTCTTCCACTCCCTAATTTTTTTAAAAAAAATATACATATATAAATTATGAATTTTGGGAATTTTGAAAATAAACCTTTAGTATTTATTTTACATTACTTACAGCAATATTCGAGGAAACTGAATTCATTAACGCGTGTTCAAGTCTCCAATCCTTTTCCTCTAGAAAAGGTGACTTTTTTGTCGCGTCAGGCGATAATACAATTTTCAAAGTAATATTCTGAATAGGTGGCTTTCCAAACAAGTGGAGATAATTCACTAATCCTTCTGTAGGCGTTGTGTTTGTATTCTGAGAAACCGTTTGAAAACCAAATGAACCATAAAATTTGATACACTGATCATATTCTTCAAAGGTTTTGGCTGTTAAAACTATATGTGACAATCCTTCGAGTAGGGACATGTTAACAACCTTTGACAACGAGAAAAGAAAGAGATAAAGCGAGTATTTTAATAATTCACATTACGAAAAAATTACGATGGAAATAAAAGATCTTGCCATATTGGGCTTTTGATTTTTTTTTTTTTGCTTAGTCAGGAGATTTTTAACATATCAGCCGATTTAAAAGATATGATGTGTATTACATTTTACATCTAACGTCTACATAAATAAAAATTTTAAAGTAAACATCACATGATAAATAGTTATAAAAGTTCTATAGAGAGAAATATGCTCAATTAACAAAAATGGAAAGAGATCAAGCATTTGAGATTGAACAACTTAACGAAGAGAAGGAACGTAATAATGAATCAGAAGAGATTTTACAAGAGGATAACTCAAAAATTGAGTTTAAAGTTCCTGCACCCATAAATCGTAAATCCTTGTTTTTGATTATAAACTTAAAAAATTTCACAGATTTCAACAGATTTCAATTAGATTTTCAATCAGATCGTTAAAATAATAATATCATTTATTAGCTCAAACACGACCACATTCACAACAGTCAATATCAACCTCTTCTATTCCATATAAACAACCGGAATGGAGTAGTAAACCTAAAGATGATTTTGCATTAGAAGTTATCAAGAGTGGAATTAGTATAGAGATCGTAAATATTTCATCCAAAGAATTTTTATTGCTTGGTAATGTGAAATATGCTATAAATTATAAATTATTTTAAAACCACATATCTTATATATATATTATTAATAGTTTCATTACTTTGTTATTGTTATCACACACATATATATATATTTATTTATTTATTTATTTATTTATATTATTTATATACAAAAATTCAGGACGATTGCCGGTGTGTGATATTCCTATGGAACATCCTGTATCCCTATTAAATTCATATAAAATCATAAAATAATTTAATTATTTCAAAATTTTTTTTTCCTTAACTTTTTTAATATACGCGTTTTAATTTAGTCCATTTCTAGATATCACGCAGTGATTCAGTTTAATGATAAAGGTATGAATTACATTTTCCTTTTGTTTATATTATTGAAATATCTTTTTAGTATTTTACAATAATTCTAATGTCTTTTAATTTTATTAAAAAAAAAAGGACAAGTTTTCATATATGATTTGGAAAGTGCACATGGAACTAAATTAAATAAACAACGGATATTACCTTTAAAATATAATAGACTTCGTGTAGGAGATCAAATAAAGTTTGGCGAAAGTACCCGAACATATGTTTTGTTGGGACCGGAAGAAGAAGAGGAATCATCATCACGACAACGACAACGACAAGAAGTACTTAAATCTGTTCCTCTAGAAAAACAACCAAACATCGCGGAAGTTACTTGGTATATAAAATAAATATTTTGAGTATTTAATTTTAGTTATTATTATTATTATTATTATTATTAATTATTATTTAAATTATTTTAAATTATTTTAGGGGTATGGTAGAAGATGCGGAAGAAGAAGGTGAATTTGGTGATCTTACAGTCTCTGCAGCAAAAGAATCATGGAAGCGAGATGAAAATGCTTATTATTATAAAGATTCTAAAAAGGCTTTAAGAAATTGGTTTGAAGTGTGTGCTACGTTTTTTTTTTTTTAACACTTAAATAATGATATTTATAGAATAAAAATAATATTAAAATAACTAAATATAATTATTGATATAATAATTTTTTAATTAAAATTTATCTAAAAGAATCGTGGTTATGATATGGAATTTGAAAATGAACAAGAAGGTCATACACGAACATTTACTGCTCGGTATCTATATATTTAGTATATTTGACATATTATTTTTAATATATATATATATTTAATACATTAATTCCATTTAATTATTTAGTATTCAATTACCAGATGTTGAAGATGCATACGGTCCAGTTTACGGAATAGGAAGTGGACCAAAGAAGAGGTATCATTTATTATCATTTATTTTTATTTTTCTTTAAATAGAAAAACACAACACCTTTGACATATATAGACTAAATATTATTATTACTAATATTACAGAGATGCCGAGAGACAAGCTGCTATTGATGCTTGTGAGAAATTAGACATGTTGGGTATTTTACGTGGAGCTCAAGATGAAATTTGTGTGTATTATCATTATCATTATTATTATTATTATTATTATTATTATTATTATTATTATTATATTATTTATTTGTAAAAATAATTCTTTATTAGAAATTTATTAAATATTGTTAATTTAAATTTTGTTTAGTGGCAAGGAAAAAAAGACTTAAACATTTATTAGGAAATAACGAGGATGAAGATAATGATAGTTTCTATGATCGAACAGGACAAGGTAAAATTGAAATACAATTATTTCAATATTATTAATATTATTAAAGATATTATTTTATTTATTTATGATTTAATCTCACGATATTAATAGCCGATCGAGTGAAATTAAAAAAGTCACAACAAACACCACAAAAGGTTGAAACATATGAATCATTGACAAAACAATATGACGAAAATGTATCCCAAATTGATGAATTACAAATTAAATTATCAAAATTTAAAAAATCAGAGAAATCATCCGATTTACAAGACGAAATACAAGATGAAGATGCTTTAGAAAGTTATATGAAATCATTAAATAATGAAATAAAAGATGAATCAGAAGCGGATTTGCTAGCCAAATTGAAAGAATTATTAAATGTTTGTGATGAAAAATTGTCTATTTGTGAGATCTTTTTCTTAATTCTAAATATATTGTTTTCTTTTTATTCTTAGCAAAAAGAACGTCTTTCTCGACTAATTAAAATTACAAAACCTCCCGAATTTATGAAAAATAATAATTCTCTTTCAATGAAGTTAAATACAAACATGTATAGTATTATTTTTATTTGTTAATTTATATTTAAGTTATTGCTCTTTAGTTATTAGTATAACAATTAATTTCTTTTTTTTTTTAGTCAAGAAGTCGAGAAAACAGAAGGAAATAAAACAAAAGAAAATGTAATACATTATATTTAAATAATTTTGAACTTTTAATTTATATAATATTTTTAATTGCTTTTATGGTTTTTATTGTTTTTCTAGGAATTATCCCAAATTAAAGATTATAAAAATTCAACAAAAATTGAGGAAATAGAAATATCAAAGTCACTGGATCATAAAGTTTTGGATAAAGAAACTACAATATTAGAGTCATCACCTGAACATATTCCAAGTAAAAGAATTAATAATGTAGATAATATGGATGATAATAAATCTGAAAACATTGACACGAAAAAGAAGAAAATAAAATCAATGATACCAATGACACCAAAAGAATATGAAGAAAAACAAAGAAAAGCAATAGAATCAAATGAATTTGAAGTAGAGGATGCCACAACTTGGGAACCACCTCAAGGTCAAACAGGTATGAATTAAAAAAAAAAAAAAAATTTTTTTTTTTTTGTAAATTATGATAAATTATGATATTTCATTATCTTATTATCTTGTTATTATAGGGGATGGGAGAACAATATTGAATGAAAAATTTGGATATTAAAATAAATTATTTGTTTATCAGCACATCAATCTTGTGGAATATTTGTATTCCTTATAAAATGTCTTTGGTCAATTTATATATATATATATATATATATATATATTAAAAAATATCATGGTAAAAAAAAGAATAATATACCATAGGGAAAAGAGTAATAAGAAAATGATAAGGAAATAATAAAATTGGTACAATACAAAAAAAAAGAAGAAAAAAAAAAAGAAATTGAGCATAATTGCAGAGGTATAGGTAACATTAAACTCTGTTCTGTGAAAGAAAGAATATAAAATAACGAAAAAATGATTTATCAGATAAATTTAACAGATAATTAACCGTGAATCTAATCAACTATTATAATCACTAACCGCATCTACTACATACAAAAGTTTTATATATATGAAGAGCAATAAAAGTGTTTGTCTTCTTCCAAAGTGTCCTGAGTTCAGCAATTACAATTACTATTATTTTGTGGTGGACGATTCAAATCAAGTCTTCTATTCATTTCTCTTCCACGTGAGTTAGCAGCTAATTGATCAAGAGGCATTTTTCTCGCTTACAATTAACAAAGGTAGATAAATTAATTATATGTAAAAATATAAATCCCCCCTAAAGAAAAATATTTTTATAAAATTAAAATAATCATCAATTAGAATACCTATTGATGTGAATAATTCATTGACATTCGTAGCTGTCTTAGCAGAAGTTTCGAAAAATAAGAGACCTGTATCATCTGCGTAGGCTTTAGCTTCCTATAAAAATAAGTAAATAATAATTATAATAAATAAAATAAAATATAATCTATTTTTATATATTTACTTCAAATTCTTATAAATAATTATTCATATTAAAATAAAATCATTTGAACATACTTCAGTATCAATTACTCTACGTGCACTTAGATCACTCTTATTACCAGCAAGTGCAATAACAATATTTGGATCTGCTTGTCTTTGTAATTCTTTCACCCACGATTTGGCCTTTTCCAGGGAAGACTAAAGAAAATGACATTATTAATAATCTACCATTCTATTTCTTGGAGAATAACAAAAAATTACTTATTATTATAAGAGAATAAGAATAATAATAAAAAATAATACTAACAGCTTGAGTTATATCATAAACAACTACAGCACAATTTGCATTCCTGTAATACATCGGTGCCAAACTCTGTCTCGTGTAGAATATGATAAACAATCCTTAGTCAACCATTCGACACGTCACAGGCACGTGTAATAGTAGAAAACATGTTTTTGAATTCATTGAATTCATTTCACCTTATAACGCTCTTGACCAGCCGTATCCCTATTTGAACAATAATAATATCAATTTATTAAATTTATTATTAATATATATATATAAGAAGATAAAATGAACAGATTAAAATATTTAAAGAATAATTTCACATACCAGATTTCAAATTTAACTGTTGTATTGTTATCCAAACCAATTGTTTGCGTCAAAAATGCAGCTAAAAAAATTACATAGAAAATAAAAAAAATAAAATAAAATAAAATAAAATTTAAAATAAAATAAAATAAAATAAAATAAAATAATCATTATAATTGTAATTAATATCTGAGAAAACTCTTAAAATTGGAAATTCATACCTCCGATAGTACTTTCTCTATAATCATCAAATTGATCTTTGACAAAGCGCAATACCAAACTAATTTTGCATTTGACAAAATTTATGAACATAATGCAAAGAATGTTATTAACGATATCTTTTCTTGTCAACTTTCAGTCTTTCAGCATCTATTGAAGCTTAAACTTGATCAACTAAATAAAATAAATAAATGAAATAAAAAAATAATTTGTTCTTTTTCATTGTTGAACCAACCTTGATTTACCGACTGCTGATTCTCCTACATGAAAGTAACAAAACAAAAATATTATAATTTATAAAGTAAATATAATGTCAGTAAATGATAACAAAGACTTTTTATTTAAAAGAACTGTCATAAATATAAAGGGTAAATATAAAAGGGAAAATGGAAACATCCAATGTATTCATGCGATTCTGTCTGACCGCCACTTGTAAAATGTTGACATACCTAATAAAACAAGCTTGAATTGGTATAATCTTCCAGTTTGAGGGGTTTGTCTATTGCCTTGGTTCGACATTGTAGTTTAAAAGTAATAACTATTTTTTTTTTTTAATGTATCGGTTGTATATTAGTGATATATTAGTGAAAGAGAAGATATTACTTTAAGAGATATGAAGATAATATAAAAAATAAAGATAAATTCTGTGGTATTAACCGCGTCAAATGACTAAAATGACACTATTTTAACAGAATAACCAGTTATTAGTTATATCATGGTAGCACGAAGCATGCAAATTTCATTATATACTTGGCTGAAAATCTTTAATCTCAAATCTTTTTAACAGAAGCAGTTTTGCGAAAAAAAAAAAAAAAAAAAAACCCCGAAGAGTATTCCAATTTTCCTTTAAAAAACATTTATCTTATATTTCCTATTTTTTTTTTAATACTCTTTAGTTTCAAAGGGGATCTATCATTTCAAACATTATTCTTTCTTAACCTTAATATATATTATATACATTTTTGGCTTGCACAAAAATATTTACTCAAATAGACTTACAGTCTGCAGTTAAAAACCACGCCACTCAGGGAAAATAACTTTTTTCTCTCTCACATCAATAATGTCGACTCCAATATCACCCTTTTATCGTCCTGGTGTATTTCCAGCTTTATCTTCCCGTCTTTTAATTAGTGCATCACAGTCTCTTCGATTGGCAATTCATTCACAACTTCTCCTTAGAAGTTTTTATAATGCTCCCTTATGTCTCACCGACTTGCCACTAACTGCAACCAAAGGCTTTACTTATTTAATAGCGGCTTCGTGGCATCCAAAAAGAAAACGACACACAACGGTTAATAATATACCGAATGGCAGTGGTCACCGATGGTGGACAGAAAATAAAAAAGTAGGGAAGGTTGATGCCGGGGACGACGCTTTTTTCTATGTTGGAACAAATAATGGTGTTGCTTTAGGAGTTGCGGATGGAGTTGGTGGATGGTCTCAAGTAAAATATTTTAAAATATTTTTAGGTTTTTTGAACTAAATTATCACATTCCGTTTCTTTTTTCTTTTTTTTCGGATTCCCAAGGGTACTTTCGTTAATATCGATTATTCTATTCTTTTTTATTATTACCTTTTATTATAACCAATCATATTACTATAGATGGGTGTAGATCCTGCTAAATTCTCTTGGGCGTTGATGGATAATGCTGCAAATGTTGCAAAAGATTTTAACGCATTTGATCGGCTTGCATTATTCAACGCTCCACATAAACATGGAGATATATTAGATGCCAAGCAAATATTAAGTGGGGCATTTGATAATTTAATGAAAAGTGGAAAGGTTAAAGCAGGTTTGTTATCATTTCGTTATTTTTGATTTCTTTATTTTTTTTGTATTTTATTTTATTTTATTTTTTTATTTCGTTATTGTTTATTAATTTATTTTTTTATTTTATTTTTTAAATTAACAGGAAGTTCAACGGCTTGTATTCTTTCATTATCTAAAACTTCGGGTATTCTTAATGCAGCTACTTTAGGCGATTCAGCCTATCTTCTTATTCGCAATGGTCGACTTTTATATGAATCTCCTTCTCAACAACATTTCTTTAATTGTCCATATCAATTGACTGTTGTACCTGATCATTATCCCAATCAAAAACTCTATTTTAAAGACAAACCCAGTGATGCATATCAAGTTAGTCATCAACTTCAGGATGGTGATGTTCTTTTGTTAGCAACGGATGGATTCTTCGATAATGTATTTACTGAAGAAGCTGTCACTATAGTAAATACAGAACTTCAAGATATTATGGGTCAAGATAAGAAATATTGGGGAAATGATTATGAAGAACTTAGAACACATGTGAGAAGATTATCTCGAAGATTAACAGATACTGCACGACGATATTCACTGGATCCTTTAAGAGTTAGTCCATTTTCACAAAGTGCAAAGAAAAGTGGCGAATTCCGTGCTGGCGGGTAAGACTTCTCTAAATTTGGGCATGATTTTAAATTTTTTTTTTTTAGGTTATTCAAATTATTAATTTTTATTTTTATTTATATCTTTATTTTTTATACGTTATAATTACTTTATTGAACAAATTAATAGTAAAGTAGATGATATCACGGTACTAGTTACGCTTGTTCAAGCAAATTAAAAAAAAATAAAAAAATTGTCACTTTCATTTTTTTTTTCATTTTTTTCATTTTTATGTAATATTATTACATTGTGTATAAGAAACAATATTAGAAATTTTTGTTGTAAAGGAATTTTCTTGTAAAGTTATTGTGACCGGCGTCACATCCGATATTTATAACAGTCATAAAAAAATATAGAATTTTTTTTAAGGAAAAAAAAATTTTTAATTTTGTTCTTGCATATAGTTTAATATAAACATCGGAATGTTTAGTAAACAATCAACGCACGATTATTCGATCTTCTATGTCTAAAAATGGATATTTATGTTCATTTAAAATGATACAGTACCGATTTTTTCCGTTAGATTATGTACCACAAGTTATTTGTCATTTGAAATTTGAGTTAAAGTTATGCCATTTACAATAAGAGATTTAAAGAAATCAATCTAACCCATCTAAATCTTATCATAATGGTTTTTTCATGTGATATAGCTCGAAGTTTAATAATGATTGTAAATTTTTAAGTAAGCCTCTTACTAATTCAGAAGTTTTAAAATATTTAGATGTTAACGCCTCCTTTTTTTTCTTACATCTAAATATATTTGGAATACACATTAAACAATTTATCAACATTGTATTTTGTTAAGTACTTTTTTTGAGCAACCCAAATAAATGATTCACTCTTCATTTTTTTTGGTATTGATCTCGTGATATAAGTTATTAATGAGCATTCTGTGAAACCAGATCTACATAACTTTAGCGTTTATATTTTTAAAAGGAGAATATTGTGTTGTTGTCCGGAGGTACTTTAGCAATCACAGTACTAAACGTGTTGGGAAACGTTCAATGCAACATTGAATCCAAATAAATCCAAATAGCAACTTACTTTTGATGCAGTACATCACAGAACGCGTCGGCTAAGTGTTGAACGGAAAATGTTCGCTGTAGCAAATTATTATTTTGATTCAAATGGTCAACTGGGATAGGGTATGGTTGTATGCAAGTTTTTATAATTTGAAGAGACCTTTTAATCCACTACAACACGACAGTCTTTATTATATATTTTATTTATTTCATTTCTGTTTTTGTTTTGCTTTTATTCGTTAGTTTTGCATCTTTATTTTGTTCCAGTTGTTCCTCTATCTATAAAAGTATTTTAAATTAAAAATTAAATCTAACTTTGAAGTTTGCATATATTTACTTTCACAATTTAAACAATTTAAAGTTAATTATGCCATTAATATCTCATGCCACAACATTACACTTGCACCACGTGATGCAATTTTTGCACTACGTTACATATAAGATATCTAAACTTTAAACTTTTTTTTTAAAGAGATTTTTATGAATTACTGCACAGATCAAGCGGATCAAACGGATCAAACTCAACCTTATTTTTGTGTTCCTACTGTTCCACCACCTCCTTTACCTCCCTTACCACCTTCTGAGTGTCCTCCGATTTCTTCCCCCAATCTAATCACGTTAACGACATTTATTGATCCTTCTTTCTCACTTGCAAATAATCCAAATAATTCTGAGATTAGCATTACCGATGATGATAATAATAGATCTAAACTTCAACTTGATGAATCTGATGTGAAGAAGAAGAAGAGGAAGAAGGAGAAAGAAGAGGAGGAGGAGGAGAAGGGAAAAGAAGAGGAGGAAAGGAAAAAAGAGGAGAAAGAAGAAGGAGGAGAAGGAGAGGAGGTTGATAATACAAGTAAACTTTCACAAACACAAAAGATGCTTCAACAATTATTAAAAGATCCTTTATTATCAGATTTAGCAAAATTAAATAGTGAAGGTAATATTAGTTTAGAAGAGGTGGATACATTAATTGCTTTGGAAACTGGAACTGCATTTGAAATTAAAATTGAACGGGATGGACTTGAACCATTTTGTAAGTTATTAATATATTTATTTATTTTATTTTAATGTCAATATAATTCACATATAACACATATTTTTCTATTAATTTTATAAGTCTTGGTGGTTCGTCAAAATTCAACCATTGCTGATCTAAAAAAATTAATAAGACTGAATTTTGAACGGCAACAAAGAAAACAGAATGTAGGACTTGGGCGAATCAAAAAAAGTAGTTGGTATGTTTATATTTAATTTATAATACCAACCAACTTAATTAATAAATAAATAAATTTTAATAAAGGAATAATAGAAATAATTAATAATTATAAATAATCTAAAACAGGAAATACATTTGGAAAACTTATTGCTTAATGTTTGAAAATAAACGATTATTACAAGATAAAATGCCTTTACAAGAATATGGTATTCGTAGTGGAAATGTATTGAAATTTTCAAGGTTTATAGGAAAACAAAGAAAAGAAGTGAATAAAAAATAATGGTAAAAATTCTTTTTGAATTGAGAGAGAATTGTTATTATTGGTTATATTATTATGGTTATTATTATAATAATGATAATATTGTTCATTTTTTTAATTTTTCTTATTTTTCTTTTTCTTCTTTAGTAGGAGGATTATTTGGATCAAAATAACTTTTCAAATTTTTCCATACTGTATTATAATTATCTTGAACTTCAGGTTCACCCCAAGGAGTTATACCCAACATTAAACTTGATTCAAACATAAAAGCTAGATCAATGTAAAGTAAGAAAATATTTTAATATTACATAATAGAATAATAAATAGAAAAGAATAGAATAATAAAAAGTAAAGAATAGAATAATAAAAATAAAAACAATAATAATTAAATATATTTTGAATTTTATTATTACCTAATGCAGTTTCAGCAATTCTAACTGGTTTTAATTCTTCATTACTTGCTCTCTCAAAAGTTATAGCATCAGGACCATGTGGTGTCATAAAACTATGGAGACTATATATAATGGAAAATATAGAAATATATAAATAGAAATATACAGTATATTTAACCAAAGTGTAATAATAAGAATACCTTGCACCACCAGGAAGAAATCCTTCTACTTTAGCATCATAAGTTCCTTTAATAAGTCCCAAAAATTCAGACATACAATTTCGATGATAATATGGTGGTCTAAACTTTAAATAAAAAATTATTAATGATAGTAATCAATAAAACAATATAGTTAATATATAATTATATTATATAATTTCTTTACAGTATTATCTTGAACAACCCATCTAGGAGGAAATGCTACAAAATCTGCTATAGCTGTACCAGGAAATGCAGATTTACAAGTGAGCACTGTAAATATGGAAGGATCCTTTTACATAAAATAAAAAATTAGATTTAAATTATAATAATGAAGATGACAATAATAATAATAATAATAATAATAATAATAATAATAACTTACCATATGGTCAAAAGAAACAGAATTTAAAGGACAGAATTTTGCTAAATCATATTTATATGGAACATAATTTCCATGCCAAGCTATCACATCAAATGGAGAATGATCCTTTTTAATGAATTAAATTGAAATAAATAAATTAATTATTGTAAATATATATAATATAATAATGATAACCATTATTATTATTATTATTATTATTATTTACCTGTTTAACAACATAGATTTGTCCAACATATTTATTTACAACGTTATAATCATTATTCAAGTTATCCTTTTCATAATATGCAATTGGTGTTTGAAAATCACGTGGATTTGCTAGACCATTTGCACCTAAAATGCAATATATATAATTATAGATTTAATAATATATCAAAGAATAATATTTTGATTTAAAAAAAAAAAATTATAATTTTTGTTACCTATTGGACCTAAATCAGGTAATTCAAAGTGATTATCAAAAACTTCCAAGATATAACCACGACTATTATTATTATTTAATATGGTAAATGTTATAAATATGTTTTATTATTATTATTATTATTAATTAATTAATTAATTAATTAATTAGTAAGTTAGTTACCTTGGTCCATCTGGAAGATTTACAGAAAATTTAATACCACGTGGAATAACAGTAATCTCACCGGGAGAAACCATCATTCTTCCAAATTCCGTTGTAATATCTAGACGACCTTGTTGTGGAACTAATATGTAAATTATATAAATTATATAAATTGAAAAATAATAATAATATAATATAATAATATATTAATATATGTATAACATTAATAATAAAATAATATTACAGTGGACCTCCTCTATAGTCACCCCACATCATATAAATCCTCACTTATAAGCACACCTTTTCATGAGGACCAATACTTAGTAATACCATATAAAAATCCCTCTATATGGTTATAATCACACCTTTTGTTTTTTTGTTTCTATGGTCCCGAGGGGTGTGCTTGTAGAGGGGGTCCACTGTACTAATAAAATGATATTAATATATATAATTAATAATAATAAAATACCAATCAAAAAATCTCCATCCGAATTATAAAAAGCCGTATTAATCATATTTGTATACGCAAGATAAATATGAATAGCTAATCCATGTTTAACAGATGGGTCACCCGCTCCAGCTAAAGTATTTAATCCTTCAATGAAATTTTCTTTATTTTCTTTGTAGAGCTTAAATGGACTCCACCGAATTTGATCAGGAATAAATTTTACATATGGTTCTCCAGTAAAATTACTAACGATAGTACCACCAATATTAGAAGCTTTTTGAAATGGTTCGTGACATACCGAAGGTTTTACTCTATATAACCAACTATATATATACGGAGAGAGAAGATATAAAGATATGAAACATATATAAAATATAGGTATATAAAGAGTATGTAATTAAAATAAATTATTAAATATAAATAAAATAAAAACAATGGGTTAAAAATAATGTATTATTACTATTATTATTATTATTATTATTATTATTATTATTATTATTATTATTATTATTTACCTTCTTTGATTATGTTTTCTATCAACAGTAAAAGCAGTTCCTGAAAGTTGTTCAGCGTAAAGACCATAAGGACATTTTTGAGGTGTATTTCGAACTTTATAAATTATAATTTATTTATTATAAATAAAAAGATCATAATTAAGTTATTATAGATAAACCCCCCCCCAATTGTTAGTTGTTACCTTTTGGCAAAGCATCAGGTAATGCTTCGGAAGTAAAATGATTACCAAATCCTTCTAAATATTTATAATTATCAATTTTCATTTTTATTATTTTTTTTTTAATAGTTAAGAGTTAGTAATAAATAAATAAAGCAAAAATTAATATTTTTGAACTGAAATGATCGTGGGAAATTCGAATTACTAATCCATTTTTGTAAATGATGAATCAATTTTTTTTTTTTTAATACATTGTACGATCAAATCAATTTAGAAATGTATTTGTGACACGATAAATTTTATTTAAAGTTTAAAGTGATTTTTTTCTCTTTTCTTGTTTTTTATAATCACTTATAAAAATAATTTAATTAATGTATATCGCATGCAATATCGATTATTGATTGAAGATGGAATTAATTAGAAATTACATTGAATATTTAGAATGGGCATTGATATTGAATATTCCTTTACAAAAAGATTCGGACCAGATCTCAATATTAGGGAATGATATAGATACTTTAATTCTACCGAACATCGAAGGCCAATATAATCAAATTTTGATTTCTGACTTAGTTCGGCAAATTTTTGGTGTGAATCTATCGAAAAATGATGATGATCTAAAATATCTTGAAGAATCATTAGATTTTTCTTCATATTTTTCAGTTAGGATTAATGAATATCTATCATGTAAAGATATTAATCAGGAACTAATAGAAAAACAACAATATATTAGACAATTTAAATTGCTTTGTATTGCGGTAACATGTTTAAACGCTTTTGTACAAACTTGTTGGACTGGTCCTATTCTTGAGTTGGAACCTCAAACTCTTTTACCTACTATTGTTAAGGAACGATATAGTGATAAAGAATTAAATAAAAAAGCTCTGGAATTGTTATCAACAGATGGTGAAGATGCTTATCATTTGACTCCTCGCGCTTTGTATTTGTTATTCGCAAAAATTATACTAGTAGAAAATGAATCAAAATTTTCTTTAATGAAAAGTGTTCATTTATGGGGTCAGAGAATACTCTTTATTCAACAGAAAATTCTTGATGATTATAGTGGAACATTACATGAGAAGATTTTACAATATCTTAAATCAACAGAAATCATCCTGTCTTCATTAAATCTAGATAAAATAATATTAAAAGATTTATATTCTAGATTTTACTTGGAATATGGTCTTGTTTATACTTATTATGTTCAAGATTCTTTATCAATAGATTATTTTGTTAAAGCCCAAATCAAAAGTGGGTTAAATTGGAAAATTACAGGTGCATTGGGTAAAAGAACAAAATTTCAAAGTTTTGATGTATCTCAATTACTGATTGTTGCCAAAAGCATTGAAAGTGAAGAAAATAATGAAAAAGATTTAGGATCAAAAAAAAAAGATATCCCGGAGGATTTATCACTTAATGATGATACACTTTTAGAAAAAATTGAATTTTCAAAAACCTCTAATGAAACAATACAAGATCATAATTCCATTCAAAATCAAGGGAATCTTAAAATAATAGATCAATGTCTCTTGCTTGCTTTTTGTTTAAATGTAAAGAATACCAATCCTAAAGATGGAATAACTACTGAACAAATGGTTCCTTTTGTAACTAAAGTTCTAGAAAATCCAAACAATTGGATGGTTTATACCATGGCACTATTACTAAGATCACGTCTTGAAAAAGAAAAGTCTAGAACTGTTGAGCGTTCAGTTCTTCAACTTCAAGCTCTAGTTGATCAATTTTCTCTGGAATTATCTGAGGCAAAAGAACGTATTGCTTATTTTTACCAAATTCTTCTTCCATCAAAATGGGATATGGAAAGAGAACTTGCCTCACAATACCTTTCATTGGGTGTGGTTCGTTCTGCTCTCCAGATTTTTGAGCGTCTTGAAATGTGGGAAGATGTAATAAATTGTTACATTATGCTTGAAGATGAAAATAAAGCACGAACAATAATAAATGAACAATTAAAAATCACACCTAATTCACCTAAATTATATTGTTTATTGGGTGATGTTGAGAAGAATCCAAAACATTGGGAGTATGCTTGGGAAATTTCAAATAATCATTATGCACGTGCAATGCGATCTCTTGGTTTTTATTGGTATAAAAAAGAGGAATATCATAAATCTATTGAATGTTTTGAAAAAGCCCTTAGTGTTAATCAAATTTTTGAGAATTCATGGTTCATTCAAGGATGTGCTGCAATGCATGTTAAAGAATGGGAAATTGCTTCACATGCTTTTTCACGTACAATTTCAATTTCACCTGAAAATTCTGAAGCTTGGAATAATCTAGGATCAGTTTTTCTTAAACAAAATCTGAAAACTGAAGCATTTAATGCTTTTCAACAAGGATTGAAACTAAATTATGATAATTGGAAAATTTGGTCCAATTATATGTATACAGCTATTGATATTGGAGAATTTTCAGAAACCATACGAGCTATGGAACGTATTGTAGATTTGAAATGGAAAAAAGAAAAAGAATCTTGTGTTGATTTGGAAGTTCTTGGAATAATTGTTAACTCAGTAATTCAAGGAATTCAAGATTCTAACAATGTTAATGTATCCAAATTAGAAAAAAAAGTTGAAAAATTATTGAATGAAACGATAACATCAAAAATAACTTCAAGTCCACAGATATGGAAAATCTGTTCACAATTTTGGTTTTGGAAGAAACAATATGATAAATCACTTGATTCTCAAATAAAAGCTTACCGAAGTATATTACATAATCCTCAATTGGAAACTTCTGAGGAAGTCTTTAATCAGGTCGCAAATACTGCTTTAGAAGTCGTTGAAACCTATCAAAATCTTGGTGAAAAGGAAATAATGTATAAAGGATCTTTGACTATTGTTTGTAAGGATTGGAGATATCAAGCAAAAAGTTTATTGAAAAGTTTGATTGGCAGAACCAAAGCATCTTATGAAAATACAAAAATTCATAATGAATTAAAAGAAAAATTAAAAGAATTAAGTATTAAATAAATATATTTTTTATTATATCTATTTATACCTTCAAAATAAAAATGAAAACATTTAATTATACTTAATTTTTTTTTTTTTTGTAATTTAAATATTTAAATTCATGACATATTTGCAAAAATTGATTTATTAATTAAAAGATTTGAATTAAAGTCAAATTGATTTTGATCTAAATTGAATAAATCACTTTTTCAGAATCAAAATAACATAAAATTTATTATATTGTATTAACGGATATAATAATATATATATATAAATTCCCTTTTTAAAAAGACATTGCTTCTTATTTTGATTTGGAATTTGAAAATAAAAATTTTCTTTTTTAAATTTTCTAATTGTAACTTATAATTAATAATACCTTGCTGAAATTAATATATTGCAACTATTTAGCAATATAATAATTATATACCTATTTTCATGACATTATGTCTTTTCTTTATTCTTTTCTTTTTCTTCACTTACCTTTATATTCCCTTGAGCATAAACATAAATTCAAGAAACTGAGAAAAGAATGTTCACTATCTCCTAGATTCTTTTAGACAAATGCAATACAATATATAACTTGGTAAAAGAAAAATACTCATCTTGTATGCTTACAAAAAAATCTATACTTTCTAGTATTTTCTTTCTTTCTTGCTAAACAAAATCAAATAATCAAAAAATTGGTAAAATTTTTGACTCAAATTGCATATAAAATCATCCTTGTTATATTTGTCAAAAAGTTGACTATTTTTTCTTCATTGACCTGTTGCCAATTTTTAGATAGTGAGCATTCTTCTCTCGGTTTTTTAATGTTTATACTCAAGGGATTATGGTGAATATGTTTATTAGGTAATTGACAAGATAAACAAGAATCTAGATAATAAACTCTTCAGGTTGGTAAATTTTTTTCCCAATATTTGGTGATGTTTATTCAATAGCACATATCACGTGATAATCAAAATTGACCCGAAACTTTTGAGTATTAAAAATGAATATAGCATTATTATTAATGAATTCAAATAACATAATATTATTATGCAACAAATATATAATTCACCCGTATAGAATTTAAAAATCTTATTTTAATAAACAAAATTAGTTAATAGTTTTAATAGTTGCAAAGTGATCTTTATCTCATGTTTTTAATTTCATCATGTAAATAATTTAAATAAATATTAAGAAAAAAAATAATTGTTGATTAAGGAGGTGTGGAAATGTGAAACATCATCGGAGAAAGCCAAATTTAAAATTATATTAATTATACTTATTGACTATACACAATTAAATGATACATTAAATTATGTCTGCGAATTAAATAAAAGGATTAAATGGATTTAGAAATATAGAAAAATCTGTTTTATCTGACACTTCGGACAAGGCACAGAGAAAATTATATTCTCTTCTACCCTTAAGTCACCAACAACCGACATCATCGATAAAAGTTAACTGTTGTTTAGAATTGTGGTAAAGTATAAAAGCAGAACTGGGTTATAGATTAAAATTGTTATAAATAAATAATTTGAGAAAGATGTAATTAGTACGAATTAAAGTTAATTAAGAATTAATTAAATTCAACAGGAATTAGGATTAAATAGGATTAAATAGAATAACGGGTGTAGATTTTTTTGTAGTAGGATTACCTTTTTTGGCATATTTATTTTATTTTTTGATTTTTTTATTTGGATTATGTATAATAATATTGGTTATATTATTATTTTTTTAAAAATATTCTAGGTCAAACCTCTTTTGCGTATAAAAACCATTCTTTGATCGGTTTTTCTTTTTTAACTCTCATTTCATTTTTTTTATAAATATATTTGTGATATTTTTTACGAAAAAGAAAAAAATTTTATAAAAATTTTGATAATTTTTATTAATTTTTTTTTTTTTTAGCGTAAAAGATTTCTACACTACCATTATTATTATTCTTCTTCTTCTTCTTCTTCTTCTTACTTCATTTCCATTTTCCATTTTCTATTCATATTCCTATCAACTGCTATATTCACTATTCTTCTTCTTTGCCGCTATCATTATTATTCTATCATTTGCTGCATTGTTACCATCATTTTTATATAAAATTTATAAAATTTATAAAATTTATAAAAATTTCTCTACACTGTATATAATAACAAGAAAAATAAAAATCATTAAAAATACAACTAAAAAAAATGTCACTCAAAAAAATATTTTATTTAATAACCAATTTCGTTCTTTTCTTAATGTTTGCTGTGAATCTTTCCAATTGCAATCCAATTCGCACTACCGATATCGACGATAATAGTAATATCAACACGACTGGAAATAACATAACATCATCATCGTCAATACTTTCAAAGCGAAGAAAAAATTATAATGGTCAAGCAACATTTTATACTGTAGGTCTAGGCGCTTGTGGACATCATAATAACAATAATCAACATGTAGCTGCTATATCACATGGCTTATTTGATTCAATTCCTTCTCCAAACCCTAATAAAAATAAATTTTGTGGTAAAAAAGCAAGAATTTTTCGAGGTAAAAAATCGGTGGTGGTTACGATAGTTGATAGATGTGGTGGATGTAATTACGAAGATATAGGTACAGTTTATATTTATTATTTATAATTATTTAATTATTTAATTATTCTTAATTCTTTATTATTTATAATTATTTATTCTTTATTATCGTCTTTATTATTATTAGATCTCTCCCCATCAGCTTTTAATAAAATCGCGAAACCTTCTGAAGGAAGAGTTAATGTGCGTTGGAGTTTTATATAAAACATATATATTTATAACTAGGTGAACAGCAAGTCCGGAGCAATGTTTAATTATTACATTTAGGTGATACAAACTAATCTACATCGTACACGTTATTAAAATTTTATTACATAAGATTTTCTGAAAATAATTAAACTCGACAGTTAAAATATAATTAAAATATAATTAAAATAATAATCGTAAAAGATAACTATATCACTGATACAAGTGTATGATTAATTATTAGCAAAAATTGAAGTTTAATAAATTCTTTAGTTATTTCATAAAAGATAACTATATCACTAATACAAATGTATGATTAATTATACAAATGTATGATTAATTATACATAATTATTAGCAAAAATTAAAGTTTAATAAATTCTTTGGTTATTTTTATATATTTTACTACAACGTATTAATGAAAAAGTTCAATTATTTAAATAAAAGACTTAAAATTCCCAAATTTTTAAATGAATTATTGATAAAACTCGAAATTATCCATTCAAAACTAAATTTGTTTTGAAATAAATATTAAAATGTGCAAAACATGTAAACAAACCATTATTTTCTTGGAATAAACATATTTTATTAAAATTTTGTTTATTATTTATCTAGTTTGCAAATAAAGCACAAGAACATATCAAACTCTACATTGTCTTTTTTTTTGTAAAAAACATCTTGTAGATAACAAAAAATAAAAAACAATGACAGATAGAATGCATCAGGATGTACTTAGAAAATGGAAATGAGACCTCCAAATAACGTGAAAAGCGTCTGACACATGACTGGAAAAATAAAACTAAGAAGAAAGCTACTGAAACTGAAAATCAATGTAAAGCAAGACTGGCTAGAGAAAGAGAACAAAAGCACAAGAGAAGAGTATTTAATAAAGGACTTGGCTTAGAATTTGTTGATAAGCACTCTAATAAAGAAAACAATATGGAAAAACAACAAAGGTTTAAGTAGACAACAATAATATTTTTTTTTGTTACTAATAATTATGCTATTCTAAATAAATAAAATCACAGGATATCTTCTGCCCCACTTGAAACTGAGTTCCTTCCTGAATTGGATCATATACTCTTGCAAAAATTTAGAACCACTATAAATAAATTCGAGAATAACCTTTGCCCTTTATACAATGAACATTTTCCATTGATCAAATTAATTACAGGAATGTGTAGACGTTGTTACAATGATAAAATTATCTCAAAAAAGTTTTCTGCAAAAAACAATATGGATCTGGGTGATATACCTGAGGAGCTTTGGGGGCTTACTGAGATTGAAGAAATACTAATTGCACAAATATTTCCTGTAATCTCAGTATATTGTCTTCATGGTGGCCAGTATACATATAAAAGAAACATTATTAACTTTCCTCAAGATGTGTATGAGTTTGCAACATGACTTCCTCAAAGTCCATCATCACTTAATATACTTGTTGTGCAATGAAACTCTGCATGTGAATTGATCTTTCAGGATTTTAATGTTCATCATACTAAAGTTACTCAGACACTTTCCTGGCTAAAAGCGAACAATCATTATTACACAAATATCATTATTGATAATGAAATATTATGATTACTTCCTGATAATGGTCCCGTTGACAAACATTTTTAACAAATTCAAAATGTTGAAAATGAAAGTAACAAAAATAAAAGTGAATGATGCAATTCACGATTTTCTTTTTCAAATGTAAACTAAGAATGTGTCAATTGAATGGTCAAGTATTGATAGCAGTTCCATAAACAAATTTCAAACATCTAGGTATATTACATACACCTTCCTGACCTTGTATCTAAATATAAATGTTGATCTTTGAACAATTCATTCAAGAGATGTAAAACTTGTAAAGTATTTTTAACATATGCTTAAATACAAAAATGAAAGATTTGCAAGTTATACCTGTTGGCATTACTTTGTATTTAATTTATAAATGCAATGGAGAGCATTACAGAAAGGAAAAGTCTATGTCAAGTAAGATTTAAATAACAAGTAACTAAATGTAGAAGAGGTTCAAAAAATATGCAAAAGGAACAGTCACCTGACTAATCAAGATATATGGTTCAGTGAAGACTTACGAGAAACTCAGCAATTTGGATTAAACAAAGAGTTGAATTAACAGATATGATTAAATAATTAAGATCTCAAAAAATGGTTTTTTTCACATTCAATATTGCAAACTTACACTGATCAAATCTCCACAGACTTATATCAGACAGTAAAAATCGAATAGGAAATACAGTACAAGATGTGACTAGGTCTCAATAGTGAAATTTGATAAATAATTCTTATATAACTACATAATTCTTTGAGAATCGCTTCAAATCTTTTTTAGAAGATGTACTGATTTTCAAGTGAAATTTAAAGAATTGGTAGTATAGATTCGAGTGGCAGTATCATGGAAGTATTCATATACATAAAATCAAAAAACAAAAAGATATACCATTAATTAAGTAGGAGAAAATGAAAGAAGATAACAAGATAATGACAAGAGTGGTACAATACCTAGATTCCTTAATTATTACAATAAATTCAGTAATTAATATGCTTATACCCGAACAGTACCTTTGTCAAAAAACTTATAATGAGTTACGTGACGACATGCAAAATTAAGTCAAGTTTATTAATAAATTGCAACACTATACAAGATGTAGTTCTTTATATTGTCTTTGGACCAATCGTGCAAATTAACAATCTTATAGATTTGAATATTTAAAAGAAATTATAAACATACCTACATACGGAATAGTAATCACGACTGTTTAAAACTTATTACTGTAAGAAATAATTCTTATATCAATTTACATAATCAACTTTAACTATAGGGTTAGTAGATAAATGTGAATTTAAAACCTGTTCTTAGTGTCCACACTGTTCTTCAGTACATTGCCAAATATATCAGCAAATTTAAGTCACAATCAGAAGCCTTTTCTAAAATATTAAACTACATTCTTTCTAATAATAAATCTAATAATCTATCTCTCATGTCATTTCAGAAGTTACTATTTCATATTATTACAGAGCATGACATCTTTACACAAGAAACCTGTCATTTACTCTTTGGTATCTCACTATACTATTCTAGTTATCAGTTCATTTTTCTAAACTTTAACAAAGTTGTACCATGGTTGTTTTATGAAAATGAATTTGAAATGATTAACTAAAGTAGACAAACAGCACAATCACCATTACAGAAGTATTGGAATCGACCTAAAGAGTTTAAAAATATCTCTTTTTTTCTGTTTCATCTAAAATACAAATTTATAAGGGGTAATTGAAGATAAGTTGATCGTGAAAATATTGTCTGCATATGGTCACAACCAGTATCATAGTGAAATGGTTTTCACATTAGTATTTATATTAATTTGAAAACCTTCAAAATTATATCGTAATATTAGATTTCGAAGGTTATTGATTATGTCACAACCCTTCGAAATCAAAATTTAACAGTTAAATTTTAATACGTACATCAGAAAATTTTTGGAAGCAAATATATTTGAATATTTTTTATTTTAGAAAAAATTTGAATAAATTCACAAATTTATACAAATATATTTACATATATTCAGATTTTTTCAATTCTTAAATATCTGATTATTTTTTGATTTAGAAAAAATTCAAATAAATTTATGAATTTATGCAAATATATTCGTATATTTGAATTTTTTCAATTCTCAAATATATTTAGATATATTCACCCATCAGGAAATTTTTGGAAGCAAATATATTTGGATATTTTTTGGTTTAGAAAAAATTCAAATAAATTTGTAAATTTATATAAATATATTTATATATTGAATTTTTTCAGATATATTTGAAAATTATTTGGAAAATTCGTAGAATATTTAATGAAAAATAATACTGAAATTCTATTTTTAATTCTTTGAAATTATGATCTTTACCAAATTTTTAGATAGATAAAGATCTATTTAGTTCTAAAAAAATTGTTGAATAAAAAACATGCTAATAATTTATTTTGTTCATTTAGTTTTACAAATTTATATTTTATTTATGTTATATTTATTTTTATTTACATTATCAATTATTTTTTTTATTAATTATTTTATATTATTAATAGATCATCATCATTTTCATCATCATCATTATTATTATCATCACCATTATCGACATCATCATTATTGTCATCTTTTTTGGATTTTCTTTTATTTCGAAAGGTTACGGTTTGTTTTATTTTCTTTTTTTTATTTATTATCTTTTCTAATCTTACTCACGTTTTTCCAAGAGTTGGAAGTTCTGTATCATCATTTATTTGATTTTCATCAATTATTTGATTTTCATTAATTATTTGATTTTTATGTTTTTTTTCAAAAGTTTTGGGAATTTTTTCTAACTCGTCAGAGTCATTATTAAATTCTTTCTTATCTATAATTTTTTCTAAATTTTTATTTTATTTTTTATTTTTTGTTAGTTTTTGAATATTATTTTAATATTAATTATTTTAATTACCTATAATATTTTTTTCAACAAAAGGTTGAATAATATTTTCAGTGATTTTGATATAATCATTATAGGGATTTAAGAGGATTTCAGCAATTGACATATACCAAACAGTATGAGGATCTGGGATTAGTTCTTTTTTGAATCATACATTTTTTATTATATATACAATATGTTTTTCAGATATATTTTCAATTTCTTTAAACAATTTCTTGTAATATTCTAATACTATAAGGTTACTTTTTCATGTGATAATTTCAGCTGCTATCACATTATTATTAATAAGTAGTAATTTATCAAAGACTTTAAAGATAAATACTTTTACTTTCGTACTTAAATTATTACATAAAATTCGTATTTTTTTGTCCATCTGTAAATTTTATAAGATTTAATAATATTTATAATATTAATTAACAATTTTAAATGATACTTACAAATTTCTTTATTCTTTTCTCAAAATATCCATCCTATTGATTACCCAAACTCAAAAAAAAATCATTATTTGTTTTCTTTAAAACTTCTTCTACCATTTTTTTATAATTATTGGAAATTGAATATATATTATGGTCCAAAAGTTCTTCTGAGACTTTTTTAATAATGACCTGCATAATAAATAATTTTGAATAATTTTATTTAAATACTATTGAAATATATAATAACTACAAATATTATATTAATTTAAATTTATTTACATCTAGGGATTCTTTATTAAATAAAAGTACAGATATTTTTTCTTTTATTAATTTCATATCTTCTTCCATTTTACATAATTAAATTTTTTAAAAAAATAATAATTTTGAAGTATTTCAAATATAATTTTATAAAAATGTCAAATTTTAAATGCCTATATTATGATCATTATTTTTCATCTTGGTAAGCATACGCTCAACATATTAATAAAACTCACAATGATATAATTAATACGTTACTTGATGACAAAGATTCTAATCGAATTAATCGAATTGAAGAATTGCAAATTGTTTGGGAAAAAAGTCTGTCATCTATAACTAACGAGTACAAAGATTAAAATATGTCACCTGCATTTTATGAAAATATTAAAAATACTGATACTCACAGGTCAAAATTCAAATATCGGACATTTATCAGGCACCTATCGGACACCTATCAGGGAAGAATAAACATATCGGGTACTCGATATAATTGATTATTACTAAGTATCCAATAATTAATTTTGTAAATTTTATTATGCGCCCGATATAATAGTGATAGATGTGAGATAATTTTATTATTATCTCAGGTTCCCAATATTGTCTTGAATATCGGGTGCATGATACTAAAATAGTAATATTGGGTGGATGATATTCTAATTATTTTATTCGGGTACACAATATTATTATATGCTCATTGTATTAGATAATCTCTTTAT